AAAACATCCAGGTGGCTTGCTGCACATAGTCGACCTTTTCAAAGCGGGTTCTTAGCGCTTGTGTATAGATCGCTCCTCGGCTTCTTGCTTTGGCGCCTGCTGCTCTGCCGGTCGCTGTTCTTTTGGAATCTGAAGTATCAAGCATCCAATATGGTGCATGATGCGTGCACAGTGACTCTTAATGTATACTGCTGATGCAACCATCTCATCCAAAAGTGTCTTTTCTAGCTTCCACTCATGGATCCATGCTTGGACTATATTGAGGGGAGTCAGATGGAGGTGTTTGGCTTCCGCTCTGTTGCGATATGCATGGGGCTGATGTGTTGGGTCGGATACCGTGTCGTCGGAGGGGTTGTGGCAACCACACGCCGATATACTTGACGTCGTTGTCCGAGAAGTGGGTTTTGGTCTCCTTATCCACCCCTTCTCTACTTGGCAGATCCAGGTGTCTACGATTTCGGCAACATTCTTGCGATCTGCCAATGTGTGAATCCAGACCCTCCCAGATGAAAGGCTGGGAAGGCCAGGAAATAGAGCGCGCGACCTACGATCTGCATGGGCATAGGTTCAGCGATGTTCATATGCATCTTTCCAAGCACATATTTTGCTCTGCTCTCTTCCCTTGTGGTGTCGTATAGGAGGTGGGCTGCTTTCCGAGCGCGCACACATCACATACATGGTCAGTTTTGATTACGGGCAAGCCGTTCGCCTTGCAGGTTGGGTTGTGCGAGTCACGCCCTTCGTGGCCGAGGTATCGGTGTCACACCTCACCGATCGCATACCTGCTCAACCTACATAGACCGACATGTTTTGCGTTGCGGTGATAGTTCCATGTATTACAGCGAAAGGTAGACTGTAGTGGTGCAATCGTACGGTTATGGTCACTATGCCGTTTCCAATGCCCAAAGTAGCCGTGGCCCTATCCATCTTGAGCTTCAATCAGCCGGCGACCTCCCCGAATCTGACTTCGCTGACAATGTTGAAATCCCACCGCGCGTCTTGGAACTCAAGTGCAGTATTGAGATAGATGCTGACGTCATTGCCCTTGTCGGTCTTGACACAGTGTGACTCATAGTCGCCCTTAGACGCTGCCTTCATTATGTCATCATTGGTGAGCTTCATGAAGGCAGAGTCATTAATTTTATTGGTGACAGCAGTGTTTGAACGACGAGGTGGAGCGAAAATATTCTGTCGAGGGTAGTGTTGTCGTTAATGTTTATGCGCTGATGGGCAACATTGCATGAGATGAATGCAGTGATAATATCTGTCGAAGCGGCGGGCCGATTCTCTTTCGAGAAATGAATCTACGCATATTTCAATAGATATTCTTTTTTGCAGATGGCCTTGCTTGCCACAATTCCAGCAAGGTATCTTTCTCTCACCACCATGCACAGAATGCTTGCTGAATATGACGCTGCTAATTGTCTCGCTGGCTTCGCGACGTTGGCAAAGTTCTTCCCGGAATAGTGTTGCATCGTAGTTCCTTTGCCAACTGATTGCCAAGGTTACTCGAGAACCTGGACAATGTTGTCGTAGCATGAGTCTAGTCTGATGTGGGCGGCGAGGTAGTAAAAAGTCGCTGATATTTTGACTTCTTGTGCTAAGAACTTGTCTTGCGCCGTTGCGATGCGGTCGAGGTACTTATGCATGCTCTCCGCAGAACCCTTGTTAACGATTCAATCGTCCCTTTGAGAATGAAGGGGACAGATCATTTCTAGGGCTGGTACTTGGCTTCCAATGTTCTTCACAGTTCTTTAGCCGCCTTCACCATGCGAATCGAGCCGGTGATCTTGTCGTCAATAACAAGCGCCAGCGTCGCCAATGCCTCATCCTGTCTGTGCTTGTTGTCAGCGGCGCCGTAACTGTTCAGGGGCTTACTAACCGTGCCGGTCAGGGAGTCACACATGCTGGTCATAATCCAAAGCATCTGCGCTTTGAAAGCCCACGCATCGTCGTTGCCTCTGTGTAGCTTTTCGATGTTGACTGTGGCCCCCATTGAGGTCGCATTTGCTGACCTCTTGGTCCTTTGTGTCAAATCTCTTCAGTATTCAAGTCGGCCTTGGGGTTTGGGCTCATAGCCTCTTGTGGAGAGGGCTCAGGTGGATCAAGATAGGAAGAGCAAATATCTTCAATCTCTTTACACTTCCACAACTGGAGGTTGTAGGCAGCTCCTTCTATATCTTTGGAGTGCTAGCTTTCACACATAGCCACTCGAGCTTCGGCCTGCGCTGGAACATTTCAGGACGATCAATTGTGTTGGATGGATAGTGCTGCTAGCGCTGCCCCTGCGTCACAAGGATACAAAACGGGCCTTAAGCGCTGCACCTCTTTGGTCTTTGCAAGTGGGTGAAGTGAAACCAGTCCAAGCTTCATGTGGGCTTTCCAACCGCTCCACAAATTGCTGAATGGACGCATTCCAACAACGATCGGTTCTGACCAAGCAAACGCCATCATTGACGCCGCAAATGTTGTCTTCCCACAGACTCTCCGCCTGCGGTGTGAATGGAGTGTTCAACAAGACTTGCGTGCAGCTTCATTGAAGGTGGCACTAAGGCGACACGAGCGGTATAGGATTGAATCGTCCTTCATGAGCGCAATTGGGATATGAAAGGCTGCGACGGCAACGACCACAACGCATCGAATTTACATATATGGTGTACCTCGGGGAGCAGGTGAGAAGAAGGTCAGGCTAGTGGCGGCGGCCTTTTTTTGCGCTAAAATCGTTTTCAATTGATTTGCTCACTTCACGGCATTTGGAAGAATGAGATGGATGGTCTGCTCAGTTAAATACAAATGAAGTGGTACTCGTGTCTTGGTGCCGACGATCGCTTTGAAGCAGACACGAGCAGTCGCAAGGCGCCCGGTTGCAACCAGTCTGTCATGGCAAATGTGAATCGTCCGAACCACCTTCACTTTGGATGCACCCTGTCACACTGGCCCTAGAAGGCTTAAACCACTCTGCAAGTTGTAACTTCATCAACACATGCGCCGAAATCACATGAAGCCACTTATCGAATTGCTGATGGAGCAGCTCGATAAGGAACGCGCCTTCTATGTCCATATGTGCAACAGCAAGCGCTTGCGACCAATGACTGTGAACGATGGGTCTGCGTGGCACTTGGTCAGGTCTCGAATCCCTCAGTTCACCCTTCAATCGGGTCACGAGGCCGCCACCTCCGCCATTGCAACTGTCTCTCTTCGGTTCTCGCAAGTAGCCAAAGCACCTATTGGCGGAAGGAGTGCCACACGTTGGAGTGTTTCGCATGTAGAAGATGTGGAGACTCGTGAGTGCACATGCACTTGCATCCACTGCTTCTTTTGCCTCCTCTCAAGGTCACAATCACCATCCGACAAAGTATGTTTGATGTTCATGACTTTCAGTCTTCCGTGTATTCAGCAACTGCAACTTGAATTTCAACTTCATGGGGAACCGACCTTGTAGCCAGATTTCTTCTATGAGATGTGGCACTTACATTCGCAGTTGGAGCTGGATGGCTCAACCGTTGATGGAAACATGCTCGCTGGAGTGCTAGGCGAAGTCAAGTTAGCCATCAGTGCTCATCTGTCTCAGCTGCTGCAGGATGAGGCTTTGGCACTTCTGGACGAATATGCGATGCAGCTGATTAGTCAAGAGAGAGGAAATTGTAATTCCATCTAACAAGAAGCGTTCTGCAGCAGTTAAGGATGTTGTCAACAATCGACGATCCAAAGACGGAATTGCAAGATGATTGAAAACGAAAGCGGAGAGGGCGGAGGATGAAACCGACCGCGTGCTCACGGATGAGAAAATCGTCGAAAAGGATGCATACTTTGCAGCTCGAAAGAACATTTCGCTCTAGTAAGCGTAACATCTGAGGAAAAGGCGGGGAATGGCGCTCGAGTTCAGAAAGTCAGAGTTGACGCTCAATGCGTGAGACGCACGGAAAGCGCGCGGATGAGCTAGAAGCGCAAAGCTCTCGCCAAGTAGTGCGGACTGACTTCCTTTCAGATGCGGGCACGACAGAAGATGACACGGAAGACGATGACAACGACGGCTACGACAATAAGGTGGACAAAGTCATGGTGGAAGCTATTTTAGTCAGATACGCTACTCCTCCCGCATTCCAAGTGTGTGCTCACCCATAGTCCGTTTTGATGTTTCTGCTTCTCGCCAGTGCACCAAGAGAAGTCGGGGCGCATGGCAAGAAAGACAATCACTTTGAAGACACATCGCATCCCTTTTCACATATCAACGCGCGCTCGAAGGCCAAAGACGGTCGCTCCTTTGCCTCCTCTTGAGTCAAAGCAAGTAGAGCAAAGTCAAGTATAGTAAGCAACCCAAAGGCAGCACATGTGTAATGGAACGAACTGAAAGTCACATTATCAGTGAATGGCCTAAAATCGCACCGGCTGGCGCACACGACCATGTCTATACGAGACGGCTTGATGCAATTAGTTGGGCGAACGACTTACGCTTGCTGACGCAAGAGCTGCAGGCATCAGAGTCGAACAACTATGCCAGAGTTTGTCAATCCATCAACGAAAAGTCGCTTCCTACGGTCACAGCGGTCTGCACTTTGGGCCGTCGCAAATCATAGCTGGGGAAATGCCATAAACTTCCGGGGACGACTACTTCAGCGAGAAGCACTTATTACCAAGAGACGCAAGATACTGATACTCACAACGTATCTTTGAAAAAGCATATCCTCTACCGCTGAACACAGATTCAAAGTCTTCAAAGGCAGTTGTGTGCGTGACACAATCACGTGACAAAGCTTTTGAGCAATAATTGACGACTATGTCGATCACTTGTTTCGCTGTATGGCTAGAACCAATTCGTCATATCAGGCGCGGAAGTGGTAGTAATGCCCATGAGCATCAATGAAGGGACTCACTGGTCACTCTTTGTGATAGACTTCGTCAGCCAAACGTTCATCTACTGTGATCCTATGCACGGAACTTCCCCTGAGAAGAAAGTTGGGGGCGGTGGAGACGGCGCGAGGATGAAGCTCTTTGAGCGCAAAGCGAGAAAGTACCAATGGTTGATTGGGCAAGATTGACATTGGAACTTACCCATGATTGTCCAAGGCACCTTTATACGGGGAAATGTGGGATGTTTGTCATGGCAATGATGTAGGATTTGTGTTATGGGAAAGCATATTGTGACGAGAAGGGTCAGCTCCTATGGTCCTTCAAGGCGGAGGACAATAAATTGGACGAGGCTCAAATTTTGGCAGCGGATTAAAGACTTTTCTGGATAAACAGTACATGTACGTGCCAATGCGATTCATTTGCGAGGCTTCAGACTTAAAGAAAGGAGAGATTTGTCAGCTGTCGCACTTTCAACGGCAGCAACGAAGAATCTCTGGCCGCCTTGCGCGTCCAGGTTGCAATGACGCGTTGGCCGCGTTGATGGATTGTGAGTGTAACCTGTACATTAAGCCCTAGATGGCATAGTCGTATTCGCACAATCTGTGGGTGATAGATACAATGTACAAGAGGTTCGTTCATATGTTGGATGGATGGTGACGAACGATTTGGAGCGATTTGTGCAAATTTGAGGCATCGTATGTAGAAATTTGGAGCGGAACGGGCTCGAAGTCCTTGCTAATGTACGAAGCAACAGCATACCGTACGAAAATCACCACCATAGATCATTTACATGTGGCGCGCATCGCGCGTCAAACGCGAGAAACACCAAAAAAGTGGTTCACATAGGCGGTCGCTTTGTGTTCGTTCAACTAGAGTATCGGCGGACATTTGGTATCTTGCATCTGGCAACTTACAGGCTTCTATCCCCCCATCGACTTGCTTGGCGGCTGGTGCAGTGAAAGTTCAAGGGTAAAGCCACTGGCCCTGCTCGAACTCTCGGAAGTGCGCTGGAAGATGGCGAATGAGTCAGAGCGCTTCGCCAATGGCGGTGCCGAATCGCAAGTGCGGGTGTGAGTCCACATATTTGTTTGAAGAACCCCCATCGTGTGCAACTGAGCAGCCTGTCCACGATTGGCGTTACCTTTAGGTTGGTGATTGCGTCCCCTTGTGGCAGGCTAAAAGACCTATTTGCAAAGGTTCAAGCTATTCAGAAAAAGTATGGAGCCTTCTCCAGCCTTTTCATTACTGGGAATTTCTTTACTCCCGCTGTGGGAAGTGCAGCGAATGCAACACTGACGGAGGAAGAAGAAGATGTGTTGGCTGGAAAAGTCCAAAGTAAGGATGCTTGTCTTGTAGAACAACGAAAGAAATTTATTTTCTGACGCTTGCCATGTAGCTCCGATCAGAACATATTTCTCCCATCCTCAAGCGCATCTGCCAGCCAAAGTCATTGAGCTGATTCAGACCCGCACTCGTGGCGATGCTCAAGATCCAGAAGCAGATTCGGAAGCCACAGAATTGGCACCAAATCTCTTCTACCTTGGCAAATCTGGCGTCTGCAAGCTATCCAACAACCTGCGAATCGCATTCTGTGGAGGAGCATGGAACTCCTCAATATGGAGAGCGAGCCAAACGGCTGGAGTGGCTGGAGAAGACGATCAATGGAACCCATTTATCACACAGGCCAGCGTGTCACGTCTTTTGCAACACCCTGCTTTTGCCACCTCACAAGAACAGGTGACTCCAGTCTCAGAGGCCAAGCTGCAAGAGCCTCAAACACTTGCTCAAGCTCGTAAGGCTGCAGCAACTGCATTGGAGCAGGCGGCCAAGGCTGCAGAGGCCCAGGCAGCTGAGAAAGTACGCCCACAGGTTGATCTGCTCCTCCTCAACTACTGGCCTACCTCGATCACTCTGTTTTCCCGCGTCGAGCTGCCGCATCCTAGTGCTAGAGCTTGGGGCTGTCCTCCGTTCGCGGATTTAGCTCGACGGGGCAAGCCCCGGTACATCTTCTCCCTCGGCCCGAGCATGTACGGCACCGGCGAGGACAAGGAGGCCCATATAGTAGGTCTAGACCCACCGGCTGGTACGCCTACAGGCAAGGAGGATCATCAACATAGTATCAGGTCTAATGGAGCGTTTTGGGAAAGAGAGCCGTATGCGACAAGCTCAACTTGCACAACACGCTTCATCTCGCTCGCGAATTTCGCAAATCCGCAGAAGAAAAAATGGTTCATGGCGCTCAGCATCACGCCGGCTGTGGCGAAACAAGCGCACGTGCCTTCTTCTGCTAATCTGACGGAGAATCCGTACGCTGAAGTCAAGCCCCGCGGACCGCGGCGGCCCATCAAGCGCCCCACTGGCGATGATGCCGGTGATGTGTCATCTGGGCCAAATTTTCGCTGGCAGCAGAGCAATCATGCCGGACAAAGCAAGCGTGCTCGACGCGAATTCGATCCAAATGAGAAACCGCCCGATGGCTATTCCTGCCACATCTGCGGTTCCTCTGACCATTTCATTCGCGAATGTCCCGACAAGGCTCAGAAGCAAGACGTGCCGCCCGAGGGGTATGTCTGCAAAGCTTGTGGATCGAGCCAGCATTACATTCGCTTGTGCTCAGAAAGGGACAGCTCGGCCTCCTCGCGCTCGCGCGAGGCTGTGAAGTCTATCGCGCCAAAAGATTGCTGGTTCTGCTTGAGCAATCCACAGTGCGCCAAGCATCTCATCGTCGACATTGGCGAGGACTGTTATGTTGCGCTGCCAAAGGGGCAAGTGCCTTCGTCCGCAGATCCTCAGTCTCCAGTACCAGGCGGTGGACACGTCCTGATCGTACCAATCGCGCACGTCCCATCGTTGCTCTGCGGCTCGCCCTCGGAGGCGCAAGTTCTGAACGACGAAGTCGATCGATACCGAGCGGCAGTGCGGCAGACCTACCAAGCGTATGGAGCGATGGCATTTGCATGGGAGGTGTGCAAGCTCACTCACACAAGAGCGGGCCATATGCAAGTCCAGATGGCTCCAGTCCCGATTGCACTCGGCGAGGGCATGTCGGCCGCGTTCAAGGCGGCAGCCGAGAAGGAAGGATACGAATTCTTGAACGGGGAAGATGCGAAGAAGCTGGTAGCTTTCGGTGCTGGTGCACGACCAGAATACGTGCGCGTTGACATTGACGGGCAGACATACGCAATGAGCTTGCAAAGCCGCAAATTCAATATGCAATTTCCAAGGTAAGCTCTCCGGATTGCGCTCTTCCCTGTACGCACAAGGCTGAAATAAGGCTCACTCATTCAGGAGCTTCTTGACGTCCTATCTCAACGTTCCGGAACGCGCTGACTGGAGGGCATGTGCCAAGTCGGACGAGATAGAGAAGGCAGAAACAGATGAGGTGAGTGAAAGGCTCGCCACATTTGTCCCCTTTTGGGTCCTGACTGCCTGACTGGTACTTTTCGCAGTTCAAAGAGGCGTTTGCAGAATTCTCTACCAATTTTGGAGGTTGATCAAGCAGCATTAAAGGACAGCAGGTTTCACGCCTGAACGCTTTTGTAATTCATGAAATCTCGTCGTCGAATCCCACAGACATATGCCAAGCATTCAAACTCTCGCCGGTAGGATCGCTATGTCCGTCGTTGGGCCACGCTTCATCCTTTGCGGGTACCGCATACACCAATCGAAAGGCGTCTTTCCCTGTTCGACCTGATATGTCAGCAAAACGATCTGTACATCTCTGCCACAATTTTGCTAACCGTTCAAATAGAAGCGAAAGAGGCGCTTCTCGCGCATGAAACGCAAGCTTTCATACAACGACAAGGCAGCTTGATTGTCGACCTCGGTCTCTAGGACAATCTGTGCAAGTTCATTCGGAATGCAGATCAGCACGTGCACTCCACGTCAGAATGGAGCAGGCAATCACCTCTTGGGCTCCCATCTGTGTCATGCGCTCTACGCTCCGTTGAGCGAGCTGTTTTGCTATTCCACAGCCCCTCCACGCAGTATGCACGCTGAGCATGGCAATGTACCCGCGCATGAGACGCTCGCCTTTGCTATGTCGATCCACTTTGGAGACGATGACACCCACGGGTGCAAAGGTTTCTGAGGAGCTAGCAGGGTCCTTTGCCTTCGACTCCTCGGATTCGCGCCGTCTTCTTCGACGTGCGTAGGCCTGATGGGTTCGCAAATTCAACTTCAAGCCCAGCGCACGGCAACAAGAATCTCTTGATGATACGTACCAGCATGCAGAGCTGAGGCCTGAAAGCGGGGGAAAATGAGCTCGTCAATAGTTGTACGCAATCCAACTTGATGGCTTGGCTCTCACCATTGTTGCAGAAAGTACCGATAGGTGTAGATGATGTAAGGCTCGCTGAAAGGCGCTATACTTGTCAGAAGTGGACGTTGTTCCTGACTTCCGTGCGAGACACACCTGAGCTCCTTCTCGATCAATCTGACAATCTCTGGCAGCTGTGCTTCTCCTTGGTACTGAGTGTACTCTATCTCGAGCTCTTCTTCGACATTAGGATCGGGCACAGGCAGAAGTCCTGGATATCCTCCGTGTTGAAATGATGCGCTCGACATGTTGCATCCGCCGGCACTTGTCCCAGCTGTCGGGCATAGGATGGTCTCTTGAACTTGAGTACACTGGAATACGTGTCGAATGGTAGTTGTCGCCAAACAGCACCACCACACTTCTTGACCGCATATGTACTTTGTATCCAAGTATTGCAAGCCCGCTTCTCAGATAAACACATTACACTTCGCAAGCGCAGCCGTACTTCAAAGCGTCGTCTTAGAATTGAACGAAATACACCATATGATGGCATCTCCTGAAGCATGTCTCATCCTCGTCGCACATATGTTCACAAGCAGCGCCAACGCGTCGCGTCAGGATGAGCGTTGGAGCCAAATCCGCCCTCCACTGCGCATCAACAACACTTTTGTTGTTGCGTGACATGCGGGTGGGGCACACGTTGGTTCTCTGGCAAATGCACTCGCCACAGGGCAAAGTCATACAGAGATCAACACCAAAAATCCATTTCTGACACGCGTTGCCCCAGTATGGTCTTCGCATGAAACATGACGCGACCGTGACCTGTCAGGACCTATCCCGTTTATATTCAGCGGCGGCAACACCTCCTGCCAGTCAGCGCCCCCACCGCTGCAGCTGCAAGAGCGCGCTACGATGGACGAATTCCCACTGTCGCAAGGGCAAGCGGCTGGCTTCTTGCCGCCCACTTCGCGCGTGCCGTCCGTGCTCGAGGATCTGCCTCTGCTCCGGTCGCACACATACCGCTCCGAAATTCCAGAGAACTGTCTTCCAGTCGGCCAGTCGGCGTTCGAGCAGGTTCTCAAGGGCGCTCCGTGTGCTCTCGGTGTGGACGAAGCTGGGAGAGGCCCGGTCCTCGGTGAGTTTTTATCGTTGTTGCAGGCATTGCTCATGTCACTAAAATGATTGCAACTGACGCGTGTTGACCGCATAGGACCTCTTGTCTACGGCGTAGCCATCTGTCCTGTTGATCAGCAACCTTCGTTGAAGGAGATTGGATTTGCAGGTGAGTCAAGACGGCCTTCGATAAAACCCATGCGACCTCTCAAATTCTCCATGCGGAGTTTTTGCAGACTCCAAGGCATTGACTGCTCAAAAACGCGACGCCTTGCTGGAGGCGTTGAAGGGAAATACGAACCTTGCATGGGCTACAATCTCGATATCTCCGCAGGACATTTCGAGAGGAATGACGCGGAGACGACCCATCAATCTGAATGCTCAGAGCACGCAGGCGACTGTTGACTTGATTGCTGGTTTCTTGGAGGCTGGGGTCGACGTAACAGAGGTGTGTGTTTTGCCATCCGCAATTTCAATGTGGCACTGAATCGCTTGCTTTCGCTTGCAGATATATGTCGACACGGTCGGTGATCCTGACAAGTATAAACGGGTGCTATCGTCCATGTTCCCAAGGCATAAACACATTCAATGGACGGTCTGCTCTAAGGCCGACGTCCTCTTTCCGATTGTGGGCGCTGCCAGTATCGCTGCCAAGGTGACACGCGACCGCTGGATTGAAGGATGGAAGTACGGAGAGGCGGGTGTGGGGATGTCTGCTCTCGCGGAGCTCAACTCTGGCCTCGAACTGGATGACGAGGGGCCAACGAGTGTCGAGAGCCCGAAAAAGCGCTCCAGGGCCGGCTCGAGGTCGCCGCGCAAGAAGCCGAGGACATCAGCAGCGGCTCAGCAGGTCTCTTTCACATCTCCTCGGTTTTGGGCGAAGGGGAGCGGCTATCCTGGCGACCCAGAAACCAAAGAGTATCTGCTCAGGACGATCGATGCCGTCTTCGGTTGGCCAGGCATTGTGCGCTTTTCATGGCAGACGGCAAAAGACTTGATGAGCGAAAAGGTCAAAGTAGGAACTGCGGCAGTAAAGACGAGGGCATCGTCCAAGTCGCAGAAAGCGCGCGGCGCGGAGCAGGTCAGCCAAACCAGCCCGGCGGTAGAGACGTTGGCCGGCCCCTACGGCACCAGGCAACCAACGCTCACAAGGTGCCATGACATTCGTTGGACCGATGAACCAGCTCAGATCACCAACTTCTTTCAGAAAGCGGCGGCGTCGGCCAAGGGCTCCTCCAATGCAGTTCCTATCGATATCGGATCGGTGCTCAAGAAAGCTCGCTGCGGGATCGCAAAAGATCTTGGCGTCATCTCGCTCGGGCCAGGTGCATTTTGAGCATGATGTATTGCAGTGCTATACAATGTTTCGTTAATGATGCGATAATGCAATGATGCAATAATGAAATCAAAGATTAAGATCGCCACAGTCCAAAGTACGGTGTACGTTTGGAAGCTAATACATGGTTGGCCGAGAGGCTTCTACCGATGGTCGCTGTGCCGTGATAGGTCGTAGATTTGGGATTAAGAGCGCTACCCTTCTCCTTTTCAGGTTGCGGGCTGCCGCGGATGAACGAGTTCACCCCTTCGGCTATGACCTCGGTGGCCAAGCTGACGGGACGGAAAGCGGCGGCTGTCACGCCTGGAGGCAATACCTGTTGCGATGGCAAAGCAAGTGCAATTCGGGAGCGAGCGTCCGCCAGGGCTGCTTCATGTGGAGTTGGCAACACCGGCCCGCCGTGTGCGTGCTCGTGCCAATCTTCCGGATCATAATTAGCGCGAGCCGTGCGAAGTTGCTCCAGGATCTGCTCGGAGCAAGAGAACATCAACGTGGGTTCTCCAAGAGCGTCGGTCTTTGAAACTCACCTTTTCATGCTTTTCAATTTCGCTGTCGAGGACGCCCTTTCCAATAGATGCCCAGTCTTCTACCCGTTCGCGATGCAAGCGATCTATCTCGCTGCTGGTGACATTCAGTACGGTCTCGCATTTGGCAGCGACCGCCTCCGAGTATCGGCTGCTAGGCTTTGAGGGCGGTGGCGACGATATGTCCTCAGCCAGAGGGTCCGCTTCGCCTGTCGCTTCTCTATACCTGGCGAGTGTGGCCTTGTGCGTGTCCAGAAGATTCTGCAAAGGAAACTCGAGTCAACTCGCGGAAACATCCTTAAATCGATTTCAAGACCCACCAATGCGTGCGCATGCATTCGTGAGACATCTTTTAAACGCTCGTGCTGTCGCAACATGTCCAGGCGTGCATGCTCCTCATGAATATCGGCGATCTCTTGCAGACACTCGGCAGTTCCTTGTAGTGCCTTCGTGAGGCCGATGCATTCGATGCAGCCGTCACGCCAGCACCAGGCTCCCTGCTCATTGTTCACACCCGAGTCACTGCGTCGGCCGACATTGCCCATGGGCGGGCCATGCTGGAAGCTGGTCTGCAAAGCTCCTGCATCAGCGGCGAGATGACCTTTGATGAGGCGGAGCAACGCGAATGAGAGCTCTCGGTGCGCTTGAGAGGTGGAGACTGCATCATCACGGAAGGCGCGCCAGGCGGGCATGACGCCAAGGGATCCGTTCAGATTGGCAGGCACTCTGAACATGCCATTGATGGCTTTTTCATTGGCGGCTTCGAAGCGGTCCACAGCATCGCTCTCAAGCGCGGCCTCTGCTGCATCAATGTTGAACTCCGGATGCCAGGTCTGCGCAAAGAGCGTAGCTGGGTTGTAAGAGCGCGTTTCTGTGAGGTAGCCTTGTGCTTGCCTTTTCCATTCAATCTCGTCGCTCTCTGAGAGAAAGAGCATCAGCGCATCATCGTAGCGCAGGATCGGATGACGAGCGATGCGGCTGAGCCAGAGCTGCAGGTCGACCCTACGAGTCTCGATGAAGGAAGCGGAAAAGCGACCAGAGTATTGCTTTTCCGGCAGTGCAGGCAGCGCCAGCGCTGGATACCTTCGGCCGAGCACAGTAGCGAGCCAGACGAATTGGTTGAAGCGACGCACGACGGTGAGGATGGCTCCGACTGCGTCAGGCATCTCCGCCGGGTCGTACGGCAGCTCGCCCTCTGCATCCGTCTGTGTCCCTTCTTTATTGTACTCGTCCTCTTCCGCTGCCTCGGGTGGGAAAGTCGAGGTAACGTGAAAGACGGTGTACTCTTGTATGCCGCTCATCTTGAAGCGCTTTTGCGGACTGTGCACACTGACAACGAATGGCCGGGACTTTTCCTTCCAGCGAGGTCCGTGCGAGCCGCTGACGACAAAGTGCTGACTCTGTTCTGCGTTCGAGCTGCTGCGCTGCATCGCAGAGAGCGTTGTTCGGTCTTGGTTGACGGAAGTGGGCGAGAGGAGATAGTCTTCGACGCCACTGGTGACAAAGTTGCTAAATCGGTTGAGGCTTTTGCCGCCGAAGAGCCAGCTTGGCTTTCCTTCTTTTACCTCGCCCTCGTCTTCCAGGCTATGAAGATCTTGCGCAGTCGCCAAAGGTGAAGGGGTCACTTCTTGTGATGCAGACATGCTGCGGAATGCACTTAGAGCGCCGATCGCGTTGCTGTGGCGCTTGCCGCTCGCGTCAGAGGCGTTGCCATTGGCGGTAGATGTTTTTGCGTCGGCGGACGAAAGAATCGCCTGCGAAGCGACACGCATGTCCACGACCGGCTTGGTCGGATTTCCCGCGCTCACGCCCTGAGTCTCGCAGGAGCCCTGGCGCGACAGAGGGTGGGGCGTCGTCGCCGCGAAGTTCGTGAGTGTCTGCTGTGCGTCAACGCGCGGTCCTTCTGGTTGCTCCTGTAATGCAGCTGCTGCTCCCGCTGGCTCAACGTCATGGACTGGAGGAGGGATCATGGTAAAGTCTTGAATGTAGCAGTACCATCCATTTGGCACCAAGCCGTGCAGGTCGAAGCGTTGTTCCAGCGGCGCATCAGGCTTGGTGCTAGCCCTGACAACAGCAAGGGACCAGCCGCCGGCAAGCGCTTCACTTAGAATTTCGAACGACTGCCCAGCGCGGAGCGAGAGCTCATTGAATGCTGCTTCGCCGACAATGTCGAACAGAGCACGGGCCGGTCGGCCCGGTGGGAGCGAAACGGTCGGAACAGCAGGAGCAAAATCCTCCTCAGCTACTTTCAAAGGTGCGGGCTCTTCCGCGCGAGCCGAAGAAACAGTGGCAGTCGCTTCTGTGGTAGCACTTTTTGGAGGCAGAGCGTCGCTCAAAGCTCCATTGATGTCCTGCATGTCAAAGCCCTGGCCGTTGCGCAGAATCATGTTACCCTTGGTGAGATCGTGGGCATTTGGCGCCTGGCTGACGATGGATGTGCGCGCTGAATGATTCAGCGAGCTCTCGTATGGCGATGGGGCGACCGACCCTAAATCGACCGCTGCGGCTGGGTCGACAGCACTCGCACGGTCCGTGTTCTGAGAGGCAGTCGACGCGCTATTGGGCGTGGGTGTCCCCAGTGAGCTGAGCTGCTGAGCCACTACGGTGCCAAAGGACAGATTCCGGATTGCGGCAGATGGCTCGTCTCGTAGGTGTGTCTGTTCGGAGCCTTTCGGAAGCACATCATCTGCCGCGACTTCAGTGAGGATAGGCGTTTCCACCATGTTTTTCCCGCTCGAAATGGCTTTGGCTAGCACGTTCGCAGCATGACTTGCGGTAGGATTGATTCCTTTGACAGTAAGCATGCTAGCCGAGCTGACGAAGCGATCATGGCCTCGGGCGTTGCTGTTGCCACCGCTACTAGCTGCAACCAAGGCGCCTTCATCATCCGATTCGGCTCCTCCTGCTCCATTCCACGCGGCACGTTCCAGATCATCGGGTGACTGTTGCTGGCCATTATTGTACCTCTCTTCGGGTAGGTGTACTCGCGTTGATGTGATCCACGCGTCAACGGAGCTCTGGGTTGCAGTTGGAAAAGGCGGTGGGTCGAACAGACTTTGCAGTATGTGTGCTGAGGTCGAGCCATTCGCCTGCTTTGCCTTTCTGGGCTTTTGCGTTCGATTTGCTTCCTCGCTGTCCTCTTCATCGGCAATGAGCATGCTTCTAGCGGTTGAAAAGCGGGCAGTGCTCATGCCGTCGTCGAGCCTGCTGTGGGAGCCGAGTGTGGACTCTGGGACATCCACATGGTATCGCCCATTGCTGTTGCTACTCGCGTCAGCGGCCAGCACCTGCTCTTCGGCTGCTCGCTTTGCGACTTGCTGCATTCGACACTCGTCCCACACAGCTCTTCCGTCATGCTGCCCCTGCCGCTGCCCTACCCCGCTGCTCGAGTATGAAGATTGGCCATCGTTTGTGATTTGTGCACTGACGTACTCTCTGAAAGCTTCGCTATTGAGCGTCCCTGTGAATGCGGACGACAGATGGGACGGCTTCGGCGGCTTGATGGGTCCTGCCCGTGATAGAGTCGACGCGCTGCTGCTGGTTCCGTCCAGACCGGGGCTGGCGCTTGGACCTGTACTGCGCGGGGTGGACACGGTGTACGTCATGGAGACAACAGTGATGATGCGCGCAACTTTCTTCGATCGACGGGCTCACCCCGACGCTTGTGTGTTTCATACACGCAGCAGAACTGAACAGAGGGTATCGCTCCCACCTGCCAATCGGCATGGACCTTGTAGCCAACAAAGAGGTCTCCGAGTACAAGGACAAAGTACATGGACATCACCAAACATGCTTTCAGGCGCGTGTCGTGGAGCTCCACATTGGCGACTTCCTCACTAGGGGGTTTGACCGATCATCCGCCACGCTGGAGGTTGCACCGAATTAACAGTATGTAGTCATCTTCGAGATATTCATTGTTCGATGTCTTCCTCTGATGATGAGAGGGAAGAAGGGAATCTACCAGTCGCGTCACGCAGGCCCCAGGAATGCATCAAATAGCAAGAGCCACTGTAGCACATGCACATCACGTCCTGGGATCAGGGGCGATGCGCAATCCTCTGGGGACATAATTCATCGCCCGCCCCGGCTACGACGATCTATTGGCCAGGCGGTCAGCCTTCGCTTTGATGCTCTGGACCAAGTCCCGGTTGCACGGCGTGGCGATGCCCATCTGCTCCCCCCAGCGAGCAATCGTCCCGTTGAGAAAATCAATTTCGGTGCTGCCGCGGGCGCTGTGAATATCTTGCACCATGCTGCTCCAGTTGAGTGCCGTCAGCTCAATCACGTCACGCACGTGCTGCAGCAGCGCGCTGTAGGACAGTTGTTGTAGCGGTTCCTGCCCCTGCTGTCCCTGTTGCTGCATTCGGGCTTGCAGGACATTGGCACACTCGCGCACGATAACAGGCACCTTGTCTCTTATGTGCCCACGCTCCAGCAACTCGCCATTCTTGCATTCCTCCAACGCCGTTAAAGGATTCAGAACACAGTTTGCCACGAGCTTGCGGAGTGAGCGCATGGCAAAGTCCCTGCTGCCTTCTAGGTAGATTGCCAATGACGAGCACATGTAGGGCAGGGAGAGCATGCAGATAGCACTTTGTACGGTTTTGTACGGGTCATCCGCACTGGTAGTAGAAGCGGCGGAGTGTAGGCAGGGAGGGTATTCCATGGTAGTGAGGAGATGTTGCTCAACCTGCGAGCTGATTCTGTCGTCCTGCACACGGGAGAGGCCAAAGTGCATGGTGCCCTTGGCGGCATGTACAACTTTCAGGTGCTCCTTGCGCCACGTGCCGTGCGTGTTGCTGCCAAGGATGATATACGGCTTCGCCGCCGGATCAGACGCGAAGAAGCGCTTCACAATAGCTTCATCTTGACCAACGCCATTTTGCAGTAGGACCAGGGTGCCTGGGGTCGGGCGAGCACACAGTCTCGGTACCAGAGGCTCCATGGCTGAGAGGGTGATGTCTGCTTTCAAAGCGATAACGAGGATGTCGATGGGAGAGTCGCTGCGGGCGATCTCAAAGCCATCTTGGTGGTCAACTGCACCATCGCGCTCGACCTTGATCGACAGAGGTTCACTGCGGTCGCACCGTGCTTTCCGTTGCTTTTCGCTAAGGTGTAAGCAGATATGCGCAGGTGCTGCTGCAGGTAGGGAGGGGCTGCTGTTTAGAGCGCGCTTGAGATGAAACGCAAACAACGAGCCGACGGAGCCGACGCCAAGGATGTGGATGTTCATCCTTCACCTCACGTACAGTCGACCTCATGTCCTCGACCTTTGCATTGACTTGGTCGCAACTCGCATCCCATAGAGGGAAGGGACGAGGATAGGGGAGAAACGAGGATTGAGAGGTGGAGAAAGGGCGATTCAATTTGAGCGTTTTTGTGCGATGGATAGAGAAGTTTCGTGGCTCTCCGCGATTGCCGTCCTCGGAGAAAGCATAATCACTCCCTCGCGCTCATTGTCAGCTCACATAACTACATACAGTAGAGGCGGCACTTCATATTGGCAAAGAAACTGCTATCCACTCGTCTCTCACTGGCACCACCCAATATGACGAGTTCGTTGCCGAAATATTCGCTCAATCCGCACCTCTTACATGACACGATTGAGCCGCCGGTGGCTTTGGCGAGAGCATGGGCTTCGTCCTTTCCCTTGCCAGCCTCGCCGTGTCCAACGGTAGCGCTGATCAACCTTGCACAGGGCGTGCCCGGCACCGACCCTCCCCCTACTTTTACCGACAAGCTCAAGTCTGCGAAAATTCAGCATGACTACGGCGATGTGTTCGGGTCCCCCAAGTTGCGCCAAGCATTCGCACGGGATCTGAACACCGTGTATCGCGGAGATTTGACAGCCTCACAGCGGGCAGAGCGCGGTGCCGTCAAGATGGAAGACGTCTGCATCACTTCAGGCGCCAATATGGCATTTGCAGCTGTAGTGCAGGCGCTCGCAGCCAAGGGCGACACAATCGTGCTTCCAACGCCTTGGGTGCGTGTGGGCTTTCTTCATCATTAGATCACTCGATACTGACGATCTCACGCGTCGTTGGATCTGCAGTATTTCAAGTGAGCGACTCCCATTCCCGAAGTCTGTGGCCACTCTGACGACCGATGGCGCACCACAGCCACTACATGACGCTCACTTCGCTCGGCATAGAAGCGCAACCACTCCACACGGCTGCACCAGGCTTTGTTGTCACACCCGCGATGTTCCGAACAGCGATAGACGCCTGCAAGGCGAGGAATGGCTCGGCACCGAAAGCTTTGGTGCTCGTGACACCGAACAATCCGACTGGCACGATTTATTCACCGTCCCGGCTCACCGAGCTGGCGCAGCTATGCAGGCAGCACAGAATTGCGCTGATACTCGACGAGACGTACCGCGACTTTTTGCTTGACGAGGCAAGGTCAGCGAGGTCACGTCCGCATCAGCTCTTTGGAAATGAGCCAGCGGCAGATCCGAGAACCCCGTGGGACTGGAGAGACAGTGAGAGTGGTAGATAATAATGCGCTCAAACGGTACCCGGCTGACGCCATGTACAGCGCTCATTCACATTTCCTCCTTCTCGAAGTCGTATGCTATACCCGGTCACCGTCTCGGTGCGATCGCTTGCCATCCAGCACTGCTTGCGAGGGTCGGAGGCACGCTAGCCGCTCCATCCGAGACAGATGCACAGCAGCAAAGGCAGCCGAAAGGCAAGTACGGCCCTATCGCCAAGGCGCTCGATAATCTGCAAATCTGCCCACCGTTACTGAGCACGCAAGTGGCAGTGGCCTGGTCTGTCGAGGACAGCGGGCAGCAGCAGTGGCGCGTGGAGACGGCCGCCGAACTCTACACGCGACGGACGCTGTTCAAGGAGGCGGTCGAAGGGCTCTCTGTGCAGAGCGGAGGCGCTTGGCAGATCGAGAGCATGGGCGCTTACTATGCGTTTGTGAAGCATCCTTGGACAGGCAAGCTTGACAGTGAGAGTGTCGCGCGGGCGCTGGCCGGGCTCGTCGGCGTCATCACGCTTCCTGGCTCGTTCTTCATGCCTCCATCTACTGGCGGGGGATCTACGGGGGGTGCGGAGGAGCGGCTCCGCTTTTCGATCGCCAATGTCAGCGCAGACAGGCTCCGCAACTTGCCGGAACGTCTGCATCTTTTAGACGCTCTGTGGCACGATAGAGGCATAGGCTTTGGTATTGAAATGAAATAGACATGGACCACAGAATCAGGAGACGCCATTGCGCTTGATAGGTTCTATAAATTGTTTATGCCCTCCCAGCTCACCAAAAAAGGGGGGAAAGGAGGTAGTCGTGCGGCCAACCGAACGCATCGGTGTGCTTAACGCCTTCCCCACGAGCTTTGTGTTCGCTGCGGCACCTGGTGGGTGACGCAGAGCAGTGTGGCGGACACGCGCTGAAGGGTGTACACCTGGAATGCAGCTGAAACCACCCGCCTGAAAATGACGGGAGCAAAAAAATGTAACGAGGACAAAAAAGAAACTGTGACGACTGTGGGATTCGAACCCACGAACCCGAAGGACTGCGAATGGGCATAACCGAGTGGTTAACACCTGAACACAGCACGTTTGACCGCTTCGCTAAATCGCCGCGATTCATGTTAGGGCAATAGTGTATGCAATTATATACCCTCAAATTACCAATTGGGGAACATTATTTTGATTTCGCTCCGGTAGACCCAATCGCTGCAACTAGTGAACACCGGTCATCAGGTGACTAGCTGGGGGATTTGGGAGTGCGCTGGCATATGTAGCCTGTGGGCGCGCTATCCCTGTACCATCATTGCATTTGGAGGCCATGTTTCCAGCAGTGCATTATTCCAATTACTGACTTAGGCTAGTCGCTGATTCCTTGCGAGCCCATTCGGAGATCGCAACTGATGCTGAGAAATGGAATGTACTGCTGGGAAAACGATAGTGAAAGAGACGGTGCAACGCCCCTTGCAATCTAAAACACCCGCGAATCTGCCAGGAAGGCATCCGACTTCACTTGCTTCTATATGTCAAGATGCCACAGCTGCTTCCCTGGCTTTTCTTGATTTGAAGTAGGGCGGCAACGGGCCCCTTATCGCTCGGGGACGAACTGGCTGGAGGCAGCTGGCAGAGGTGTCAGAACTCGGAAGCTTTTTGAAAGTATGACGCTCGCTGGCACATCGACAGATTGAAAACACATAGAGAGCAAAGTCCCACGTTTTAAGTGAAGGCCAGGCCAGGTTGTTCCCGCGAAGGGCAAGTTGAATTTGGGATTGCCATTCGCAAGTTGAGAGCGCGCGCAGAAGTATGCATGTAGACTGTCGCTACCGGAAGAGTAGGCGTGTAACACTATTGTATAGTATGTACTCTCCGGCATTTGGAAGCGCGCAGCGTAGATAGTTTGGAGTGGAAGCGGAGCGTCAGATGGACGATCATCCCATACCTGCTTGTTCTCTTCCTGGTTGGTTCTGGCCATTTCTACATCACTTTTAGATGTCACCTCCTTTCCCTTCCTCACTCTTGTTCTCTTTGGGGCTCTTTGCGGATTTTCTCGGGGCATTCGTGTAACTCTTGGGCTTGGCAAAAGGCAGGAAGATTCTGGTTCCATTTACAGGGCACTTCCCAGGGGTTCGGTGCAGCATCGTCCGTCATCTTCGGGGTCTGGGAGGGGTTGCACACCACAGCTGCTCCATCGTCACGCTCAACACCATCTACCAATCTAAATCAAGGGACTCCTTTGCTCTGTCATCTGCATACCACCGAAAAACAGAACAGTATACACGACCTTTTCCTTGCCGCCTCCGCCGCAACTGCGCCCTCCCTCCCACCCTGTACTAGAGTAGGTCCGGTTGCCACCTGCTCCTGACCAACACAAAAGCCTTTCGTTCGGTGCTTTTGTCTCGCCAAAGTAGCGAAGGCAGCAGTGAAGGTTTCTTTCCGCCTGGTCCTGTTCGAGTATCTATTCGCTGGCGATGGAGGCAGCAGCAGAAAAAGATCAGCCAGGGTTAAGCTCCGCTTCCGGCGACGCTGTTCCCACCCTCTCGGGAAATGCAGCGTCAAGCACTGGCGCAGCCGATCCAATCACTGTGAGTCATTTGGAATGCGTGGCGTGGTAGCAGCCATTTCACTGAAACTATGTTCGTTCTACCAGGGCCATCGCACGACACTGTCCACGAACTCTAGCAACAGCACCAACTTCGCAATAGCACCGGCGCAGACGCCACGTACTACGAGCAGCGGAAGCGGCTTAGACGGAAGGGAGAGCGCTGGCGGAGTTGCCAGCCCCCGGGGTAGCAGCGGTGGCAGCGGCAGCGGCGCTGGTGTGGGGGTCGCGAGCTTGGGCAGTGCAGGAAGCTTGCCGCACCCTTCGCTGCTGGTCTCAAGCGGCTCACAGTATAGCTCAGGGGACCGAGGCACTAGGATGCTAGGGCCTCACGCTCATTCCTCGCCTTTTGGTGCCCCCTTCTCCAACGCCCCAAGCCCTCTGCCGCACCCGTCCACGCTACAGGCCAATTACGGCAGTGCTGGCAGCAGCAACCCGGCGCTGTTTGGCCGAGCGGCAAGCATCGCTTTGCCGTCCGTATACGGCCTTAGCTCGTTTGCTACCTCGCCCGGTGGTGCGAGCCTCGTACCCTCGAATGCGGCGGCGATGCTGAGCGGGAACCGCGCTTCGTTCTCAGGCGTTCCATCCGCCAACGAAGCTGCCGTTGCCGCTGCGTACCTCCTAGCCACTTCGACACCGAGTCGCTGTGCGACGAGCGCTGACCCCCTGTGCGGCCGCAGGGGTGGCTTCGAGGGCGCCGGCGTCCCCGTCTCATCAGCAACCAGCGGCCCACTCTCCGCGTCCGATCCCCGCACGCAGCTGTTTGTCGGCAATCTGCCGTACCGCGTGCGCTGGCAGGACCTCAAGGACCTCTTCCGCCGCTCCGGCACCGTCCTGCGCGCCGATGTGGCGCTGACGCCTGACAACCGCTCCAAAGGCCATGGCACAGTATTGCTCGCGACCGAGGAGGATGCGCGACGCGCGGTCGAGATGTTCAACGGCTTTACCTGGCAGGGACGCGTGCTCGAGGTGCGCATTGACCGCAGCGGGACCTTACTTGGCGGCGTCTATGCTGCCGGGCCCGGCGGAAATGCAGCTACGGGGCAGTTCTTGGGCCTTCCCCATGAGGTTGTCACCAGTCGACCCTGCGGTGTTGCAAGTGTGGGCGAAGATAATGCCTCGTTGCTCGCTGCGCAGCAGCCGGGATATTCCTTCAGCTCCTCAACATTCCAGCAGCAGCAGCGATCGCTCGGTGGAGACCTGCTCTCTACTGCATCCTCGAGCATGCAGCATTTGCAGCGGTCGACAAGCGGCACACCGCTTCCGCACCATCAGGCTAGTGGTGGCAGCTCCGCCGCTGGAATGAGCCCCGCATTAATCCCCTTCTTCGCTGCATCGGCTAGTGGTGCCTCGCCCGACCACCAGGGCGGGGTTCACGGTGTGTTGCCATACTCGGACGTGCATATACTTGGCGTTGCTGGCACTCGAGGCGGCGGCGGATCGCCCTACCTCGCCAATGCCCTGCCGGCGGGGAACGGCTCGATGGATGGCGCCTCGACGGCGACTTCTAGTGCAGCCGCTGCTGGCGGACAAGGGGGCTTGCACCAGCCGACATCGTACTACGGCCGCGTGCTATTCGTCGGCAACTTACCCTTCCAGTGCCAGTGGCAAGACTTGAAGGACCTCTTCCGCGCCGCGGGCGATATTCAGCGCGCCGACGTGGCAGTCGGCCCCGAAGGCCGCAGTCGCGGGTTCGGCACAGTCCTCTTCGCCACTGCTGAAGATGCGCAGAATGCCGTGCGTATCTACCACGGGTGAGTCCAGGCTGCACGAGGCGAAGTTGTGAATGGCGGAGACGAGAGGCTGATAATCTGATTGATTTCTCACTTGGGCTCGTCCACAGCTACGAGTACAACGGACGCACATTGAAAGTGCACTTTGACCGCTTTGCGCAAAATGTCGTCCCGCCACCCGGCTCGTTGCCTGCGACGCCGTCGCAGTACACGGGCGCATTCAGCGCCGCGCAGGCGTCGAGCAATGTCGCAGCTCCTACCGTCGCCGGCATCGCGCTGCCCAACGCTGCAGCGGCGGGCGGTGCATCACCTTACATGATGATGCGTCTCGGCCAGCACTCGCAGCAGCCGCATCAGCACGTTCACCCGCAGTACCAGCAATACCCATCGCAGCAGTCATACTTGCGACAGGGCTATACAGCTCAGCAGCAATACATGGATACGATAGCTCGCAACAACTTGTTGCTCTCCGCTGCGGCAAGTCAGGGTAGCTCGCACGCATACAACGCGTACAATGGCCCCAGCTGGGGTCAGCTGCCAGGCGGTAGCAGCGGCGAGAACGCTTTGAGTGGCCCAGCTGAGGTACCTGCATCCTTCAATGGCGCAGCGTACGACGGCGACCTGCTCAGGTCCTCGGCTATCGGTACGGGCTCGAACGAGAGCGTGAGCGCGGGTGCTAGTGCAAGTGCGAGCGTAGTTTCTAGCACTGGCGCTGGAGAAGTACGTCAGGCGAGCCACCCGGCCCACCCGGGGCGCATCGATCTGCCTCCGCTAGGGTTTCACCCTTCGGCGTCGTTTTCCGCATTTTCACCCGGTGTGACGATGACGATGCTGGGCATTCCCATGACGCCAGGCATGCCTGGCTTCACGTTTGAGAACATCCCTCAGACGCCGCCAACACGCTTTGGTGCACCGCTGCCGTTGCTGTCTCCCGGGGTGGGCGCGTTCAGCCCGCCCGTCGGCGGCGTAGCGCACCTCATCCCCGGTGGGCCCGTCACGCCTGGGGGGCAGCCGTTGAAACCGTACATGAATCCGGCGCCTGGTGCTCCTGTCCATATGCAACACTCGCATGCACACCAACATCAACATCCGGGGACGCCGAGCGCGCATCTGGCGTTCTACATGCCGACGCCGCACGGAGAAATGCCGCCGACGCCGCACTGGTCTCGCCCTCCACCGCCGCCGCCACACCAGCAGCAACTCCAGCGTCAACGCCAGGAGCAGCAGTCGAAGGAGAAGGAGCAGGAGCAGCAAGAACAGAAGCAGCAGTTGCAGGTGCAAGATAAGGAGCAAGTGGCGCAGGCAGACGGAGAAGAGCAAGATGTTGCGGCTGATGCGCCGGGCGCCGTTGATTGGGGGAACGCTGGAGCGACACCAGCTGGCGGTGACGGCTCGGTCTTGGTGACGGACTCGAGCACGGCAGGCAGTGTGACGGAAGCGGCGGCGGCGGCCTCGCAGCCGGCATATGAAGGCTACCCATTCCCTGTCGTGCCGCTTTCGGCCGGGATACACAAGGACGCGACCCCTTCAGCCCTGGCGCAGCGCCGTACTTCCACCAACTCGCTCACCGTTTCGGTGATGATCGACGGCCTCACTCAACGCTCGGATGCACTGCCGGGCAAAAGTAGCACCAGCGAGGGCAATGGCGGCAGCGGCAGTACTGGTGCGAATGCACTCCTTGGATCCAAAGGACTAGGGCGATTGGCTGGCATCCACGCTAGCAATAGCGCTGACGAGAGGCGGTCTTTGCTTTCGTCGGACATTCTCCTGGGCGGCAGCGGCAGCGTCGAAGGCGTTGCGCCGCCGTCACCGGCAACGACGAAGGAGCTGACGAAGAAGATTGCGCAGATGAGCGTCATGGGGGTTGCCCTCGCGAAAATGGATGGCAGCGCTGCTGCTGCGGGGCTGATTCCCCGTAGGAGCATCAACGGGGCTGGTGGTGCTGCACTGCATGTGCAGAGGAACGACCGTGGCAGCGACGGCGGTGGTGCCGGTGGTTGTGACAGTGCATGAAGCCAATCAGTGCTCAATGGGCCAGGGCAAAGGCAAGCACAGACTGACAAGGGGAGCGCTTTCTCTATGGACATTTTCAGAATGCAAGTGCAGTGGCAAAAGGGGGCCAAACGCATAGCGGGTGCAAGTTTGGCTTTACGGATCATCCATCATCATCATCATCATCACATTTATCATCTTTTACAATGGTAATCCTGCTCATCATTCTCTCTCAAGCATATGCATCTCATCAGTTTCTCGAATGCATACACCTTGCACGGCCCGTAGCGAAGCTCGCGTTTGCATGTGCGTACTTGCCTTTGCGTTTGGTATGTCCATGCTATCGCCGTCTGCCAGGCGGATCGGCATCGGCGGCGGCGGCGTCGAGCCAGGCGCGCGTGCCGAGCTCAAAGATGCTCCACGCGATGGCGCTGCTGGCGGCCTTGCGGGCGCAACGCAGGCCGAGCCCGTCGGCGAAGGCCTGCAGGCCGTCATGCGCGAGGATGCGGCGCGCCATGCCGAGCGTACTGCGTATGTGCGGCTGCTGCTGCTGCGTCTGGATGCGCGTCTTGATGATGTCAAAAGGGTGCGTGAGGAGCGTGGCGAGCGCGCCGGCGAGCAAGCCGGACGCGGACGCTGTCCACGCGAGCTGCTCACGGCATGCAGCGCTGCGGGAGAGCGTCACCTTGCTCCACTCGTACAGGGCAAGGTAGATGCCGGCGTACGGTGCGTCGCGTAGTGCCGTCGCACCAAAGCCTTGGTACAGCGCGCGGACGCCGCCTTGCGTAGAATAGATGTACGCGAGCGATGAGCGGAGCGTCGCGTATGAAGCCGGGTCGGCGCGCGCGGCGCTCGACTGAAGACAGAGGGGGGAGGGTGGGGGTGGAGGAGGGGCCCTGGGATGAGTCAGCCGCCGACGTGCGTTGCCTCATGCGCAACACGCTGTATGTATGTACGCACCTCCATCTTTGCCTTGACGACCGTGACGGGGGCGAGGAGAAAGCCGACGGCGACGCGCGCGACAGCGCCCGTCAGCAGGTTGCCCGCTGTGCTGAGCTTAGCGAGCGGCGACGCAGGCGTGCCTCCTGGCGCAGCGACCACGTGGTCCCGCTGCTGCTGGGACAGGAACGGCACGCGGCGGCACGCGACGGCTGCTCGCAGCTCGCTGACGCCGTAAAAGTATACGGCGACACCTGGCACGTTGCGCGCCACGGTCGGTGCCGTGCCGCGCCAGAATCCGCGCGCGCCTTCGGCGGCCCAGATGTCGTGCGCGGTGCGCAGCAGACGCGCTGTGCGGCTTTCCGCCATGTGCTGCCGCTGTCGCTGCCCTTGCCGCCGCGATTCCTGTTGTAGGCGCGTCTTGAGCAGGTCCATGGGCTGCAGCAGCAGGCACGACGCCAGGCCGGACACAGCGCCCGTCGCGAGCGATGCCCACGGCGGGACCTGGTGCTGGTGACGATGGGGCTCGCGCGTGCGGGTGCGGGGGCAGTTGCAAGTGCGAGCATGCTCTTCGTCAGTCTTGGCGCTAGCGGTCCACGTGGTGCTGCTCGTGCTCGGACCTCCGGCAGGAGCGGCGGCCATGGTGTGCTTGGTAAGCAGGGGCGAGCCGGAGAATATTAAGTATGCCCCCGTGAAAAAGGGAATTGGAAATGAAATGATATCGCCTGTCTCTTTCCTCTGCAACCCAGGACGCGGCTCCCGTGACTGTTGGCACGTGCGCCCCGTACGCTGCCTGCCCGCGTGGCTGCTGCTGCTGCTCTAGTGCTGGGGATACTACCAGCTGGTGCCACGTCCCGCGTCAGAAGGAGATACTGTAGATGTCCTGTGCATTTGCCTGTGCTGTGTGTATCCCAAGGCGCCCTGCACGAGCACCGAGAGGGACAAGAACCAAAGTTGAAAGTGGATGTGTAGCAGCTAGTACATGCTGTTGAACAGTGTCCATGTGCATCCCCTTCCCGATAGATTTGATCGGCTGCTTACTCAGCCGGATGCATCGAGTTGCACCGAATCCAACACCGGGGACTAATACCGCGTGTTGACCCGCGGCAACAGTGGAGACCATTTTTGTTCTTTTTTTACCTTGAAAAACAAATAAACAAAAGAGCATGGAGCGGGCGCAACTTTCTTTCTCTCCCTCTGATCAGCGGCCTTGAATGAGTGCATACTTGTATGTACCATCGCATCCCTCCGACTCTCCTACACGCTTCAGGCTTGCCTAGTCTTGCTTGCACGCCTTGCGCTGGAGCTCGAGCTCGCCCCGTGCGCATACTGCGTCTTCTCTCTCTCTCTTCTGGAGACAAAGATGCCGCTGCTCGCCTCCGACAAGGAGGATCGTCAGGGCGTCGACGAAGAGGACATCGATGTCGACCTCTTTGCCGAGCCAGCTGGCTTCCGCCCTCCCTCGCCCCCGCGCCGGACACGCACATTCTACGACCCGCCACGCGACCGCCTGCCCGCATGGCGGCGCAGTGCACGGTGCGTCCCCGCTCCCCTTTTGCCGCAGCGAGAGGGAAGCGCAGAGCAAGGAGATGAGGGCGGAGCGAGCACGCACACCATCCCCCTCGACCTCGTCGGCTTCAGCCCTCTCTGGGGCCACCATCTCTGGAATGCCGCGCCAGCGCTCGCTAGCTACCTGCTGCTGCACCGGCGCCAGCTGCTGCCCGCCCGCGCCTGCGTGCTCGAGCTTGGCGCCGCCAGCGGCCTGCCCGGCATCGTCGCGGCCAAGTACGGCGGCGCAGATCCGCGCGGCGACGATGACAATGTCGACGACGTTGATGAAGATGGTGATACGCGCCGTGCGGAGAGCGAGCGCCACGTCGGGCACGACGGCGCTGTGCTGCCGTTTGTCGTCAGCACAGACTACCCCGACCCGGACCTGCTCACGTGCCTGCGCGATAACTTGGAGATGAACGGCGTGCTGCTGCCGCCGCGCCGCGAGGGAGAAGGTGGCGTACAGAGCAATGGGAATGCTGTTGCCGAGGTGAGCTTCGCTTCCGTGACAAGGCGGATATTCTCACCCGAGCAGCATGCTGATGGCAGGCCGCGGTGCTGCAACATCCGACAGGGCTACATCTGGGGTGCAGACCCGCACAGTATCCTCGCACGCATCCAAGGCATTCCCAACATCGACGCCAACACTGACCCTGCGCGCGGCGCGGGCACGCGCAAATTCGACCTGCTCCTCCTTTCCGACCTCATTTTCAATCACCAGGCGCACGCCGCGCTACTTGATACGTGCGAGCGATGTCTGCGGCACGCTTGGAGCACAGACGATGAACCGGCAGACCAGGCAGGACGGAAAGACGCAGAACACGAGCACGAGAAAGAGGAGGGGTGGGGCGAGTGCAGACCGGAGGACTTTTATCCGCCTTCAAAGGACGACTCGGACGACGAGTTTGAGCTTCTGCCGTTTCCGTCTGCTGGAACGGAATCGGGAGCGGTACAGCCGGCGGTGCTGGTATTCTACACGCACCACCGCCCGCATCTCGCGTCGAAGGACCTGGCGTTCTTTGCGCGCGCGCGCGCGCGCGGATGGCACTGCCGCCTCGTCGCCAAGCGCAACATGGGCGTCATGTTCGTCAACGACCACGGCGAGGAGCGCGTACGTGCCACCGTGTGGGGCTGGTGTCTGACGCGCGGCGCTGCTTCTGCTGCTGCTGCGCCGCGCTCAGAGGCATGATGTGGCATATCTGCTATGTATCGTTGCCGCTGAGCGCTCGTAATCTACAGTCGACATGGGAAACAGGGATCCCATCGCGTATGCTGCTATTAGGCCTGTCTGTATGCAGATTTCTCTACGCTACCTGCACGTGTGGACAAGTGCACACACTTCCGTGCTGCAGCTCTTTGCCATGCCCGAAGACAGTTCCGTGTTGATGAGTGTCCTTTTTTCGGCGGGAAGGCGAGAACGACGGCATCATCAGCATCAAAGCCAGAGCCATGCGCTGTACATATGACCACCTGCTACTGCTGCTGCTGCACACCGACGCCGGGCTGGTATTCAGTCTATGCGACAGCCGTCTGCCAGGCGCCAGCCCAGCTGCAGCCTGAAAATCTGTGCGGCCATGAGGCGATGGAGTGGGTGCGGGGGGCTCCCTAGACGAAAGGCAGACGTCTGGCAGCTGCAGGGAGGGTATGTTACGTCATCTCTCCAGCGATCGGCACCTTGCCTCGAGCAGATCATGGCCACGGTCTGGGAGGCAAGAGCAGCCGACTGTACGTCCCGATGATGCAAATCCATATCATCCCTGTTGGAGCCATTCGACGCTCGTTCAGCCGCACCGCACGCCCGTGCATACTGCGTGGCGAAAGAAGCAGACTAAGCGCGCCTTCAAGCCTTCGCTGATGCAGGATCAAGCTTTCTGCAGTGCAAGTGGAAATGAAGTTGAAGGAAGAGAACTGGCACGGAAGCTGTTGCTGGATAAAACATAAACACAACCTCAACCGGCGGTCAATAGTCTGATTATACGAATACCACCCACGCACGTGCGATCGGACCGAAACACTCTCGCTTTTCGATCACCCGCGAAGCCTCATCACCAAGGGCATCTCCACAGCCCAAGAAGCTTTCAGCCATCTGGTATGTAGCTGCTGCATACAGGAGAGCATAGATGGCATCCACCCTGACCGTCTTGTGTGTAGATGTGAAATCGAATCTTGCTTCATAGCACTGAAGTTGGGCGAACGTGCGTTAAAACTAAAATTGCCTACTCCATCGCAGTGCGGCGCACCGCCAATGGGCTCCAAATTGACCATTTTCAAGTCGCCTTCCTCGCCTTCTTACGCGGCTCAGCTTTCACTCCGAGGCATTCAACGCATAGGTATATACCAGTCATGAGATACTGTGCAGTGAGGCAATAGTGTGGTCGAAATTTTAGAAGGTCAAGCAGCACAAACCCGAATATTGACCCCCAGTTTGTTGTCATCAGGTCTGGCCTTCCTACGACGATGGACAATGTACAAAAGAGAGGTTCAAGATGCGGACGCCCGATTCCAACAGAGTCGCGGGGTAAGGACGCCTTGCCCACCTATCAATTCCATTTGCTAACAGAAAAGAAGATGTCAAGAGCGCTTGCTGATCGCGCCCATGCCTGAAGAAGACGAGGCTCGAGCCCCAAGGCGCCGGGAACGGCGACTTTGCCTGTGGCGAGTACAACGTATACGTGCTAACGTGCACCGGGATTCTGAGGCTACAGGCACCGTCAGCGGCATGTCAATGACTGCTTGATCAACCTTGACTGTGTAGCAGTTGCGCATCCATATTTACAAGTGTGCGCGCACCCTCTGATGGCGATTCATGCACCTTTTCGCCGCGAGGCCTCTTCGAAGCGGCACCAGTGCAAGCCGAGTACATCATAGGTAGTGTCCGACGGCTGTGCGCTGTGCGGGCATCTTAGACCAATAAGCACTAGTATGGATCTCTTACATGATATATACCGCATGAAACGATCGAACACATCTGGTCGTCGTGGGCTTGTGGTTTGCCCCCTGTTTCATTTGGCGGGACCACGGTGGAGAGATGCAGTGTGAGCCCCCGTCAGCACCTCATAGGATTGCGAGTTCGGCTTGTTCATTTTCAAGGAGCCTCCACACTTTCCTCTGCGTCCGTTCGGCCTGATACTTCTTCACATGAAGCTGTAAGAGTAGTGATGAAGCTCGCTTTCACAAGTATCATTGCGGTTCCGCGCGGTTGTTGGGGGAAGCCGTCCGAGAATATGGGGTACGTAGCGAATATAGCTCAGAAGCCCTCGCAATTTACAGGATCCTGGGGCTTATCCTAGGAAAACAAGGTTTCACATGGTATTTACCAAGAAACTCTGCGGAATATAGGTGGATTAATGGAAAATCTTGTCTTATTGCTTCGAAATCCTCATAAACCCCTTTGATCCAGCCTGGTGATCAGCTGGAGCGGCCGAGTGCCCAAGCCGCAAGGCGGATACCCAGGAAGAATGGTGGGAATCCCCGCTACCATGCATCTGATCGCAGCTGGACGCGGAGGCGCAATTGCTTTGTTCCCACCACAGCCACACACACACACGTGCGCACAATGAGCGAATTTGCTTGGCAGAGACGCGGCAATGCAGCACGAGTCACACGTTGCTGCGCACGCCGTAAAGGGGGCAAAGGTGCAGTGTTCTTGGCATCAAGCGGTGCTGCAGTCTCCTGCCTACCTCATCGGACCGGGAAATCCTCAGGGAAACTTTGTGCTGGAAGTGCATGAGCGCTGTGATGCCAGCAAGGGGAGAGAGTGGGCCGGTGCTAACCCGCGTAAGCACCCTTAGTCTTGTCCGGCATCAACACTACCTCGTCCTCGTCTTCTCGCTTGCCTTGCTTCCTCCATCTCTTCATCCTCCATCTCCAGCCTCACCATCATCCCCCAGCACCCCCAGACCTCATACCCCTCCCTCCTTCACTGCTGTGCAGATGTGAGTACTTCCCTCGGGCCCTCCGGTCCCAGGACCTGACGGCGGTCGCCTTCCAGACGCAGTGTGCTGATGACCCCCAAACATTGCTCCTGCTCTCAGTCTGATCCTCTTTCTCGACGAAGGACGCATCATTCTCCGTACTCCCATCTCTGTCCCCCTCCCCCTTTCCTCTCTGGATCCTTCCTTGCAACTTGCATCGCTCCAGACTCGTTCGCCACTTGCCAGCAAAACCCACGCAACTCTTTGGCCAGCCCAAACAACACCACGCTTGTAGCATTTTTATCTCTCCCTCCCTTTCTTCCTCTCTCTGGCGGACAGCACGTCTTTTCGGCTACTATGAAGTCGAACTTTGCCCTCTGCGCCTTTACAGCGCTCTTCAGCCTCATCGCGACCCCCGCCTCGGTCGCCGCGCACGGCTCGCACAACGACATTTCCGGCCTCGCTGTCAGGCACCACGGTCACCACGCCAAGCGCATCGCCAAGCAGCTCATACACTCCAGGCGCAACGAGACCGACTCTGCCTCCAGCTCTGACGGTATCCAGTCGGACCACAACGTTTGGAAGGGCGTCGCTGCTTCCGGCTCGGACAAGTCATCGCCCACCAACAATGTCAACAGCAACAACAGCGATAACAGCAACAGCAATTACAACGACAATAAAGACGATGACAACAACCCCACCCCTTCATCTCCCAGCAAGTGGCACACACCTGCCTCTTTCTCGTACCACACCGGCAGCGGGTCTGCTCCCAGCTCTCAAAGCCAGACCAAGGCTGACAGCAGCGATGGCCATACATCGTTCTCCTCGCACGGCAAGGTCATCGTCACGCATGAGAAGCCCAAGCCGTACACGCCGAGCAAGGACAACTACGATGACAGTGACGACGACAATGATGACATCTCTTCATCTTCGTCGCACCATAATCCGACCGGCACTTGGAAGTTGCTCAGCCCGGCCGCGACTAACGGACAGCACATTGGCACACCCAAGAACGGCATGACCCACACGGTCAGCAATCACGGTGGCAACAACACGCACATCACGCTGCACAACGGCACCAGCTCGGTGAACGGCACGGCACACAAGGGTACCACGCTGAACAATGCCACCGCCATGTCACCGTTCAACAAGTCTGATGGCAAGTTCAACGCCTCGCTGCTGTACGCCGGTGACGTCTTTGCCAACGCGAAGTACCTCGGCAACGGCACGTTTGCGTGCAAGATCATGCAGAGCACCAAGGTCGACGGCGCGATCTACCGCAACGTCACATACACGCCTAAGGAGATGAGTGCTTGGACCAAGAAGCAGGGCGTTGATGTCTGCCACAAGAAGCCTGTCGCCACGAGCTCCAGCTCGCACCACAGCACGGCCAAGGCGACGTACAGTGGCAGCGCTGCGTCCGCCAAGGCCACGCACAAGGCAAGCAACGCCGTTGCGTCGTCACCTTCGTATGACTCGGTCAACAGCGGCGGTAGCTCCGGTGTCTGGAGTGGCAGCGGCGGCTCGGACGGCTCATCTGGTGACGAGGTCGACTGTGACGAAGAGGATGACAACGGTGACGATGGGGGGGATGACAATAACAGCAACGTCAGCAAGCCTTCGTCAGCTGCGTCCAAGGCCACGTCGAACGTACACGCTGCTGCTACCGCGAGCAGTAGTAGCAGCAACAGCAAAAGTTCGTCTGTGTCCACCTCCAGTTCATCGTCCTCGAGCTCGGGCTCGTTGGGCCAGTGGATTTCGAACGCGTTCGCGACTTACTACTTGCAGAACAACAATGCTGGCTCGTGTGGCAAGGTACACTCGGACTCGGACCGGATCGTGGCGCTGACGCCGACATACAACGGCAACAACCAGGCATGCGGCAAGCAGGTGCGTATCTGCGTCGCGAACAACAAGAGCAAGTGCGTCACCGCGACCGTCGCGGACCTCTGCCCGACGTGCATCACACCCAACTCTATCGACCTCAGCAGGGGCACCTTCCAGGCGCTCGAGTCCAACTTGGGCGTCGGCCAGTTTGCCATCACGTGGGCCTTTTCCAACTGATCTCGCCGTCTGCTGGAAGCAGTGGCGGGGGCTGCACTGTCTTGTATTGACCTGGCGCCTGCATCGACAGTGATATCATCTCAGCTGGGCCGGCTGCCGGTCGTAAGGATCACATATCAAAGTTACGGTTTTGCTTCTCTGTCGCGCTCGCTCGCGCTAGCTAGGCCGGTTCTCAGCACATTCAGGTGCGAGCTGTTTTTTTTCGTCTTTCCTCAGTTTTATCATGCAGGCATGCATGCATTCGAGCGGCTCGGATGGCGGGCGAAGCTGGTCTCTTCGCGCGGTCTCATTCTCGCGGCTCCACGTCCCCTGGCTGACCGGCTCTGCGAGCTTCTCGTCGGCGGATAGTGGGGGTGCCATCCAGGGCTCGCGGGCTTTTCTGGAAGCCAGCCTTTTTTCACACCGCACAACACCCTGTATTTCAAGGATTCATATCATGCTCATCATTTCCGTGTTCCGTTTGGTTCCGCGCTTTGATCTTACCGTCGGTGTGATCCGTAAGCGTGTGCGAGCGCTTGTCACAAACAAGCGCTCGGTGTCACTCTGCTGTGGGTCTAATTTTATCTAGGAGAGTTGGAGGAAGCGTGTCGGTTTTTGGGATTTCTGGTCCATGATGGCCTTTTGGCATCGTATTGTCGCATCCTGACTTTGTATTTAACCTTCAGGTCTCGCGCTGCTCTCAGCATCTCCTATCTGAAACCTGGAACCTGGCAGGTCGGGTCTAACCGATCGTCTTCAAGTTGCATAGCTATCCAGCCTCCTCGGTCCTCTTGGGTCGTCCCCGATTCTGATTCCCGCGAGCCGAGACTCGAAATTCATGCGTCTTGCCTCTTAGGCACTGGTGAACGCGAGTGCACTTGTCCCGTTGCATTGGTGCGTCTTCGTTTCTTCTCGATCTAGACGAAGGGACGGACCGCCTGATCAAATCGAGCCTAGTGTGACTTGCGATTGGAGGGCCAGCCTGATACACTCTGCTGCGAGAGAAGGAAGGAACCACAAGACGCCCCAACGCCATCAGGTACGCAAACACGCAGGCAAAGGCATAGTAAGACTCAAGGTCTTCACAACCTGCAGGCGCAAGTCTTTGCTTTAAAGCATCGGCAGAAACCTTTCGCCGTTAACCGTGACGAAAAGGGAGGCACAAGGCGTTTTTTGTACACGGCGACGCAAGATTAGTCTTCAGGTCGCATTCATCGCCATGCAGTCTGCAGATCCAGCAACGCTGTTCCAGACCGACGCATCGCTGGCGACAGGTCTCAAGCGCGCGCTCAAGTGGAAGCATACGTCCAGCGGCGCGCAGTGGGGCTCGCCGATTTGGCTCAGCACCGTTTCTTCTGCTACTGCTGTGGTCGTTGCTGTCGGCGATGCGGACGGTGCGAATAAGAGCAGAAGAGGTGCTGACGCTGACGGTGGCGGGGAAGTACAAGCTGCGGCGGACGCCGCAGGTGCAAATGAAGTTTCGAGTGCGAGTACGAGTACGAGTTCGAGCACGAACGGGCTTCAAACGCACATAGTCACAGACCGACTGGGCAAGCTACAAGTGGACGAAGATGTGCGCGACCGCGCAGCGCGCGGCGTTGGAACAGATGGTGGCAAGTGCAAGGTGCTAAGTATGGAGATTCTTCAAGAGGAACAAGGCTCTGATAGTGCCGATGGCATCGCGTTCGTTGCCGAGGGAGGCGGGAGCGTGCGAGCTGTGCATCTCGAGGTGTGTCTCCGGCGATGAATGCTGCAAAGAGGGCACGACCCGCTCATAGCGACTCTTTTTTAACCTTCCCGGTTTGCCTCCTGCTTCGATGTGCGGTAGACTGCACGCTCTCTAGCGACATTTCGCGCGGGTACAGGCGCTTGTTTCTGCCTGGGGCGCACTCCGCTTCGTCGACGTCTGTTCGTCGCGTGCGGATCATGGGACAAGGCGCTGCGCATCTACGGCTGCTCCTTTGCGACTCCCTCATCGTCAGACACTACCTTAACTGCAGCGCCGCCGAGTGCTGCACTGAAAATCATACCCAACGCTGCCTCCGACTTCATCAAGGCGCTCGCATACGACGACGCATCGCAGCTGCTGCTGAGCGGCGGCACGGATCTCCACGTACGCGCATGGGATCTGCAGCCCCTGCTTTCCCATCTCGACGGCCTTAGCGACGAGTCATGGCGCGCACTCGCTAGGAATGGAGCAGCAGTACGGGGCAGCGAAGCAACGTCTCTATTAGCCGTTGAAGCGATTGGGAATATGCGGCTGCATACGAGGCCCATCAACAAGATCGTCATTCTGCCCAGCTCGCCACTACAGAAGCACGCACCCACGCTGCCCGCGCCATCCGAATCGACTATTCTCTCAGCAGACAGCATGGGCCGCATCCTCGAATCGACGCTCATCGTGCGGCGCGAGCAGGGCCAAGCGCCCCGTGCGTCGTTCCAAGTGCGCCGCGAGCTTCGCGGGCACGAGACGAGCGTCAACGACATGCGCATCTCATGGCTCGCAGAAAACGTGGATGCAGGGGACGCTGACGATGGCGATGAGCATGTGCGCTGGTCTTGTTGCTTGTGGACGGCCTCAAGCGATAAGTCGGCGAAAAGATTCGATCTGGACGACAATCGCAAAGGCACGCCGCATGGCACTATAGCCGATCGATCGAGCAAAGCTGGAACTATTTTGGGCGATCAGCCGCCGCTTTTTGCTGCGCAGTCCATTGAACATACAGACTACGTGCAGAGCATCTTGCCTCTCCCTGCTGGTCTGGCGCCTGCGACGAAGGCGCGCAGTACAGACTCACTTGTGGTCACGGGTTCGTCGGATGAAAACGTCTACCTCTGGGATGCCGAGCTGGCGTCACAAGTACACTTTGATGATAAGCGGCGTGATCTGAAAGGCAACGCGCTTAAAGTGAAAGCGGCGAATGGTACTGCGGAAGGGGCCAGTGACGATGCCTCGCTGGGCCTCGTAAGGAGACAAGAAGGTCATTGGCATGAGGTCACTGCACTTGGATTGTGGAGACGAAAGCGGTATGGCGTGTTGGCAGATGAGACGAATGGCAGCGCGACGGACGAGTCCAAGCCGCAAGAGGCTGGATGGTGGATCATCACCGCTTCATACGACGGTAGCATTCGGCGGTGGCCCCTCGGCGGTAAGTGCCACGCTGACAGTGGTCGCAAGCTCGTGGTTGTGATTGGCTCTGACTCGCACTCTCTGCATCTCACTCCAGATCTGCTCAATCCGGCACCAGCGGACGCGCCAAGCTTGGCAGCTTTGCTCGCTACCGCCATCACAACGCCGGCATCGGTGGCGCCAAGCATGCAGAAAGCTGCTGCAGGTGCCGCACAGATGACGACGGAAGAGGAAGCGGAGCTCGCCGAGCTAATGAGCGATGAGGAATAACGAAAACATTGATTTTCTTTTTGATGTGAAGGAACACTGCATCACACTGCTTCTTCGCTTCACTTCGATTTCCAAACCACCGTCTAATCATGCGTAGATCCATAACAACGTTGCTTGTGTGTTCATTTGATTCATTGATCAGTTATGGCGATGAATTCGTGATGCTGCAGTGACCTTTAGAAGCAGAAAATAGCTTTGCGCTTCTGACTTCGAGCTTGACGGCATAAAGCGATGAAGGCCTATCCAGAACTTTTCTCAGCCTGGTGCAACTCGGATTCTCTCCCTCGCATCTAGTTGGTCTGGTCAATGGTCAGATGTGAGACATCTGGCGCATAAGACGATGGTTGGAAAACGTGATGGTGTTCGAGTTGCCGGCGTTCAGCGAAAACTGGACAGGCGCGCTCTGCAGACCCGCGCCGTCCGGGTTTCCTCAGGGAGCAAACAGGACGCTGTGGGTGGACACGAGTGGGGCAGGCGGGTCAGGAACACATTCAACCCGCATGACATCGAAAGTACGAGAAGTGTGCAAAGACTCACTTTTGGGCTGCTCTGTTGTTTGCCTTGACAAGCATGTTGCGGGGGTCGATCTTCCAGACGTCCGTGCGGTCAACGTACCACGAAGAGTCGCTGAACACATACGGCATCCACGTGTACGTCAACTCGCCGAGGTAGTCTGAGTGCCATCGGTCGCGGAGGTACCTGCCTATAAGGATTAGAAATGTGGCAATGATCGCGGGCGAGCTCCAGGGACTGGCGAGCAAGGTTGCAGTCAAGACAAGGTCGTCGTTCTGCGGAAAGCGAAAGTTGCTGCCTCTTCAATTGAGTGCACGGTGTAAATCAGAAGCCAAGTGTGGGTTTGAACCCTCACGGGCCCCCAGCCCAACTGCTGGCCTAAGATCAAGTTATACATACCACTGTGGTTTGGCAGGTAAATGACGGGGCGGCGTGCGAGAAATCCGTTACACTTTGCAACATTCAACAGTAGCGTGGACCACTGCCTTGGCGCTTGATCAGTCCGCTGCCTTTCATACCTGACACCCGAAAAGGTGTAGACGAGCAAGGCCCAAGTTGCGGTAGTCGACGGTCATCTTGGTAAGGGTAAAGTAGGCATTGCTGTTGGTCGCAAAGAAGAGATATCCCGAGCCGTCGTCATCGCCTTGATGTCGGTCGTGGCTGTCAAAGTTGAATGTTAACGCACAGTTCATGTCACGCAATTCTTTGCCGAGCGGACGCCAGGAGGCCTAGAAGGTGTACGGACCGGCGATTGACTTGGCCGTAGCAGGACCGACGTTTGCGAGTGCGTATCCATCTGAGAGACAAAGCTTATCGACTTTAACGCAAAGACACGACTAATATTGAAGGGAAGCAGGGGCATCAGGCCACTGGCTCTACACCCATTGCCCTCGCTGTGAAACCAGAGCAGGTACTCTCTCATCTTGGATTGTGAATGATCTTCGGATGCTCCCTGACGCTGGCGGAGGAGATGAGGGTGTTCATCTTGGGAGTGTGGACGATGCCGAGGTCCGTCCGATTGATCAAGTCGACAGAGTGGTACATGTGGAAGCCATTTGCAAAAGAGTCTGTGTTGCCCGTCGTGTCCTTTCCGACCCATTAGTGCCTGCCGTTCTTTTTGTAGAGACCGCCGCCGCGCGCCTGGATGCGAGCGCCATACTCAGAACCTTTGCAATTGTCGCTGCGGATACTTCACGGACGGTCAAGGGAGCCTTCTTGATGATCGTCACATCTTATACCAAACAACTGTTGAACATTTTGGCCTTTAGGCATGTGGACCTATATGCTTTGAGGTATCGGACGTTGCTGATCCCGTCTGCGGCCGCTATTGCTGCGTCTCCTGTTCTGCATTGTACCATGGTCGCGCTAAAAGCTACCCTGGAATCTGGTTCGCCTGGCTCGTAGGCGCTGGACGTCTTAGCTTCTCAATTGGCATGTAAGTGCGATAATGATGGGCGTTTCTTTGCTCCAAGGTGCACGCTTGGACTTCATGAACAAGGCATGAGCGTCTCGTCTGCTCCACCACCACTGCACCACTGACCACAGATTGCCCGCTTGTCGGCTGCCAAGCAACACGTCGCCGGGCAGGTGTTGAGCAGCGAGATCAGCAGGTGCGATTTCGAATCGGAGATTATCCTGGATCGAGTCACACAGGCCTACAGCATCGCCAGCTAATAGTTTCTTATCGCTTCACTATCGTCCCTTACATTGGCTTGCATCAGCAGCACACAGGGCAGATAACGCACGTGAGATGCACGCGGCTCGATGCCTTTGATCGGTCGTCGGAGGATGGATGTGCATCCGCACATACCCATTTCATGCGTGTGTTATTTGGTCTTTTCCCTTGCTTATGTATTGTAGAGCCAGTGGAACTAAACCATGTGAATATGACCAGCAACATCGGAGGTACACACAAGTCTGGATCTATCTGTACACAAGGGCCTCATGGGTTGTGTGCAACGCAGTTGCACGATAAGTCGCTGTCTGCTGCTGTCCAAAATGTCCATACACAACACATCCCGAGGTGTGATGACGTGATAGGATGGTAGAATGTAGATATTCGAATGAGAAGTTCCTTTCTCTCTGCACCTGCAACAACTTAACAATATCCATTCTGTAGGAGCGTATGTGCATCGATATATGTAGATGAACAGAGCTGTAGAGTGCTGATGAGTGTAGCCATAAAGCATGCGAACGATGAGCAGACGGCCGGACTCTCCGATATGCAGTATCACGCTAGCGGCTACATTCTACAATTGATGTATCGGCTTCTCGAGCAACGCCGAGCTCCCCGGGCGAGCGCAAGGAGCCTGATCCGCCCTGGCCCTACAGAATTTGTCCTCACCCGACCCCTCCACTAGATACTCTTCTCGCCCAGAATCCTGATGACATCTGCCACATGCTATCGGTCATGGGAATACAATGTCAGCTCGTGTGGCCATAACAGTGAAGCCAGTCGCGGAAATGCATATGTAGGAGCAGGGAAGGATGCTACCTCCAATTTTCCAGCTCGATGGAAAGTCGAAGGTGCGGGGCCCCGGCTTTGCGCGCACACGCGCGCAGCGGGAATGCCCTCAGAAGAGCACCAGAGCCTTGTTCAAAACGCCGAGATTCCCAAAGTTGCTTACCACTGAACACTCTTTTTCCTCCGTCTGGTTTGGACACTAAAAATACAAACGAGTACTGTCGGCTGGTGCCCTGCTTCTGGTCGAGCGTCGCATTGCGCCTTCTTTTCCTGCAAAATATTCAGGAATTCCTGCTCGAGGTATCTCCGACTTGGTCAACCTGCCGTCGTATATCTTTTGCAGTCTTTCCCAGGAGTCATTTCATCGTCCCTTCCGGCACCAAGGTGGAAAGTATGGGAGTCGTTCAAGATTGCTCGCGATGAAACAGATATGATACACGGTCCAAAATCCCCCTTCATGCATAATAGTCATCATCATCGTTGTCATCCTCCTCTTCCTCATCTTCCGAGTCAGCGACTGCTCGCCTGCGTCCGCGAGTCGGTCGCTTCGCTGGCGCCTTATTAGTCTTGCTGCTGGTGCTGGTGTTAGTGCTGCTGACGCCCTTTGACGCGGCCTTTGCCTTGCTATTGCTACTCTCCTTGAAGCTCCCCGCCGCCGCAGCGGCCGGCTTGGAGCCGGCAGACGACGAGGTAGCGGCAGCGGCTTTGCGACCAGCCTTGCTGACCTGTGCCTTAGCCGCGCCGCCGAGCGCCTCCTCCTCCTCGCCCTTGTCCCTGTAGCGTCCGAGCAACGCCTCGAATTCGCCCAGCTCCGCCTCGCTGTCCTTCTTGGCTGCCGCGGCGCCTGGCGCACGGTTTGAGCGCGCTTTGGCGAGGATGTCGGCGAAGCGCTTGTACACCTCTTGGTTGTGCAGCTTGTCTTGGTCTAGGGATACGGCCAGGCCGGTGCATAAATTTCAGAATATGATGTTTTCCTTGTGAAAGGTTCGCAACACTCACAGAAGGGAAGACCTTCCACCAGCTTTTTGATGGAGCGGTCCGATTTGTACGGCAACAGTGACAAACAGAACGCGATGTCGCGCCATTGCCGCTCCTCGGATGCCAGTCGGAATCTACAAGGCGTCGTTGCATCAGCTAAGTCGAATGTTAAGACATTGCATAAGTCACAAGCACCCACCTCTGGCATAGCTTTTCGACAATGCTCTCTGCCTGCTTTTCCTTGTCGATAAAGGTGAAGATGAACTTCATCGTCCGGCCAAACGTGTCCTCATCCACAGCGTGCTTGCCGACACTGAGGTGACTGATGATGTCCGGCAGGTTGTTGTATACTGCATTCTCCTTGGTCGACAGCTCGCTGAAGAACAGCTTTGCTAAGTCGCTCACGCGCGGCTCTTCATCCTCCAAGCACTTGGCCATCTCGCCCAGCTGGCCTTTGACCTTAATCATGCCATTCAGGATGAGATGCGTGAGCACCATCAGCGTGTGCTTCTTGACGCCCAGGTCACCATCGTTCAGGCCGGCATACAGCCGCTCAGAGTGCTCATTCATGAGACCGACAAAGCTGATGAAAATGTCGCCGAGGGCAATGACAACGTTCGATCGGATCACACCATCTTGCGACGTGGAGAGGATTTGCAGCAAGAGCCCCAGGTTCGACTCGCAGAATGTCGACGAGACGCACATGAACTTGCACAGCGTCAGTACCGCAGCCTTGCGGAGGTGTTCGTTCTGAAGACAAGCGTTTCGAATTAGTATGTTGCAGGAATCGACGAAGCGATTCGGGTCGCACTCACAGAATACGACTTTGGATTGGAGCAGATGTGCGTGACCATAGGCCCAAACATCGCCAGCAGCGATCGCTCTCCGTATAAGAGCTCCTTTTCCCTGACGCTGGCAACGGCATCACCAATTTCGTCCTCTGCGTTGCCGGCGACTTGGTCAAGCTCATCGGTCGCTGCAGCAGCAGCAGCAGCGGACGCGCCATCGGCACCCTTGCGACTCTTCTTCTTTGCCACCTTCTCTTTGTCCGCCTCCCCCCTTCTGCGCTTGTACTCGCGTTCGACAAGCTCAATGTAGACAATCTGCTTGAGCGCCACATGTCCGACGACAAAGAGCAGCTGGGCCATGGCAAAGGAAGGGGCGGTGGTGGGCGCGCCTACGCTCGTACCCGAGCTGATATCATGATCTTGCGTCTCTTCGGATTCGGAGTCGACCTGGCTGCTGCTACTGCCATCCCTGCTGCTGCTCTTGGCTGGGGCGGTACCAAAGACGTGCAGTGTCATGCTACGGACAATCTCGGCACACAGCGCGTCTGGCTGCTCGCCGAGCAGATAGATCGCTTGCAATGCATGCTCTGCAAGCGAGAACCATTCACTATTGGCGAATCTGGGCGTCTGCAGCTGCACGGCAGCGCGGAGCTTGCTGAACATGAGGTGGTTCATCGGGTAGCGAACCCGCTCATCAGACATGGCGCCTTTGACCTTCTTGACCGTGCCACCGACGCGGCCCAGCGCTATTGTGGTGTACTTGGCGAGAATGATATCTCTAGCGCCAAGGGGACCCAGGCCGATCCGGAGAAGAGAATCAATGCGCTCTGCAACGATCTCCTTGCGTGCAGAGGCGAGCATGCTCAGGACCATGATTGCACCGCGACGCTGAGCCTTGGGGATTGGGCGCTGCACCTCGTACACCGCCCAGAGCTTCTTGATCACATCCTCATGAACCAGGTCTTCCGTCTCCATCGTGTGCAGCAACTGCTCCAGCGACGTGAGCTCGGCAAGTGTGGCGCCAAACGTCATTTCGATCATGTTCTTCGTGACGCGCGCGACGTTGGCCTTGGGCGACAGGTCAGGCAAAGGGTCAAAGTAGATCGAGCGGTAGACTTCGATCAGCTTCGACCTAATACCTTTGAGCGAGGTTCCATCCTCCATGACGAGGGTGTTGTCCTTGACCCAGATCAGATGGATCATCTTGCGCATGCCAGCCTCGGCGCCCTCGATCTTGTAATCGAAAGCGACGCGGAAGAAATCCATTGCTTCGAGGACTTCGGCTTTGCTTGTGGACGCAAGGAGCTGCGAGAGCATCGGCAGCGCTGCCGAAAGCTGGTCGATAAAAGCGAGCGCATCGGTGTAGTAGCGCGATGTAAGGCGCAGCTTCATCAGCTTGTCTGCTTCTTCCGGCGAGAGCTCCGCTTGCGAAGCAGCCAGTGCTTCCATGTCGACAACACTCTTGCGTGGACGGCGCTTGGGTGTGTTATCTCCGGCTTCGGCCTCCCCATCCTCTTCGTCCTGATGCCCCTTTTCTTCAATCGGCAGTTCGATGCTCAGCTTCTTCTCGGCCGCCTCGAGCTCTACGTGGACCTGCTCATTGCGTTTGGACCACTCAGACTTGCTCAGCTCTCCGCCGTGCATGAGCCCGTACGGATGGGTGAGGATCAGCTTGGTGAGCAGGCCGATTGCATTCTTGCGCACAGTGGACGACTTGTCCTCCAACGCGCGTACGGTGACCTCGAGCAGCTCGGCGCGCTGACGGGGGAACTTGGTAGGCAATTCGAGCAGCTTGGAGCAGACGGTGATCGTCTTGCTGCGGACATAACTGTTGAGGTCCAGGAAACGCTCAAGTAACAGGTCCCAGAAGCTTTCGACCTGCTTCTTTCGAGCCTCGACGCTGTCTAGCGCAGCGCCCTCGCCAATGCTGCCACCACCATTCGCGGACGAGTCTATGCCTTGCCCGGCGTCACCTCCTTGGCCCATTGCAGCATCATCAGAAGTGACCAGATCTTTGATCAGCAGCCCGAGGGTTTCCAGCATAGCGTTTCTCAAGGGATACGACTGGAGACATGATAACTTAGCACAAGAAGACTGTAGAAACTTCGAGGGTGCGTGCGACTCACCTCGCTGTCCAGATGCCGTTGAAGCATGGCAATCGATTTGCGCATCGTACCTGGATTGTGCTCACCGAACCGAACAAGAAAGCGGCCAAAGCTTCGGGGGCTTTTGGAGTCCTGAGCACTGAAGCTCTTTCCGCTGATCTCCCGCAACACTTCTTCTCCCAATCGGACGTGGTCGTATTCGACGCGCAAAATGTAAAGCAGCTCTGCGAGGTAGTCTGGGAGATGCTCGCTGTACTGTAGAGATTGAATGATCAAGGCCAAGGCCGAAGGCGCCTGCGAGTGGAACTTGATCGTTTGGCAGATGAGCTTGGTGATGCCGGCCTTGACTGGATTGCCTTTACCGATTTGCGAGTGAGAGGGTGTGCCAGGATGCATTGGTAATGACTTGAGGTAGGTCTCGTGTTCGAGCAAGAGAAATGCAGGGCGCATGAAGCAGCCAGAGATGAATGCATCGCGGTCCATCGTAGCGGTCCAGATTCGAGCAGACTGCAACGTGCGCACAGCCTTGCTGAGGAGCCCGAGCAGCTGCGGCAGCGTGTCTGCCCAGACCCATCCGTCCTTGAGCGCAGGGGCTCCCTTTTTCTTGGAGCCCTTGGTTGTCACGCCAACGACGCCGGCGGTGCCACTGCCGCTTCTTGGGCGGTGCTCTCGCTCTGCAACGATGAAGAGCCACTGCATGAGGAACCCCCATTTCTCTAGTGCCTCGCGGTGCAACGGGTACTCGGACGCGCTGCCTTCATCGGCGGAGGCGTCTTCAAGAGCCTTGTTAAAGCCGGTGGAGATGGCATCTAGCAACTTGGCTTGAAGGGATGAGTTATCGTTGAGATGGTGAAAGTGCAAGAGGAAGGAGCGCAGAGTGTCGAACAAATCTACGTCGCCCACTGGACTGATGATTGGGTCCGAGCCCAGGGAAGAAGCGGAGGCGATAATGTCTATAGCAGTGTTGAACGTCGATGCAAGCTCTGTTGCATCCAAGTCGGGGACTTGGACCTCGTTTGGGATGTGGTACGACGTGTCATCGCGTGAGGAGGGGAGGTTGAGGAGCTCGTCGGCGAGGTTGAAGCGTGAGCCCCGCGCGCTGCCTTCAGGCGCATCCACCTCGTCCAAGCTCATCTTGGGCGTCTTGCCGTTTTATGCGACTAACAAGATGGAAGATGAGGTTCTTCTTCGAGAAATGAAGATGGTAGGGAGCGAGCAGAGCATGTGATGAAGAGCCTTGAAAACACGTCTCGCTTGTGAGAGTGTTGTTCATGGCAAGTATGCTGACTTATGCGCGACGCGTAAGTCACGTGATGTGGCTCCACGCTGGCGGGCGCTGAAGGCCCACTTTGTATAGTGTGGGTTGCTCACCTTCACAACGTGCTTCTTATCATTGACCTTGGGTTCGTTCTTCTAAAGCCTTCGTGCGCTGCGCTATAGGACAGAGTAACAGAGGACACTGGTTTGGGCGTTGCATCGACACAGGCTTGTAATATGGTATGTGGTTGTACGAGTGACGTTGTCTACGGAGCGGCGCTGACCCCTTCCAACGAATGCGTCGCTGCAGGAGCAACAATCTTCGGCTTCGAAAGAGACTCGGGTGGTGGTGGACTTTCTGAGGTGCGTGTGAAGCGCTACACGAAAGAATCTTGCTGCTTGCACATGCTGATAGCTGCTCTACTGACAGAGGGTCGAAATCCAGCATCAAACCGCATGTCGGCGTCCTGAACGGCAAGCGTGTGGAGTACTTCAAAGGCTCCAAGGCGACAGCGGCATTGCTCTCGCCAGCCTACGCCAAACTCAAAGGCGCACCGCCAGTCGCAAATGAAGAGGAAGCCAACAAGCTGTTGCACGGAATCATCCCATATGCATTCTTTCTGCGCGCAGACAAGGGGCCGAAGACAAAGGAAGGAGGGAGAGTACTGCAGATCAACACGATGCAAATGTTCCAACCCGAGCTGGTGCGTCCGCCGGGCGTGCTTTGAACCTAGTTGAGTATACTGACACAGTTCTTCCATCTTCAGTACTATGTGTGGCTCTATGAGGGCTCGCAGCTCGGGGTCAAGCTCGCAGGCCTGGGCATGGTCGCCGTCATGCTCGCCGGCGTCATGTTTCCGCTATGGCCGCCCATCATGCGCCAAGGTGTTTGGTATCTCTCGATTGGCGCCTTGGGCCTGATCGGTCTGTTCATCGCTATCGCCATTTTCCGACTCATCTTTTACGTCATTACGATCGTCGTCGCTAGACCGGGTATCTGGTGCGCATCCTCTCCCCGACACTGAACTAGCGCGGACCGCTGACAGCTGCTCTTTTGCTTTCAGGATCTTCCCCAACCTCTTCGAAGATGTCGGATTCGTTGACAGCTTCAAACCACTGTGGGCATGGGACATCCCGCCTCCACCAAAGAAGAAAAAGACACTTTCTATCGCTGTGGACGCTTCGCATGGCACTACACAGGCCAAGAGGCAAGCAGTCGCAAACCTTCCCGGCATCGGGCCTGTGGCTAGCCCGCAGATGAATGCTACCCCCCAAGCAGTCGCAGCGACTCCGACCACTGCAAATGCGCCATCTGTCACTCCGAGCAATTCGGATGCCAACGGCGGCTTCGGCGCGCAGCAGCAGCAGCCGCCGCTAAGTGCGTCGGCGAACCAGCAACAGTACGACAAGCTGGACGAATTGGATTAGGTGCGAATTAGGTTACTCCCCTCTTGCATTGCCCTACTGTACAACAGGCTTTACACATGCAAACACAGATACTAGGAGGTATACATCCAGTCGAATCCCTCTGCCTCTCGACACATCTCTTGCAAGCTAGCCTTAGCGCTTTTGCTGTAGTTGGTGATGATGGTGGACGTGCTGCGCGCGAGATCGCCAACCTGGACTGTCGCCTGCCAGAGCTTGAGCTGCGTGTCCCGCCCACTCGCATCGTCGAGTAGACTGCGGTCGTCGTCCGCAAAGGGCGACCATATAGTGTGGTATCCACGTGCGTCGTGCTGGACAAAGTCAGACGTCGCGGCGGAGGCATTCGCGCTCCTCTTCGCAGTGCTTTGCGCAGCAGAGATCGGATCAGCACCAAGGCGGTCGGAATCGTGTGTGTGCGGGTCGAGCAGGTCAAATTCTGGGTGAGTGGGACCTGTGCGAAATGCTTTGGGGATGTGCAAACGCCTGGTCTCTCTGCGCGCTTTGCTTAGGTTGTGTTCGGCTTGGAGGGCGCGGCGAGTCATGGCGCCTGGGTTCGAGAGCTCCGCGAGGCGTTGTAAGCGTACACACTCGCGTCGCGCGACTGGCGGTGGGAGGGGCATGTCGAGCAGGCGCCGTTTTCGTGAGCATGGCGGTAGCTGCTTGCTGCTGTCTGGCTGGAGCTGCCGTTTGAGCGCTTGCAGCGCTTGGCGTACTCCTCCCTTCCAGGACTCCGCCCCCGGTAGGCCGCGTTCGATACCAACATCGAAGCGGCATATCTCTGCGATGCGTTCGGGGTCCTGCGGAAGGTAGATGCTGTTCTCCTCGTTAGCCGTGCCCGTTACACCGGTCTGATCGTGTGTCATGTCGTCCATTGTTCCTTCTCCCATTCCATCTTCATGTATGTTGCCTTCTTCATCGCTCTCTGCTTCCCTTGGGGCATACCCCCGCTCATCACTTCGCCCCTGTGGGAGTTGCTCAGCCGAGTCGTCGTGAGTGAGGTCGATGATGCGTCTGCCGAAAGGACTCCCCGCTGAGACCGTCCTTTCGCGTACCATCTCAGCACTACCGCTCACGCTGGCGCTCGTGTTGGCAAGCTCGACGATGCTCCCTGTCGCGGACATGTCACTGCTGTCGTCCTCTCTTCCGATGCCTTGCGGGCGGCCAGATGCGTCATGCGTCAAAGAATTAAAACGCGACTCGGATATGAACGGCAGCCTATCTGTACTGCTCCATGAGTCGTCTTGATGCGCTGTAGCTGTATTAATGGCGTCGCCAGCGGCAGAAGGTGCAGAGGAGGAGCGGTCGGAAAGCGTAAAGGTGACGGCTGCGGCCACGAGACGCTCGTCGGTCGAGGACGTGCTCGTGCGCGTGAGCTCAACGGCTGCCGCAGGCATATGGGTGGGCTTCTAGGCTTGGCCCTTTTTACGCTCGTTAATTTTGTTCAGCGGCGAAGTTCGTTGCTAATCTGGCTGGCGATTGAGGTCATGTAGCTGATGCCACTATTGAGATAATTTGTGCAAAAGCACTCCAAGGATAGGCCGCTCCTCTCGACTTTCTTTCGGGGGTGTGGAGCAGCGAGCGAAATAGAAAATTGGTCAACTCGCGACAGCCAGCGAAACGGAAATCTACGGGATATGGTCCAAGGCCCGGATATTTGTTCAACTCCTCGAAAGTTTTCGTTCTAGATGCGCTCCAATTCTCTCTTGAATTCCCAGAGCTGAGGGGAAATTCGTGGATTTCGGAGTTGCCCGCCCCCAGTCATCAGGTCCTGAGTGTCTTCCAACAGACTTTGATGTCATCATGGGGAACTGCAACTCAACATCTGACGAGTTCAGTCTTTAGCGTTGCGATCTTTCGAATGTCCGCCTCGTTCATTTTCATCACCAGAGTTCCTGCGAATGTGCTGGAGCAACCCCTGAGAACGCCACCGAATGGACATCAAAATGGCTACACCACGGACGCTCGACGCCGGCAGCGGCCCGGCGTTGGACAAATCCAGCCTCTCCTATTCACTCTACCTCGTCACCGCTCGCCAGCAGATCCATCCGGATGCAACAGCGAAACTTGGCCTTCCCCCCAATGCCTCGCCCTTGGAAGTGTATCTCAAGCATTTGGAACTGATCCTGCAAACGGGAAAGGTCACAATACTGCAGCTTCGCGAAAAGGACGTTGAGCCAGCCATTGACAATGGCGACTTTCTCGAGCTTGCGCAAAAGAGCCTCGAGATTTGCGACCAGGTGAGTTCTTCTTCCATTTTATCTTGCCGATAGAAAAGACGCTAAATAGACTCTGTAAATAGTACGACATTCCCATGCTGATCAATGACAATATCAGCGTATGCTTGGCCCTGCCGCTGCGCGTCGGGCTGCACATTGGGCAGTCGGACATTCCTCTCGAGATAGCGCGTCGCATGCTTGGCCCGCACCGTCTGATCGGTGTATCTGCAAAGAAGCAGCCACATGTACATGCTGCTCGCAAGTTGCTCAATGTCGCCGATCCTATCAGTGGCAAAGTCGTGCGAGTGCCCGCTGCAGACTATGTTGGCGTTGGCGCCGTGTACGGCACACAGAGCAAGGTGGGCCTCAGCTCTGCAGACATTCTCGGCCCGCGTGGCGCGGCCCAAGTCATTCGCGCGTGCCACGAGCCGCTTATCGACTGTGAGACCGGAGAGCGCCTGCCGCTCATGCGCAGTGTGCTCATCGGAGGTATTAATCGCCGCACCGCCAAACGCGCACTGTTTGCCACTATTGGCCCCAGCCGCGTGAATGCCGATGGCGTCGCCGTCATTTCGGACATCTATGCCTCACCTTCGCCGGAAATTGCCGTCGGAGAACTCCGTTCTGTTGTCGACGACTGCCTTGTCACGCTGTCCGGCGCCGCTGAACGCTCTTTTGTCGCGATCAATGAGGATCTTACACATAACGATCTGATCGAACGCGTCACGCGCCTGCAAAAGGCACATTCGGCATCGAATGCTACGCCTCCGCTCATCCAGACCATCACCTCGCACGTGTCGTCCACGCTGAGCGCCAACGTTGCGCTGGCGCTCCGTGCGTCCCCGATCATGTCGCACCAGGCTGAGGAAGCGGACGATCTGAGCAAGTTCACCGGTGCGGTCGTGCTCAACATTGGCACCATTGGCGAGGAGAGCAGGAAAGGCATGCGAGCTGTGGGAGCCGCTGCAAATGCTGGCAAGCGACCCGTCGTGCTGGACCCCGTCGGCGTTGGTGCAAGCACGTTCCGGAAGCAGATCGTGGAAGGTGAATCAAGGCGGCGCCAGCTTCGAATCCAGGTATCGCTTTGGATGGTGTTGACGTCCATTACTCCCCCCCTTGTCCCCGCCCAGAAATCCTCAACCACACGCAGGTCACTCTAATCAAGGGCAACGCGGCAGAGTTGTCGAGCTTGGCAGGGCTCGGCGAGGTGCAAACCAGCGGTGTCGACTCGGGGAGCGGCTCACTGTCAGACCCGATCAAGTTGGTCACGACGCTCGCCCAACGAGAGCGCTGCATCGTCTTGCTGACCGGCAAGCGCGACTACCTCACCGACGGCCACACGGTTGCGATGGTCGATAATGGCCATGAACTCCTCGGGCGCATTACGGGAAGCGGCTGCGCACTCGGCGTCGCGCTGGCCATCGGCATGGCGCGCGGCTGCGCTTTCAGCCAGAGTCTGCCCGGTGATCCCGGCCTCGGAACAAATGTGGCGCGCCTCATGGTCGACTGCACGCCGGAACTCGTCTTTGCAGGTGCCTTGCTTGGCTTGCTGAGCGTGACGATCGCGTCCGAGCTGGCGGCGGAAGACCGAGCGGTGCACGGTCCTGGAACGTTTATTCCCGCCTGGCTCGACGCTCTGAGCCGCATCGACGAGTCTATCCTCGCGAGCCGTGCAAAACTGAGCATTCATAAGTACAAGCAGGATACATGCGGCCACGATGAGATCGACACGGGCATGTCATAGACTGTATCACTTCTATTTTTTTTCGCTTGAGTCATCGATCAACCGTGTCCCAGGGAGGCGTCGCTGCGCTGCCTTTTCTTGAGACCACTCGTCGCGCGTCCGCTGTTCGGATGTTGAAACAACAATTCACCAGATGTGCGGCCGGGTCGATTGCAATTGCGAGATAATAACACCGTCGTGTATTTTCTTTCTCTTGCTGGGTGAGTACCAGGGCCGATTGATCAGGCTTATCCCGCAAGGGTGGGTCAGCGCGACAATTGACTGGAGCCCGTGACTCGTTGCCAACCAATTTGAACCCCTCAACCTGATAGAGTCTTGCGCTGGCAGGACGGTACAGAAGCGACTGGAGGCAAAAGGATTCCTCGCCTTTGTACTCCTCGGAGGACAAAAAGAAAATGATGCCTGTGGGGTTCGAACCCACGATCCCTAAGGACTTGCGTCTAGTCCGCTGCAGCGTTGAAATAACCTAAAGCAAGCACACTAACCACTATGCGAAGGCATCAGATCCCGGAGTTTCGGGTTTCTCATTATGTTGGTGCCACATTGAGATCCAACGAGCACACTTCAATCATAACATCCATTGCCAAAATCCCCGCTTTCGGGGGCGTGGCGTGATGCGCAGTCCGCCTACACTCTGCCGTCTTGCACCCGCACTGTCTGTCTGCTTGGTTGCTCGGTGTTTGCTGGAGCTGTACGCGTTCTGTGCCGTCGCTAAGAGGTCAAAAGTCAAGCCAGCTATGCTGCAGTTGGGGACACACAGCAGCACCGACGCTGCTGCAACCATGGGCTGGTCTGCTTGTCCATTGGTAGAGGTGCGGGGAACTCTGGATGATGCGAACGCTTTCACAGAGCCGATGCTGTTCAAGGCGCGGTAGGCGTCATATGACGCTGAGGGCACAGTGCACACGGCTAATGCAAATGATCTTTAGTCGGGGCAGCCTTTGCGCGTGCGATGGGTGACGACATGGGTTACTACAAGTGCTGAAAGCTGTCAACGGCATTGTTGTTGCTGCGGGTATGCATGCCACCGGACTTCTCTTCCCTCATTAGAGAATCTCCAGCATAGGCATGTGTCTGGAGATTGAGATAATATAGGACAGCAGATGGCCACCCTATAGGAATTCAGAGCAACCAGCAACCCTTTACCTGTTCTCATCATCGCCTCTCACATAGGCTCTGGCATCAGCCGCAGCAGTGGCTGTGCAGCAGCGCGCTCACCGCACACGAATCGATCTGGCAGCCGCGGCCCGAATTTGTGAGAATGCGTATGTGTATAAGTAGTTGCACTGCCACAGCCACAAGCATAAAACGCACAGACACGCACAGTAGCTGCATCAGTCTGTCAGTCAGGCAGCCTTGGGCAATCAACACAGGACAGTCGCCTGGCGCCCATGCGGGCCCGGTTGGCAAAGCGTGCGTATCGTACAAGACACTGACGGGGTACGAGACTGCAGCGGTGCCCCTCCTGAACACAGGCAGCTGGCTGCGTCCACGTCCACTTCTCCAGTGCTATACCCGCAATCAAGCAACACTCGTCCTATTCTATTCCATCCTATCCAATCCCCATCCGTCCTATCCAATCCGTTCATCCTCGACCCCCCCGCCCATTACAAGACTGGCTATAGTAAAGATACCGCCCGCCGTCGTACCCGGTTCAGAACGCCCATAAACATACGTGCTCTGGTACAGTCACTTTCTCCCCAGGTGTAGACTGATTCGCTCGCTGCGGATCCAAAGTTTCGATCACATCAGAAAGGACACCAATCATGTCAGCCAAGGATGTGAGTTCATATGTCGCAGCGCTGCGCGGCTCGGAGCAAACACTTTGCGGTGCGCTGCATGGCCATCATACCAACTGATAGACCGTCGCCGTCTCAAGTACACGTGATGAACTGACAGAGTCGTCTCTCTCCTCTCCACCTTTCCCCCTCGCCTTGGCCCCGTGTCTGCATCAAACGACGGATCGTTCGCTCCCCAGTACTACGGTGGCGGCGGACAGCCGCAGGGTGGAAACCCACAGGGCGGATACCCGCAGCAGGGATATGGAGCCGGATACCCGCAACAGGGCTACGGCCAGCCGCAGCAGGGAGTGAGTTGAAAGAACGAGCCCGCTAGCCGCCAGCCGAAGCCGCGTTCATAGTTCCCATGATCTCTGACCCACACCCCACCCTCCCCACCTTCGCTGCACACCACACTATCCCGCACCCGCCTCCGTCACTTCGCACGCTGTGCGCAGGGCTACTACCCACCACCGCCACAGCAGGCCTACGGCGCGCCGCCGCCCGGCCAGCAGGGCGGCTACTACCCGAACCCGCAGCCGCAGCCAGTGTACGTGCAGCCGCAGTCTAAGAAGGGTGGCGGAGGTGGCGCAGGAATGGGCTGTATGGCGTGCTGCGCCGGTATGCTGGCTTGCTGCTGTCTCGAGGATCTCTGCTTGGAGTGAGTATCGCGCTACCTGCTTGCCTTGCGTTGGTTCGTTTGTGTGTGCACCCACCCCGGCTCGGCTTGCTGACGGCGCTTGCTGTCCCTCATGTCATCGCAGCTGCATATTCTAAGCGTCCACCTCGACCTCGACCCCTCTTCTTCCCACCTTCACACGCACGGCACATGTACATGGCGCGTACACAGACGCCAGAAGACAGCAGCGTGTGGTGGCAAGGTATAGAATGACGAGCGAGCACGCCCAGGGCCGCGTCATCTGTGCGTAGGACTGCTCTCAGCCTTTGTGATGCTCTCCTGCCCATTTCGATCCCGATGATGCATACCGCTCGCTATTTGTTTAAAGAACCAAACACAGGCGCTCCAGAAAACTCAACAGTACACCCGTCGCCCTTTCCCGCTTTTTCCTGCGCGCAACATTTCCAAGCACGCAGCGAGATTGTTACCAGCTCTCTCGCGGTTGCGCACCTCTTCTTGCTTCGTAGTCTCCCCGCTCCGTGCCTAAACGCTTGATCGAACGAACGACTGAATGAACAGTGGATGTACGGGAGGTGGTGATGAATACATGATACATGCATGATGCTTGGTAGTTGAACTATGATGTATCGTGATCCCACTCGAGTGGCCCGCGACGATGGAGTCAGATTCCTGACCATAGCGTGGGCATGAACGACGCGTACACATCCTGGAGAACTACGAGCGTTTCACAACTGCTTCATTCCATGTACTCAAGACTGTGCGTACCAGTGTCCCATACAAATCCGCGTTATACCCTTGCAAGTCGGCAGAAAGATGCAGGCCCAATCGATCCGAAGTTCCATATGAAGCGGCCTACACTCCACATGCGCATGCCCTGAGGGTACTAGCCGTCTCTGCTCACGATTGCGATCGCGCCACCTCGACTTGAATTGACCCGACCCGAGTCGGCTCGACTCGCAGTGCAGTCAGTGGCTGGGACTCGACGCTCATCATGCATGCATAATGCATTCGCAGTGTCAGGCCCATCCTGCACACTTCTACGCAATCAGATGCACCTACTTTTGCATCTCATCATGCGACCAAAGCTGGCGCGCACGCAACTTGAACAGCTCATGCTCGACCGTGCATCGCATGTCACACTTCGGCGGCACTCGCACTGTATAGTCACAAGGCGGGTCATAGTATGAAATGCCATTTTGTTACAAGGAGACATGGAGAGTGAGAACTGCATACAGTCAGACAATACACAGTACCACAAGGTGGTGGTGATAGGGATGCGGCGGACGAGCGCTGCCTTCGATCCTGACGCTCCTCCCATCGATTGAGCGAGCGTGGCCGGCGTGCACAGGCTGGTAAGCGGATGGAAGTGCGATTAACTCTCGCCCTTTGCTCCTTCTCCCATCCAGCCTGCAGACATCACTCAAACGGACTGCCTCCTGCCCTGTATTGAGCGCCGCTGCGCTTGCGAGCAAAAATCCAAGTCAAGCAGCTTAGTTGCCCGCAGCAGACTCCTTCTGCTTCCTCCTCTGGTCACGCTCCTCGGTGATGGTCAGCTTGACACCGCCGCCGCGGGGGACGGAGATCCAGTGCTTTCCGTCAGTGCCGGTAACGAAGATGTTGCCGACACGCGTGCTGAACTCCCGGCCGAGCGGGTCGCGAACGTGGACAATGTCGAAGCCGCCCGGGTGCCTCTCACGCCCGGTGATGATGCCTGCACGACCCTGGTTACGGCCGCCAGTGATCATGACGGACGCGCCCGTGTCGAACTTGATGTGCTCCAGAAGTTTGTTCTCCTCGATGCTGTACTTGACTGTGTCACCGGCGCGAATCACTGGGTCCGGGTAGCGGATCGTGCGACCGTCGTGAGTGACAATGTGTGGCACGCCCTTGGAGCCGAGCTGGATCTTCTTGACCTTGAGTAGCTTGTACGAAGCCTCCTCAGGGGTGATGCGGTGGACAACAAAGCGGCCCTTGACATCGTACAGGATGCGGAAGTGCTCGCCGGACTTCTCAATCGAGACGACGTCCTGGAACCCGGTCGGGTAGCACGTGTCGGTGCGGACCTTGCCGTCGACTTTGATCAGTCGCTGTGCGCAGATGGTGGTGACCTCACGCCCGTTCAAAGCGTACTTTAAGCGGTTGCGGAGGAGAACCTGAATTCAGGCGGCAAAGTGTGTCAGTGCAAAGCAGTTGCACGATGTGCAGTGCGCCAAACACTCCATCTCGCCCCAATCGTCCACCCCCCGCTGAGGTAACCATGCTTTCCCCTTAAATGGCTGCGTATCACCACAACATAAACCTGCTGCTCGCTTTCTTGCAGCTGGCTGCCAAGCTCAGACAGGATCCAAGATCAAAATTCCGCACGCCGCACGGGCTAGGCGTTCCCAACAGGCAGTAGGAAAGCCATGCATAAATTGTTGATGGTCATCTCTGCTATCCTCCTCTCCTGCTTCTCTTTTGGGTTGCTTCTGTTCAAGTAAATGTCTGCCGTTGAATCCACCAGAGCCTTTCCAGAAGCAGCGAGCAATCCCTCCTTTTGATTTCGACCGCGCTCAAATCCCGCTTGACGTCCCGGAAGGGCGCCATGTGTCGAGACGACTACTCACAATGAGGGGAAGGCTCTCACGGAGCTTGTGTGGGCCTGGCGACGGCCTCGGCGCGTACGTGCCCGACAGCTTGTCAAGCATCCATGACGACGGAGCCGCCAGGCGCTTCAGGTGCTTTCTCGGACCGCGAGCCATCTTGCAATCTTGTCTGTGCAGAAAACACGAGATGGGATGGATTGACGTCGTGCAATGAAACTGCTTGGCAATGTGAAGTTGAAGAAGAATGAGATGGTCGGCTACAGCAGACAGGAGTTGCTGCTGCCTGGGTGACCTCTGGCTGGCCAGGCTGTGGTGCGAGGGCGGAAGCGCTCTCTGCCGCTGAGGACAGGTGGGTGGTGGGCGCCGCGTCGCACGCGAGCAGTGGCGGTAGCACACCACGCAGGGCTGAAGTGCTGCGGCAAGTGCACTCTCTAATACACGTAAATCCGTTCACATCCAAGCCAAGCACAATACAATCGAGTGAACAGCCGCGGCCCCATTTTCCCTGCGAGTTTGTGAACTCCTTCGTATAGGTCACCGCCCAGATAGGTAGGAGCCACCCTTTCACTGCATGAATAGGCTGCTGTCGAGGTGCTTATGGCTAACACATATGATAATCGGATCGACACGCCTTCGTGCCTCGTGACTGTTGTGAGCGCCTATGTATAGCCTGCCGAGAATGCCAAAAGCGCATGCTTGATCCTGCGTTGATGCGGACCTGTGTCCCTTCACTCCGAGTTGCTTTGTCTTCTCGCGCACATCCAACCGAGCGACAATTGCAGTAGCGCGGTCTCGCTAATGTCTTTGCTACACGGCATCGTTCAGCAATCTCGCATGATCCACTCGGCTCGTCCAGAAGGACCCGATGGCGGAAGCAGTCTCACAGTCTCCGACTTCATGTAACACATTCTGGCCCTTTAAGATCGTATGGACGACTCGCCACCTTCGACAGGCTTCTATTCAAGATGCGCAATATGCGTTGCGTGCATGTAGCTCTCAACTCGCGGCAACTGTCATGGGTATACGATTCTTCTATTAATGGAATGCTGATATGACTGAGGTCAACGGTGGCGTGGGGAGCATTCATTACCGTGGATAATTGTGAAATGGTCACCTACGCTTTCCTACTTACTCGGCCACGGAGGCCTCAGAGCTAGGAGCGGCAGCCTTGGCGACGGTCGGCTCGCCTCTGGCCTTCTTGTCCTTCTTGTTTTTGTCCTTCTTCTTACTGGCGGCGTTGGCGACGAGCCTCTCGAGCTCGCGGCGCTCGTCGTCCGCGTCGTCCGGCTTGACCTGGCTGTAGATGGCGCCGAGGAACGCGATGGCGCGCGCGCGGTTGAGCAGCGCTTTCTTATCGACGCTTTTATCATTCAGCACGTTGCTAACGACCTTGCGCAGCACCGTGCTCACTTCCCACTTGGTCCCGCGCCACGTGACGAGGAGCATCTTGCCGCTCATCTCCTGCTCGAGTTGCGCCAGCTCTTCCTCGCTCAGGTTCCCTTTCTCCTGGCGCTTGGCCATGTCCTCCATGCTCATCTGCGCCGAGACGGCGCTGCCGAGCAGGTTCCATCCCTCCTTCATCACTTTGCCCTTCTCCTGCAGCCGCGAAAAGAAGCCCGGCACGCCAAGGATGTTGCTCTTGCTGTGCGTCTTGAGCCACGAGCTGGCCTTGCTCATGTATATACCCCCGATGGCGTGCAGCAGCTCGACGCCAAAGCTCTCCAGCTTGAGGTCCTCAGCCTCCTCGCGCATGCGTTTCTCGAACAGCTGAATTTCCTCGTCCGCCGCATCGCCCAGACGCCGCGCTTCGACAAATGGCCGGATGCGCGCGATCAGCTTCTCTGTTAGGTCCGCAATGCGCTTCTCCTGCGCTGCTTCCTTCTCCTTCTCGAAGGCCTCCAGCTTCGTCTTCTGCTCCGGCGTGAGTTTTGCCGCCGCTCCTGCCTTGCGCTTGTCCGCTGCCTCGCTTGGAGGCATCGACGTGTCGGTTGCTGCTGCTGTCGTCCCTCCTGAAGCTTTCCCTGCTGCGGCCCTCGGCTGCTCTGCTGCTGCTGCGGCAGGCTTGGCTTCCGCTTCCGCTTCCACCGCCTGCTGCTGTGCCGGACTGTCTGCTGATGAATTGTTCTTGGCCGCTTCTTCACGCATTTGCCGCTCCAGCTCCTCGCGCTCCTCGTCAGTCATCATGATCTCCGATGCTTTGCCCATGTCCTTGATCAGCGAGATTTCGCCAATGATGTCAATGAAGCGCTCGCCGCCGAAAAGATTTCCGAACTGCGTGGGAGAGGGCAGAACAGCGTACGTCAGCGTAGGGTATATCTCAACGGTATCTCCTAACCGACTCACCATCTCGGTCGCCTCTTTGAGGCCTACTTCATCCTTGGGTTTCTCTTTGCCGTGCTTGTCGTAGTCTGCTCTAGCGTTCGAGTCACTCAGCACGCGGTACGCCTCGCCGATCATCTTGAACGTCTCCTCGTCTCCGCCTTTGTCTGGATGGTTCTTGATCGCTGCCTTCCTATACGCCTTCTTCAGCTCGAGGTCGCTGCAGGAGGCGGTGACGCCGAGGAGATCGTAGTACGCCATGCTGGCGACAGGAAAGCCATCGCGGCTGATGTTACGCGCCTGCTTAGCGCCGTCGTTGCCACTGTCCCCGACTGCTGATGGGGCCGAGGCCGACGCTGCATCTACTGTTGCTGCTGACATCTTGACTAGATATCAATCGCCCTCAGGTTGTCGTGAAGGTTGTAGAGTCTGTTTAACAAGGCAGGGGCTGGACGTGCTGAGGTGAGACGGGTGGAATTGCACAGCGAAGGGGCGATGCGAGCTTGTCTGGAAGGTTAAGCGGCTGTACTTTGAATCCCAGCAATTGCTCTTCCGTACTTGGTGTTGCCCTGCTAGGGGTGCGTGCCACGTGGTCCTGGTCTTGGTCCCTCGTCTCGGTCGAGGCTGTGTGAGCTTGCCAACATCTGTAGCATGAACATGGCTACTGAAACGGAGAGGACAGCCGGGCCAACAAAGAGGCGCAGCGACAAATTCTTAAGAGCGTGCACAGCCAAAGAAAACGCCAGAGCACTGCACTGCAGCAGTGTCCGCGAACGGAGACGTCACACGTTCATCCACCATCTACCCATGGCTTCAGGCTCAGTCCTCCATGGACAATGATTCCATCTTGGAACGGGCTTCCTTGTGGGATGATAAGAGTACAGCCCAGGGAAGGGATGTCGGGTGTTGAAATGGCTTCGAGCTTCGCCTAATGGCTGCAAGGGACTAGTACTCCCCACAGGTCGGCCAAAGATTGAACGGTTCCGAGCCAGCATCCATCATGGCCTCCTCGCGTCACCACTCGTCCCGCGACCGAGAGCGCGACGACCGCAAAGGTCGTTCACACCACTCGGGCGGTCATAAGAGGACCTCTCATCGCCACAGGTCGAGATCAAGGAGCGCCAGCCCGGAGGAGGGGAATAGCAGCAACCATCACAGTAGCGACCGGCACTGGGACGAGAGGGACAAAGACCGTCATCGGAGGCGGGACGAGAGGGAAAAGGGTAAGGAGCGCGAGCATTGCAGTCACTCTCATCGGCATCGCAGCAGCCACGAAGATGATAATGGAAAGCGCAGCAGGAAAGAGGATACAGATAGGGAACATCGCCATTGTAAGCGGAGCCAAAGTAGGGATAGGGACGGAGGGAGGGTTAAAAAGTCACGGAAGGAGGGAAATCACAGTGACAAGGAAAGAAATTATGAGGTAAGTTATTGGAGTTCGAGCTGATCATCTTGACGAGCTGCTGATGGATCTCCATTTTTGATGCTTCAGGAAGCGATGGCATCGATACCGACATTGGCTTCGCTGGCATTAACATCTACCCTCACCACCGAGGAAGCCTTGCCACCGTCGACCGAGTCGCCTAGGGTCATGGCACCACAAGCAGAGCCCACAGAGAGCAAGATGCATCGGGAAGACTGGATGCTTGGTGCGGATGCCGCTCCAGGGGACGCTGTTCCAAAAGCAATAGAGATGGACGACAAGTCTCAAGAGCCTTCCGGCTCATCGGGCGGTATCGACTTTTTCTCATCGCTGGGACACACGAAAGAAAAGAGTGCAAGACAACTGGCTCGCGAAGCCGCAAAGGAGAAGCGCGATCCGGAAAAGCTGCAAGTATCGTCTCGCGAGCTGAACACACAATTTGCGCAAGGCAAGTCGCTTGACGAGTATGACGAAGTCCCCACCGGCGTCGGTGCTAGCTCTGGGCACGCTGCACGAGCTCAGCCCGGCGGGCCCGGCTACGCATGGCGCATGATGAAGCTCAAGCGGACTTTCGAGGCCGCCGAGAGCGAAGGCAGGGACTTAGCCGATGTAGCGCTCGAGCGGTACGGGAGCATGGAAGCCTTCGAGGAGGCCAAGGGCGAGCGCGAGTGGCTTGATCGGCGTGATCAGGAGAAGCGCAATGCTGGCACTGGGAGCAGCACCCAGCAGGGGGCGCATGCTTATAACAGGAGCTACATGGTTTCTGGCCTCTCCGTGGGCGAGTATTCCTCGTTCACTCATTCACCCCTGCCCGGCTCGGGGGCGAGCACACCCCGCCCCCTCAGCCAGCAATCCTTTCGTAAACCCGGCTCAGCCCCAACGACGCCCGGAGTAGGTGCCAGTGGCGGCTCTAGAGCGCAACCCGCAGCGGATCCTTTTGCTCGTCTGGGCGCAGCAGCAAGAAAGTCAAATTCCTCTCTCCGCCAACGCGGGTGTACGATTGATTCGGGTGCAAGCCGCAGCGGGACGTCGACACCGCCCGTAGCTTCTGCTAGCTCTGGCGTGGCGTCCGACGCGAGCAAATCTGGCACTCCAATCCCGTCTGTCTTTGCACCAGTCGTTCCACGCAAATCTGCTGCTGCGACCGCGGGAGCCGGCACCGTCGAGCGTACTATTCAGCACAGCTCTGATAGTACTGGCGGCGGCGAGAAGGAGATCTCAGCAGCACCCGTCTTGGATCAAACAGCGCTCAACAAGCTCAAGGCAAGGGTGATGAAGGCGGAGATGATGGGAAAGCCTGACACCGCTGCGCTCCAGAAAGAGTACGAACGCGAGCTGACGCGCTCGGAAACAGCTTCCATACGCGCATATGCGTACGCACAAGGGGGCGACGAAGGCGAAGGGTATTTTGGCACAGATACTTTTGGTCGCGTAAGGGATGCAGATGATGATGGAGAGGCTGACGATGGGCATGTGCGCGAGGTACATGTTCTGCCCACACTCGATGGGCGCGGGCAGCTGTACGATGTTGGCCGCGGCACAAATGCGGATGCTGCGCAGAATCGTGCCGCTCTGCCAGGTAACAGGAGGAAGAATTCTGAAAAGGTACGTTCCATCGCAAATTTTGCTATCGCATACATGCTCATGACCTGACCGTCCTTTGCAGTTCGAGACGCGAGATTCCAAGACAGGCGAGCTGCTGCGCTATAATGCCGATGACGATACGCAGACGCTGTCCGATTTGATCCGGCAGGAGCGCTTCGCCGCCGGAGCTTCGTCCGTGAAGAACGCAGACGCCGAGCTCGCGAGCAGGATCATGCGCGATGGCAAGTATCGCGCCGATGTCGATTACATGGACGACAATGTGGAGCGCCTCGCGCGCAAGAACATGAAGAGCGATGCGATGAAGCGACAATTTGCCATCCAGGACTTTGCGCAGACGAAAAGGGCGCTGGACACCTGTCAGTTCTGTTGGCAGGATGAGGGCGCTCGGCCGCCGCGTGCGAACGTCATTGCCAGCGGCAGCAGTGCCTATCTTGCGCTTCCGGAGCGGGAGAGCCTCGTGGCGGACCACTGTCTGATCGTGCCGGTGCAGCATCACCTCAGCAGCCTAGAGCTCGACGACGACTGTTGGGACGAGATCAAGAACTTTATGAAGTGCTTGATGCAGATGGCCGCCAAAAAGAATGAAGGCTGTATCTTCTTCGAGACGATCCTCAGCTTCAAGCAGCAGCGACACACGTACATCGAGTGTTTGACGTTGCCGTGGGACCTGTACCTCGACGCGCCGGCGTACTTCAAAGAGTCAATCCTGGCGAGCGAGCAGGAATGGACGCAACATAAGAAGTTGATCGACTTTAGCGAGCGCGGCGGGTTCCGCAACAGCCTTGTGGCCAAGCTGCCGTACTTTATGGTCCAGTGGGACTACAAGGGCCTCAAAGGCTATGGACACATCATTGAGGGACAGGAGACGGCGGAGCACGGCGAGAATGGAGAGATCGACGCCGCCAACGAGACCGGCCTCGGCGGTCAGGCCTTCCCCAAGTGAGCTCTCCACGCCAAACCCTCTGTTTTTACCATTCATTGCACGCAGTGCTAAAAACCATCCCGTCCCCTCCCGCTGCAGGTGGTTTGCACAAGAGATCGTTGGCAACCTGCTCGACATGGAGCCGCGGCGATGGCGCAAACCACGCAGACTCGACTACAAGCAGAACTCCGAGCGCATCGCGGGATTTAAGAAGCGCTTTTCTGACTTCGATTGGACCAAAATGCTCGATACTGTTGGTGGTGGCGGCGACAGCGTAGGAGGCGGCGGTGGGTGTGCATGATGCCATGAGCGCATCTCCAACCGATCCAAGGCGATTGCCACCCCTTCATTTAGATGCTTTGTACGCATATTCACCTTCAATGTTACAGTATCCTCAATGGCCTTTGGTTAAGCTGATTTGTGCTCGAACGTCGATGTGTTTCGTTTCTGATTTGCTAGCTGGAGGCATTGATCGGAGAAAGAAGCGTCTCTATATGTGTCGTCCAGTCACAAAAGTGTCTGGCGGCGGAGCACCAGGCGCGCAGGGTGCGAATCGCGATTGGTTTTCGTGAGGATCTTCTCTCCGCTCCATTCCATTCGGTAAAGACACCTTGTCACTTTCATAACCACACGCTTGTTCTTTCATCGCGACCGCCTTCTTGACGACGTTCTGTATGGCCACCGTCACCGTCACGAGGTCATAAAGCGAAATCGCTGGCAGTCATGTTCGGCGCGACGAGCGGGTTCGGCGGCTTTGGTGCCAGCCAGAACCAGCAGCAACCGCAGCAACAAGGTCAACCGCAGCAGCAGGCCGGGGGCCTTTTTGGCGCTGCTACAAACACCCAGCAGCAGCCTCAGCAAGCTGGCTTCGGAGGTGAGTCGGTGCGGTTACTGAGTGCTCGGCGGAGTCTGCTCGAGCTTGGTGGGCCTGCCCCAATCAGAATCTTCCTTCCTGAACAAAAGACTCAGCTGATCATTACAAATCTCTTCCCGCACAGGCTTTGGACAACCAGCTCAAACGCCCGCGTTTGGTGCACAGCCAGCCGCTCAGCCCGCAGGCGGTGGACTATTCGGTGGTGCAGCGAATACCGGCGCAGTGACAGGTGGTACAGGCTTCACGTTTGGCCAGCCGGCAGCAGGGACGGCTCAGCAGCCTGGCGCGGCGGGGGGTGGCCTCTTTGGGGCCACTCAGGCCAACAAGTCAGCCGGAACTGGATTCGGAGGGTTCGGGGCTAGTACGACGGGAACTTCCTTTGGCGGGTTTGGTGAGCTTCAGATCGAGTTCGATAGAAAAGTTGAGTGGGCGCCAACCCTGATACGCGTTCTTCCATTTGCAGGCGCAACCTCTCAACCTCAAACAAATGCGTTTGGCACGAGCACATCCACCTTTGGTGCACCGAAGCCAGCAGGCACCGGTCTCTTTGGTGCGGCACCTGCAACTACACCGGCGTTTGGCCAGGGAGCGGCTGTGGCCACGCCATTTGGCGCGGCAGCTGCGCCTGGTACCTCGGTCCCTACAACCGGCACAGCGAGCCCGCCTTACCAGCCGCACGTCATCACGGAAAAGGACGGTGCCGGCGTCAGCTCACAGACCTTCTCGTACCAGACCATCACGTGTATGCCCGCCTATCAAAAGGCATCGCTGGAGGAGTTGAGGGTGCAGGATTATGCGCAAGGGCGCAAGACCGGTCAGGCTGGGCCAGGTGCACCAGGCGCGACGACTGGAGGGTTTTCATTCGGCCAGCAGAATACTGGGCAGACCAACGCCTTCGGCCAGGCAAATGCAGGGTCGACGGGCACGGGGCTGTTTGGCCAATCGCAGCAGCAAGCTGGGACAGGCCTTTTTGGACAGCCGCAGCAACAGCAGCAACCTGGCCAGACGGGAGGCTTGTTCGGCCAACAGCAGACGGGGCAGACTGGTACTGGCCTCTTTGGACAGCAGTCCTCCGGCACGGGTCTGTTCGGGCAAACTCAGCAAACGCAGCAGCAACAGCAGACGGGCGGTCTCTTTGGTCAGCCGCAGCAACACCCTGGAGGTGGCCTTTTCGGCCAGTCACAGCAGCAGCAAGGTGCAGCGGGTACCAACACTTTCTCCTTTGGGCAGCCTAGCACCAGCACCGCAACTACAGGCTTTGGCTTTGGTCAGCAAGCAGGTGCCACGGATGCCAATAAGCCCGCTGGGACCACCCTCTTTGGCGGTCTAGGCGGCCAGCAGCAGCAGCCGCCTGCGACTGGCGGCTTTTCGTTTGGTCAACCACAACAGCAACAACAACAGACAGGCGGTGCCTTCGGTCAGACTGGCGCGACAGGCGGTGGTCTCTTTGGTCAGCAGAAACCCGCTGGCACTGGACTTTTCGGCGCGTCCACTACCACGGCCACTTCTCAACCGGCTTTCGGCGGCTTTGGCGCAAGCAGCGCGACGAACCAGGCAGGGAAGCCCGCTTTCTCTTTTGGGGGCACCGGCACGACGGGCGCTTTTGGTGCAGCGAGCACGACCGCCTCGCAGCCAGGGCAGACCGGAGGCTTGTTTGGCAATGCAGGAACGCAGCAGCAGCAACCCGCAGCGGGTGGTCTCTTTGGAGGAGGAGCATTTGGTGCGGGTCAACAGCCGCAGCAGCCACAGCAACAACAGCAGCAACCTGGCACCACCGGTGGTGTATTCGGTACCAGTACCACTAGTGGCTTGTTCGGGCAGCAGCCGCAGCCGCAGCAGGTAGGTCAGACGGGCGGTCTCTTTAGTGCCAAGCCTGCAGGTCAGACCACTGGACTGTTTGGCGCCAACACTGCTAGCCAGCAACAGCAGCAGCCCGGCCAAGCGACCGGCACATTTGGCTCCGGTGGACTGTTCGGAGGTGGAGCAGGTGCGACCAAGCCGGCATTTGGAACCGGGGGCGGACTTTTCGGAGGAGGAGCAGCTGGGCAGACGGGCGCAACTGCTGGTGGACTGTTCGGTAACACACAACAAGGCGGTGCCACAGGCGGTGGACTCTTTGGTGCCAAGCCTGCTGGTGCGCTGGGCGCAAGCACTGGCTTTGGCGGCTCCACGCTTGGTGGTGGTGGCGGTGGCGGGCTGTTCGCTTCGAGCGGCACGCTCGGCCAGCTGCAATTGCAACAACAGCAGCAGCAAGCAAATGTACAAGTCAGCCTCGACCAGAATCCTTACGGCACCGACTCTCTCTTCGGTTCCCAAGTTCCTACGGGCTTGGCTGCGCAGCAGCCGCTCCCTTTCAATGTCGCGGTCAAGAGCTCAGCAAAGAAACCACCGCTAATGGCCAGTGTCTTTTCATCGCCGCGTGCTTCTGTCAAGGTCACGCGCCTACGCAGTGCCACGCCTAGCCTTGGCTCGAGCCTGCGTGAAGGTACACCTGGTGCCGGCCGCGCATCGACGCCTGGAGCAGGAGCGCGCTACAATAGCCCCAGCTTGTTCCGCGGCCTGAGCGATGAACAGACGCTTGCGCCCCAGGCATTCGTGTCAAAGCCAAGCGTCAAGAAGCTTTTTCTGGACGACTCGGTCGGCAGCAATTCCAGCTTCAGTCGTGGTCCTGGGGTACTGCGCACTGGGCGTGCTCGTACGATCGCGGCAGAGGACCAGACGCGTACTTCCATCACTACGGGAGCGAGCCCTGCCGCACGCATGTTTAGCCCTGCGCTAGAGACTTCATCTGCAAGCGCGCGACGCGCGGCTCCTGTAGTGGATGATGACACGAGCCTCTCGCAGATCGAGATGCCGCTCAGCGGGACGTCCGCGGACATTTTCAACACAACGACTGCTGACACCACGACGGACAGTCCTCTCCGTCGCCGTGCTCCCGTCAATGCTATTCGTAACGCGTCTGCTGCACCGAGCGGTTCGACGATCAAGACTCGCCCTCGTGAAGAGGAAGCGGCGGCGGTACCAAAGCTAGAGATGGGTTACTATACTCTTCCCGCCCTCAGCGAGATGCGGACTTGGCCTTTCAACGAGCTCGCGGCTGTCAAGGACTTTATCGTGGGCCGAAAAGGCTTTGGCGAGATCCGCTTCTTAAAGCCGGTGGACCTGACGACAGTGCCTGACTTGGTGGACATCCCCGGCGGCATTGTCCAACTTCGGCGCAAAGAATGCTACGTGTACCCTGAACCAGAAGACTGCTCCGGTGACATTGATGGCATGCGCCGGGGCTTCAGGCCGCCAGAGAAGATGCCGCCAGGAGAGGGGTTGAACCGACCTGCCATCATTTCGTTGCAAGGCTGCTGGGCGCTCGACAAATCAACTCGCGCACCGATCAAGGATCCAGCGCACCCGCGGTACAAGCAGCATCTGGCTAAGCTCAAGAATCGCGAGGATGCCGATTTCGTCAGTTTTGAAGCAGAGCAAGGGACGTGGACATTCCGGGTCGAGCATTTCAGTCGCTACGGCCTGGACATTGACGAAGACGAGGACAATGCTGCGGAGAAACGGTCTGGGCAATCGATGCGGAAGAAGGCAGCGGCGGCAGCAGCAGCAGCTGATACCACTCGAGCTCGCACTCTTCGACCGAGACCAGCCAAACAGTCGGCCCCAGCCGCTGAAGAGGAAACGTCAGAGGATGAAGAAGAAGAAGATGATGATGGCGGGATAGAGATGGAGGTGATTGAAGCGCAACAGCCTGCATTTCAGCCATTCGCAGCAGCGCTAGGAGTTGAGCCCCGGAAAATGCAGGTCATGCAGGCGAGTTTTTTTGGCCAAGGCCCTGAGACCACACCCAAGGATCTCGGGGCCGTAAAGTCTACGGCCGTTTCTAAGAAGCAGCTTAGGGACAGCTCCCTTGGGACTGGTGTCTTTTCGACCGAGCATGGGTCATCTCCGCTTCGAGACGCCGTACAGACGGTACGTTATTTCTTTGAATCTTTCCCGTTGCCTTCGTACTGACTTCGTCTCCTTTAGCGCCCTACTTTTTCCCAGCGCCCATCTGCAGCTGTTGAGCCGCCGGCAAGGAAGTTCACCAAAACGATCCTTGTCGAGTCAGTCATTAAAGGGGCCGAAAAACTAGCCCTGGATCCGGTTTTGGCGCTCGCTCGAAGCTTCCGCCCTGGTTGGGGATCGTCTGGACTGCTCGTGCACAATGCCATCGCGCAAGGCACGAGTGAGCAGCCTGTCTCTCTGTCCACGCTCAGGTTTAGCACTGTCAAAGCCGCGCCGTCTGTCTCGGACAGCGCCAAACAGATGCTGCAGCTTCAGCTTCAGCACAGCGATATCGAATTTGACGACGTGGAAGGTGTTCCTACCGCATCTGCACAGCTCGATGTCCGTTTCAAAGACTTTGCGCAGCATTTTGCGCCCAACGAACATAGTCACGAAGCACTGCTTTGGCGTCTTGGTCAGTCGCTTTTTGACGAGATCGATCTTGGGCTGCCTGCAGACGCACCTACCGAGTTACGCTCAGCGGCCCTGAGCTTGCGGCGAAAGGCGGCTTTGTCCCGTTGGCTATCAAATGCAGTGGCCGCCTCAGTTGATTCCGAGGTGCGAGGGCACACAGCGGCGGGAAAGACGGCCTCTATCATCTTTTCCTATCTCACGGGCAACCAACTAGAGCGCGCAGCAATGGCCGCGATTGATTCGAGGAATCTTCACCTGGCGACGCTGATCAGTCAGCTGCCAGGCGACGAGGAGATGCGGGTAGACATAAACGACCAGCTGCGAGCCTGGCGCGAAGAGGGGGTGGACCATTGCATTTCGGCTGACTTTCGCAAACTCTACGAGCTTTTCTCCGGTAATGTCACCATCTCGCCAGGCACGATTTCGACCTCACTACGCGGTTCTTCAGAGCCAGTGCCTGACCTCACCATCGCACAGACACTAGATTGGAAACGCACGTTTGGCCTCCATTTGTGGTACCATATCCCACACGAGATACCACTCGAGCGGGCTGTGCAGACATATGAAAACGCTGTCAAGAATGTCAACGGTACTGCCGCACCACTGCCGCCCTATGCTGAGAGCGCGAAGCAAGCGAGCTCGCGAGACCGGGACATCCTGTACCACATGCTGCGCCTCTATTCGGATCCTCTCTACGATCTCGAGTCGGTCCTGTCTCCACGGGGCTACAGCGAGAGCAAGGCGGACTACAGACTTGCTTGGCAACTGTACCTGCTGCTTTCGCGGGTGCTCCGAGTACGGGACTTTACGGATCGCGTTGAAGTCGACGAGGCGGAAGCTTCGCGCGTGGAGGACGAAGAGGGCACAGTCGTCGATGGGAACAGCGCAACGGCGGACCTTCTCACCAGCAACCTTGCCGCTCAGCTTGAGCTGGATGGATTGACGGAGTGGTCTGCCTTTGCGCTTTTGCACCTCGAGTTGCCGGCGAGCCGTGCAGTGGCGCTGAAAGCGCTGCTCGGGCGCAACATTGAGCATCTGACAACCGAGCAGGAATGCTTCCTCGTCGAACGGCTCTTGATCCCTCCCGGATGGGTGCACACTGCGCGAGCTGACGCTGCAGCGGCGCGGAATGACAAGTACACGCAGTACCAGCTACTCGTGCGCGCACAAAACTTTGTCGGCGCGCACGAGATTGCTGTGCGCTATCTAGCACCGGAAGCGGTCGTGCATGAGGATCACAACCTTATCCTCGCGCTTTTTGCCGTCTTTCCGCCGGAGATCGAGCTACCTGGCTGGCTGTACGGCGGGCAGGTGCTCGTCGATTGGGTCGCATGCCAGCGCAACCTGCCCGTGCTGCTCGCTGCGGACATGCATGCTCGTTCCCAGTCGCACAATGAAGGCGTTGCCGATGGCGACGATACGGCTGCTGTGGGCGAGAAGAGGCTCAAGAAGCTGACGCGACGCGTGCACGAGCTGATCGCGCTCGTGCCTAGTTCGCTGTATCCGGATGAGCGTCCGTCTGAGGCGGAAGAGGACTGGGGCAACGTCAGCCTCGAAGCGCGCGGTCGTCTGACGCGCTACGTAGCCAAGACGGAGAGTGAGTGCAGCATACAGAGAGCCTCTGAGGTTTCATTTTGACGGGTGCATACATGCTGACGAACTTTCCTTGGCTTTTTGGCATTGTCTGGCCCTTCCCGCATCAGTGATGTCAAAGTTGCAGAATCTAGCGCGCATCATCTCTGTCCATTCAGAAGGCACGGAAGCAGGTGCAGACTGGTCAGGCAGGCTCGAAAAAGGAGATGCAGACAACGGCGGTAGCGGCATGGATATCCATCCGCCCGGCAGCGCAAGCGTCGCGCCCGAGGTGGATTCGGTGCAGGATGCGGCTCGGGACTATTGTGCAATGCTAGTCGGTTGCTAACGCCGCGTTGCATACCTCTCTGCTGTACATTCCTCATCTCAAATATCAACAAGCCAATGAGCATTGCGCTATATCCAATGTCATTTAGAGATAGAGGCGCAAGCGTGCAATTATTCGAGTGCGAGCGAGCGCGGAGCAGCTTTGCTTGGTGGCTCATCCGCTGGTGCGACACCTTTTCGAGCGGCGCGCCGTGAGCGCCAACCAAGGGATCGCTCGCCATGTGCATCAGATTGCAACTTTCTCCCGTCGCGAGGGGAACAAGAAGACGCACACGCTGTCAGTAGACTGTCACGACAAGTACAGATTTCAGAGTACACCAAGGGTACACGCGCCCAGCATTCAAGCAATGGAATGTGAAGCATAGGGACCGGTGGGTGGGAGCCGAAGAGTGCTGGTGGATGAGCTGCCGTAGTTTGCTCTCCGCGGCGCCTTTCCTTGTCCCGCAATGCTTTACCGTCTCTGTGCCTGCTGCTGCCGCTTCTGCTTCAACGTCGATACAAAGATGGTGGTATGTTCTCCCATACATGATCAGCGATTACACCATGGTTCCATAGCGGCTCAAAGCCAAGCAGCGCTCTCGGCCGAGTCTCCGATTACATAATATTTTGCGAAGGAAGAATGAATGAATGAAAAAAAGGTCCGTGTGGCTGGTGATCGAGTGGCTGGATCGAGCGCAGGCGTATTGCCCCGGAGGGTGGGGCAGCGCTGCGGAGCCCACGACAAAAATAACACATGCAGGGGTGGATCAAGTGGCTGGACATGGGCCGAGCAGTGCAGCGCAGTGCGGGACACTGGGCGCCCTGAAGAGCAGAGGAAGAGCGACAGCCAGGCGAGAAGAAGAAAAAAACCCACTTTGCTCTGCGCTCGACTTGGTGGGTTCCACTCTGCGCTGGCGCACTGGCGCGGAGATGGATGGGTGGGTGGTGCTCGCCGAGTGGGTGTGATCGGCCAGCCAGTTTTTCCTTTCGGTCGTTGTTCGCTCGGCTTTGTTGCGCGGGCGGCCATGAAAGAGCCACGGCTACGCGCAGCACGTCCAGCGTGTGTCTCCGGCTGTTGATGCGCCGACCTCTTGGCTCCCAGCGGCAGGTGACGGATGAGACGAGGAGAGTGACATGGGTGCGGTGCATGTGCGCCACTTTCACCTTTTTTATTTCTCCATCGGCCATAGTGTTGCATTATTGATGCTGGGAAAGAAGAAAAAAAATTAAAAAATTAGGCTTTCTGGCGAGGAGATGATGGTGACGGAGGAGGATGCTGATGATGATGGAGGATGATGTTGGTGGTGGTGTGTGGTCTCTTTCTTCGCTGCTGCTGCTGAGCCAATCCTCCTCCGTTCTTTTTGCGTGTGGCATCACCACCATCATCATCATCTCGCAACCATCTCCATAGCAGCACCCGCTTGCTCCATTGCAACCCACCCCCAACTGAGCTGGCTAGGGTACGTGCGCTCAACACGCCGCACTCGGGCGTCAAGCATACACTCGTGCAAGAAGCCAGTCGCACAGCTCTGCCTTCCGTCCGCCCAGCTGCTTCTGCACTGTCGTCTTTGGCAAGACTGCCCACAAGCGTAGAGCTCGACCGACCGACCCACTAGGCATCATGCCAGCGCAGAGACGCGTCTTTGCCGTCGCCGGCAAGAACGCATCATTGGCGCAGCCAGCCAGCGTTGCCGCCTCGGCCTCGTCAGGGTCCGCATCAGTCGCATCTCCGTTCGCGCCCCTGTCGCCCGTCTATTCTTCCTATAGCAGCAGCAGCAGCAGCGTCTGGCCGTCGTCATCATCATTATCAGCAGCAACAGGATCGCTACCATCGCCCTCGCCATATGCCTCTTGGTCACCGTCATCGCCTTTATCAGCCGCTGCGCACGCCGGCTCATCGAGAAGCAGCAGCAGCTACTGCAACAGTAGCAACAAGAACGCAGGCTCCAGCCTCGGACTCAACCTCTCTTCCGGTTTAGGCCTCAGCGGGAGCTACACGCGTACGCTCTCCGCACGTAGCACCTCGGTGCACCCACAGTCCCTTTTGAGCTCCTCGCCTGTTTTCTACTCGACGAGGTCATATGCTTCATCTTTGTCCTCGTCAGCAGTAGCGGCGGCGGCGGCAGTAGGCCGGGACCAATTGCCGCACACAGCCCATGCACCCTCACAGCAGTATGCATCGGGGCTAAGTGACGCGCAACGTTTCCCCGCCGCCGTCGCTGGCAGCCGAGGGCGGTCGCTGCATACAGCCAGCTTTGCACTGGCGCATCTGGCCACAGCGCTGCCCAAATCGCCCTTTCTATCGCACTCGCGTCTACCCACATCGCCCTTCTCCACACATCTCTCCTCCTTCCCCTCCTCGCCCCTACTGCCATCATCTTCTCTCTTGCAGCAGCAACAGGCAGCGACTCTGTGCACCAGCGTCAGCGTAAACTCGCAGCGCAAGGCGCGGCGCTACTCGCCTATCGCCTCCTCACCCCGCGTGCGACTCGGCAGCTTCCCTGCCTCGGCGCCTGCTTCGCCCACGCCGAGCGTTGCGTCCTCGCCTGCCCTTCCCGCCCGCCGAGTGCTGCACACTTGCCTCCCGTCTTCATCCTCGTCGTCTACCTCTGCCGCGAAGGAGGCGCCACAGCAACAGGACGACAAGCGCAAGCCTAGCACGGCCGACGACCCGTATCCTCTGCCCTTCTCACCCGAGTTGGACCCGGCGGCGCGCGAGCACGTCAACCTGTCGACGGACAACCAGCGCGAAGCGCCGCTCGACGCGGGCGCGTACCCGCTGCGGGTGCCCGGACGCGATGGGCGCGAGACGCGCACGACAAAGGTCGCGCGCCTGATCTACCAGACGCGCAAGCGCGGCACGCTCGAGACGGACCTCATCCTCAGCACATGGGCCGATAAGGCGCTGCAGCAGCTCGACGATGTCGAGCTGGACGAGTTTGATCGCGTGAGTCTCCGCGCCCGACCTCAGGAGTTCTTACTGCTGACTTGGCTCTTCCCTCTTCCCCTCGTTCATCTTCGACCGCTAGCTCCTCGACGAACCAGATTGGGACATCTTCTACTGGTGCACGGCACGCAAGGCGCCGCCGCCACGCTGGCACGACTCGTTCCACACGCCCGGACGCCTCGGCCACCGCCTCCGCGTGCATACTAAGAACGAGGAAAAGCAGGGGCGCAGGATGCCGAAACTAAAGTGACCGCTGCTGCCATAACATCTTTCCGGCTTCGTGGATCTGGCTCTAGATCTGCTGCCACCTGCGTGCCCCCACTCCGCTCAACTTTGGTTCGTTCCCTTGCTCCCTCCTCCCCTCGCCTGTCTGTAGTGTCAGTATCGCTCGTCAGCTCCACCGGCGTACATGCGCACGATTAGCCTAATCTACCTTTACCTCTACCTCTACTTTGTGATCTATCACCGCCTGCTGCCTACGTACTCGTCCGCTCTCCCTGTACGTTGTATTTTAAAAAAAATGCTGGCGCGAGCCAGTCACTGTCGAATCGAACACAGTCGCTTGTCTGTTTTATTTGCGATGTGTGTACAATCTACCGCAGAAGCCACGATCTGTATTCTCCTTCGAACACTGGTTGCGTCACTACTCAGTGCTGCAGCATGACTGGTTTGCCCGGTTGCCACTCCCTGCACGCGTCGTCGATGTTGCTCCAATAGCGCAGCTCGATCGTCAGCTTCTTGAGCGCCGCCCAGTCCGTTGCGCCGTCGCGCTCGCGGAAGCGCACGCCAATCTTGTGTACGGTCTGCGCGAGCCGTTCGGCGTTCTCCTGCCGCAAGGCCGTGACGTCTGGCTCGGTCTGCGCGTCCTCGAGCGCCTCACGCGCTTCCAGCACCGCCATTAGCAGAGCCGAGTCGTCCAGCCTATCCGCTTCGGAGATGCTCGACCCGGCATGCATCTCGAGCTGGTGCGAAGCGCGAAGGAAAAAGAAAGGGTCACGTATGTTCAGCCCTTGCGTCTGGGCTCCGCAGCCGTTTCCTATGATGCAAGGCCCATGCGCCGACTCACAAGGTAGACAGCGCGGCTGAGCGGCTTGCGCAGCGTCTCGTACGCCTTGTTGACCAGTGCACTTTGCTGCTCCGCGATCTGCTGCTCCCGCTTGCTCCTGTCGCCCATGCGGTCGGGGTGCGTGAGAGCCATCATGCGGCGCCACGTCGCCTTGAGCTGCGCCTCGTCGACGTCCCACTGCTCCGCGAGTGTCATGGGCGAATGGGCCGCATTCGGGAAGAATAGCGTATACAGCGACACCTCCAACGGCACCGGCTGCAGCGAGCCGCAAGAAGAACAGCTCAGCGCCGTCAGAGGCAGTGAAGGTGAGCTCGGACAAGTGCTGTTCGTGCACCGCTTGCGCTGCTCTTGGCCCGCTTGCGTCTGGCGCTGCGCGGCCGAAGTCGACAGCGCCCTTGCTGCGCCTCGCGGACATCGCGTTCGCTCCTGCGGCCCGTGAACGCCTCGTTCGTCCACGCCGGAGTATGCCTGGGAGTTATATGCACTGCCTCGAGACTGCGTGAAGACCGAGCAGTGAGAAAGGCTTTTGTGTGATGTTGTGGCGCAAAATGGCGAGGATGCCGACGTCCCCAGCAATCGCTGCGCCGGCCGCGTCTGCGTCTGTGCGACTGCCTGCGCTGGCCAGCTGCCGCAACGCCGACAGCCTTGTGCGAGCCAGGTCATCGCGCGTGTGTTTGCCGACATTATACCGTCCTTCTCGCCTGCCTTCCTTCAAAGATGGATGTGGCAGGATGAGGGCAAGCGATGTGATGGACAACACTGATGACGAAATTGCGAGAGAGGTGCTACGCAAATCCTGTGACTGCGCGCATCTGGGCCGCAATCACTTCTACTACTCTGGGATGCTCACGAGAGGATACTCTGGCGAGGGGCGCTCCACGACACTCTTTCTGGTCGGAGTACGCTCCCGATTACTCGCTAGAAGTCAAAGCGGGACAGATGCATGATGAGAACAACAATGCTCACTTAATGTTGTACGCGAATCAGAAAATGGATCGCAATGGGTGCGTGAGCGCAGAAAAATACAAGCCACTGAGAAAATGAGCATGTTCATTCTTAACTGAAACATCTAATCTTGATTTCGGAGTCATCGCTACCACTGACGATCTTGTCGTCTCCAAGGGCGACGCAGGTGACTGCAGCACGGTGACCGACGAGCGTGCTTTGACGCAGCACGGTATCTCTATCCCAGATCTTGATTGTCCTGTCGTGACTCGCACTGACGATCCGGAGCTTATCGCCTTCGACGCTCCAGACACCTTCAACATGGCCAAAGAGTGTTCTGATACACCTCCCGGTGCGCACATCGAAGATCTTGAGCGTATTGTCCCAGGGACCCGATAGCAGTACCGGGCGAGCCTTCGAGCAAGCTCTCCGGCTGGGAGACTTTGACTTGGAGCGGTTCTTGCTGCTTTCCGCCTCACCTTCTCCAAAGCCGAACCGAGAGGAAGGCGCATTCTGCGACCGCTGCTCAATCTCGGCTTGCATTGCAGAGAAGCCCCCATCAATGTCGCTCATCTCAACGTCGTAAGGAGCAGGAGGCACGAGGCCGGCTTGGCTGAGTCATTCTTGCAGTTGCATTAGGCGCGGAGGAATGCCATTCGGAGTATCAGCGCCTGCAGCGCGCGCGTCCGCGACAAATTGCTCGCCGTTGGTTTGCATCGCATTGACGCCAGTCATAGTAGTGAAGAATCGGTCCGGAAGGCCTGGCGCGTTCGTATTGGCGAGTCGGCCGTCCCTGGGCACGTTCGAAGGGTTGTATCCGCATTCAGCACCAGGAGTTGGGTTGGTTACTGCGATATGATCTTCCGCATCCGTCTCGTCGTCTGGGCGATCAAGATGCCTTCTTCTTGCGGCAGCACCGTCACTCTCTGCACAAAAGTTGGCAAACGACGCTTTTCCCCTTTTGCAGCTCCACCAGCTGTACCCTTAGAGAGCTTGAGGACGGCATCGTCATCCAGCATAACAAGCTTGATGCTTTGCACCTGCCCGACATGTCCATCGTATGACATGATGCACTCGCTCGTTTGCAAATCCCAAAGGCGGATCGTGCAGTCATCCGACGCAGAGAAGAGGAAAGTTGCTGGAGGCTCTGAAGGTTAACCTGCCTGCTGATTTACGCTTTTCGGCCCCGACCACGACTGCACAGCATTGATCCAGTCTGCATGGCCTCGAAGCGTGAAGCATTCCCCGGCGCGGAAGTTTCACACTTTGATGTCGGAGTCTTGGCTACCAGAAGCCAGGACCTCGTCGTTGAAATGAAGACAGACAATACCCGCGGTATGGCCCTCCAGTGTCCTGATCAGCTCTCCAGCCCTCCAATTCCAAATCTTCAGCGTTCTGTCCATGCTTCCCGTGATGAGTTTCATCTCGTCGAATTGGAGACATCGAATCCGCCTCGTATGCCCCTTGAGAACCCGAAGCTTTTGCCCGTCTCCAGGTTCCAGATCCGCACTGTGCGATCGTAGCTGCCGCTGAGGAGGACGAGGAACGATGGGTGCGCTAAATTCTCGCTGAATTATAGGAACATGATCCCGTTGTGTGCCCATGGAGAGTCCGGACTGAATAGCGCCCGCCTCGCCAGTTGCGCTCGATCATCCAGCGTTCACAGTAGACCGACTTCCAGGGGCGAGTCATCACTTTGGCCGGTTGTGTGGATGGTTGAAGCGGATAGAGATGCTGGGTTGCTGACTGTTGCTGCTGTGGATTCTGGGAACTTCATGAGGTGCTGGTGCCTGTGCCAGTACATTGGCGCTTGGCTGGAGGCTGCTGAAAATGTGTTTCTGATGTTGCTGGAGGATAGTTGGAATGTGAAGGTGGAGAAGGCGATGGAGGCCGAGAAAGTGAATTGCGCTTCTCGAGCGCAGCTGCGTTCGCTGTCGCTGTGATGCTGCGCTTCAGATTGCCACTTGTGGCTGTTGTGCCATTCAAGACTTGCGACTGCGATGCTGTGGATTGTGCTGAGGATGATGCGCCCGGCGTAGGAGCAGTAGGCGAGGGTCTCTTTGCAGCAACAGCTGCATTCGAAGCAGCTGCTCGTCTCCTCTTCTTGTCGTTCAACAAGGGCAAACCCCACCCGCACTTTTCACACTTTCGCTCAATGTGCTGCTCGCACAATAAATCATCGTCCGCTAGCTCCTTCAAACTTCGACTGGCCTGCGCTGCGCGCCCGAGCGTGATCGCGTCTGTGAAGCCCAGCACGCGGAGGGAGACCTCGCGGGGGAAGAGGCCGAATGGGTCGATTCGGATCGCTAAAGCTAGTGCGGAGGAGAGTAGGGAGAGCTGCAAGAAGCAGCACATCGTCAAAATCCCTTGCAGGATCAGGCCGCGGCGCGCGTGTGGTGAGTAGGAGAAGATCGACCATACTGAGTTGACTGCGCGTTGGTCGGCGAGTGGAAGAGATTCGATGTTCTGTAGGCAACCAAAACGACGTGAGTGTCAGCGCGAGTCGACTAAATGGGTGGATCCAGCGACAATCAATCCCAAAACAGGCAATGAATGGAAAGAAATAGAAGAACAAAGATGTAGCGTAACTTCTATGGCAACGGCTGGTGATCAAACCCGAACCGCCGCCTCAAACTGTACGACTTGTGTAGTTCAATATTGCAAGCGTGACAAGTGGATAAAAATATTTAAGAAAATCCAACACCCGAGGTTCTCTCAAAGAGAGAGAACAAAGGTGACCCATAATAAAGCTTGCGTAGTGAGATCCCGGCCAGGGTACCGATTGGAGAATAGAGCGAGCATGATTTGCTCTATCCGCTCATGACGAAGAGGAAGGATCAGGGGACATTCCACAACTCACCGCTTGAAGCTTTGCTGTCGTGCCTTCATCTGTCATCCTTTGATGTCGTACAAAGAGCTTGCGAGTGGCAGGTGGTACGAGAGGTGTTGTGTGAAGTAAAGAAGAGGATGGTGTTGCTGCACTGCTGTTGTTTGTGTTGTGTTGTTGTCACTGCTGTTGGCTGAATCTACGCGACCCATCATCGCTGCATCCGCATTCGCTACTTGTAGTAGTAGTTGTAGATGTTGTTGTTGCTCATATAGCGAAGATGTTGAAGTACTTGCTGCTGTCGTTGAAGATGGTATTGATGTTGAAGCTGGTGGAATCTAATCCAAGCTGATCTCTCCTTCTCGATGCTTTCCTTTGACATCGGGGGTAGATCAAGGCTGTGAGATGTCAGCCAAAACAGCTGATGCCGAGTCTGCCGCTGTCATCTTGTTGGGCTGCTTCTGTGCAATATAGGGGGACGATGAGGAGGAGGGTGTTGGATCCATCCTGATCGCCAATCGTCACTTGGAATCTGGGGCCCCGCAGCGATTGGGGCAGGAGCGGGCGAGCGCGAGAACGTGCGGAGTATGATGACCGAGGATTGGGTGAGTGCGTGTATGTCTCTCCACACTATTACGCCGCGTGGGATTGATGTTTTACAACGTGGGAAGATGATGCCGATTGGCGACGAAGATGGTCGAGGATGGTGATACATGTCGTCAATAAGCTGGTTTGCTGCCGAGAGTTCTTCTGCGACAGAGAAATCCAAGCAGAAGCACAACAAAGTAACAGCGCGCGCGCAAAAGTGATGAGCAACTTCCGTACCCAAAGGGCGCAATACTCCCAATGACCCAGTGGTGGAACTGGACACTCCTCTAGTGCTGGATGCGGCCACTTTTTTCTGTGTTTACCTGGCCATGCCATCTCGCTCCGCTTGGAGGTGCGGAATGATAGAAGTTTTGCCAAAACCGGCGGGCGAGCCGCGAGTGTCGAGCTGTCAAGACCACACACCGGCAACCATCGAACCTCAGTTCCGCCCATGCTATCAGCACTCCGCAACCCACGTCCACTTCATTAACTCATGCTTTGTAATCGTCCTTCCTATTATCTCCGACCAAAAAGAGCAGAAAGGGTTATGTAGAACCCAGAACACTACCCATCCTTCTTCCTCCTTTGCGCCCGAGGCGCGAACAACTGTCCATTTCTCTGTATTGTGTCTCCCAGTCGAGTGATTCTTCGACCATTACAATTCGATCCGGCAGCCATTTCTCGTACATTCTCCTCGACGCATCCCGGTTCCTGACACGAGCCCCTGAGCGAATGAGCTGAGAGAAATTTTGCCGTGGCACATCGCCTTTTGGTAACTGTAGTTTGGTTATCTCCGCGCTTCGGTGCTAGGTTAAGCTAACTGGGCCGATTACCCTGCTCAGCTGCTCTCGAGAGTTCGAGACTCGAACATCTTCGGCGACTTGTTGAACAAAACGACGACAAAGCTATCAGAATAAAAAGAGCGCCTCCGTCTAATAACAGTAGAATAGAGTTGCTCTGCAGCAGTTTGACGCAGAGACGGCATAAGCAAGCACGCCGTGCACAGAATTCGGTGCAGGCTCAAAAACCCTCAGATGTCATTCAAGCGATGCCTTGCCGCCAAGTGCTTCCTTCGCTTGCTGATTCGTCAGCGTTCGTCCGATCAGGTTCCACATGAGCGAAGAGAAGTTTTGCAATAGTGATTTACCGAACATGGCCGGGCCAGCCGAGTGGTTTCCTCACAGGCCCGCGAAGCAAACCTCCCCACTCAATGGCACTGCTCATAGAGAAGCAGTCAAGACTAAATTGGAAGTGGCAAAGATCGATTCCACTCATGTCACGCACATTTTCCGGGGGTTCGCGGTCCGCATGGCTGATCTGCTTGGAGCGTCAGAGGCGGCCCTTCGTAGGGCTGGTCGCCGGGACAGCTCCGCCATATACCAGCACTACCTTATCATCCTTCCCCAACAATATATGCGTGTGCTACCTGGCTTCCCGGCTGCTGCTGGGAGCTATTGGCTAGCTCGAGACTTGGACCCACCCGAGGAGCTGCTACGTAAGGTGGTCCCTTCTGCAGACGCTTGGTAAGTGCACGGTAGAGGATCGTTAGTAGCAGCGTCATGGTATAGTACAAGCAACAGTCTGACGCCTGCGCACCCTTTGGTTCGACGCACGCTGTGGTGCAGGCCGGAGAAGCTGCAAACCAACCCTAAGCGATACTTTTCTGCCAAGGCCCTCGCTCGGCTGCTGATCCGCCTGCGCAGAGTCGAGCAGCGTCCGGGGAGCAGGGCAACGAGCCGGCGAGGTGTGATGCAAGCCATGCCAATCTCGCAAGTCATCGCGCAGATTCTGGCGGACAAGAGGACGTATGGTATGCTCATCGACACGGGCCTGCCGGTGCTGCATCATAGTACGCTGTACAACTGCCGTGTGCTTTGTCTAGATGGACAGGTCTTGCTGATTCGACCCAAGATGCACCTTGCAAACGATGGCAACTATCGCGAAATGCGCTAGTTCACACCGTGGAGCGCTAGCAGGCGGGGCCAAGTCGAAGACTTCATCCTCCCAAACGACGAGATCAGGCTCGTCACTGGCCAGAACTCCGTTCCTTTTGGAGACGCAGTGATCCAAAGGCGAGACACCAGCTTGGGAGTAGAGCTATGCGAAGAGCTCTTCACGCCCGACAGTCCACACATTGCGCTAGGTCTCGACGGTGTTGAGATCTTCATCAATGCCAGTGGCAGCCATCACGAGTTGAGGAAGTTGCACCAGCGTGTGGAGCTCATCCTGAATGCAACTGCCAGGGTGAGGCGCGGATACGGAAGTAGCAATCGCGAGCCCTTCTGACTTGTTCATGCTTTTCTCATCCATGTCTCAGTCTGGCGGTGTCTATCTCTACGCCAACCAGCAAGGCTGCGACGGTGACCGGCTGTACTACGACGGGTGCGCGCTGATCAGCGTAAACGGTACAATGGTGGCACATGGCACTCAATTCAGTCTCAACAGCGTCGAAGTCGTCTCTGCTACCGTTGACTTACAGGATATGCGAGGTGCTCGAACAGGCAAGAGCCGTGGCTTGCATTCATCTACTGCCGAAGCTTCCACCTCTTCAAGCTCATTCAAACGAATTTTTGCAGATATCAGGCTTGGTTTGGAGGATCCGTTTGGCATCGGCAAGGGGTCGCTCGTAGATGGCTTGACCGCATCCGCTGGTGCTGGGACGATCGCTTCCGAAGTGTCCAGCGGTCTGCTGGGAAGGGTGACGCATCTCACAAATTGGCAGTCAGGCTCGTCTTCAGAAGGAACACTGACTCCCGATCCAGAAGCGCTTGCCAAAAACTGCGTCGTTACGCAACCCAAGCCCGCCTTTTATCACAAGCCAGATGAGGAGATTGCGCTCGGCCCAGCCTGTTGGCTTTGGGACTGTAGCCGGCGGCTCCGAACGCAGGGCTACTTCATCCCTCTTTCCGGCGGCATCGACTCGTGCGCTACCTCGGTCATTGTCTACAGCATGTGTCGTCTCGTGCATCAAGCGTGCACCAACCCCGCCGAGCGAGGTGGCCCTAACATCCAAGTCTTGGAAGACGTGCGGAGGATATGCGGTAAGGCACCAGACTGCACCTGGATCCCAACCTCACCACAGGATGTAGCCTTTTCGTGACCTGCTACATGGGCACCACAGAAGCAAGGGTACCAGAAACAGGGCGAGAGACTTGGCGGAAGCAATCGGATTCTATTACATCGATCTCAACATGGACAATGTCATCGACGCGATCACGGTCCTTTTCACTGCTGTCACAACTTTCACACCTCGCCTCGCTTCAAAGTTCACGGCGGATCCGCGGGTGAAACCCTCGCGCTGCAAAACATCCAGGCGCGATTGCGCATACTCTTGGCTTACATGTTCGCGCAGCTCACACCTTGGGTTTGAGGGCAGTCTGGTGGACTGCTGGTGCTAGGGAGCGCAAACGTCGATGAATCTCTCCGTGGCTACCTGACCAAATACGACTGCTCGTCAGCAGACTCAAACCCAATCGGAGCAATCTCCAAGACAGATTTTAAACGATTATCGCATTCACAGAGATTGACTTCAAGCTTCCCATCCTTCAGAAATTCTTCGATGCGGTACCTATAGCTGCGATCGAGCCGATCACATCGACTTACATTCAAGCTGATGAAGCAGACATCGGCATAGCCTACGACGGGCTGTCAATCTTCGGACGCCTGCGCAAGATCAGCAAATGTGGCCCGTACAGCATGTTCTCCAAACTCTACTACGAATCGCGCGACGATGTGACTTCCGCAAGAGATCGCCAACAAGGCCAAACTCTTCTTCTTCGAGTACGCCAGAAATAGGCACAAGATGACGACTTTGACACCTAGCTATCACGCTGAGTCGTACAGCCCAGACGACAATCGCGAGTGTGCGGATGATTTCGCTGCGAGATTTCTTCTGGATGCTGACCTGCCCTCTTCCAGGATTCGATCTGCGGCCATTCTTATACCCGAGTTGCTTCCCATTTCAGTTTGGTCTCATTGGCAACCTCATCAAGCGACTATCCGCTTACACACAGCAAAGCCGCAAGTTCGATGGTCCGCCTCCTGATCCATCGTCACGGACCATGTAGTCAAGGAGTGTTCCGACATAGTGTATGCAGATCACTCATCCCGCAATGAAAGCTTGCGCTGCGACACTATACAAGTGTGGCTGCGCGCCTGAATGATTCTACCCGTTGACCCGAGGCAGATGCCTCACCGCCTTCGTTTCGATTTGCCGCTGCTCTTGCTTCTCGAGACGGACGATGATTCGGTGCTTTGCTCTCCTGTGCTTGCAACTTTAAGTTCCTCCCTGGCACTCTCGTCATCGCTCCCTGAATCGTGTACTCCACTTCCAGAGACCACTTTCCAAGCCACCTTCACAATCATGGCGAACCACATCAGCAGAATTGCTTGCAGAGCTATTTGCAAACCGACCATTACTTTCTGCAACCCGTAGGTATAAAAATGGCCTTGCTCCCAAGACCAGTTCCGGGTTGCGTACTTTTGAGGCTGGGTCGCTGCAGACCAGATGACGATTCCGTAGAGCACGTGGCGCGTGATGACCCAACTCAGGACGAAAAGGGCAAAGTCAATGTCACAAAGCGTTTGCTGGGCCAATATATCGCAAGCATTTTGCCGCCTGATAGAGCAGAGAGGAAGGGACGTGAGATTGCCGGCCACAGACGAATAGTGGTAAGAATGCGACCACTCACGGAAAGTAGAATATCGCTTGGGTCCATCAAGCACAGGATGGCATTTCCTATCCTGTGGTAATTGGTGATGTATGAGCTTACGATGAGAGCAATCGCGATGACGTGATGCGCAAACATCTGCTCGCAGTCTTTTCGTCGTGCTTCTAGATTGAGCACAAGGATCTGATGCATCCAAAAGCCTCCCTGGACGAGATAGTAGAACTGCAAGAGAAGAATGGGTCAGCTCTCAGCTTAGGCAGGCGCAATATGGAAAGGAAAATTTCGTCGACCCACCTTTGATAGACCATCGATCTCATTATGCGGGTATCCTATCCAGAAGTGCTCCGTTTTCAGTGGTCAATACGGCTGCCGATGCGCAACCCAAAGTCCCAGCGCCAAACTCGGCACATAATAGCAGACACACCACCCTTGCTCTGCGAATCGCATAATCTTCCTCTCTGTAGCTCGCGCGGCTTTTGTCCGCTCGATGCGGTTCGGCTCTTTCCCCTTGGGAGGCCGCTCGGCCACAACCCATCGTGTGTCCAGCGGTATGAGGACGTGTGTGATGACTAATGCCCGGATCGAAGTCCACGCGATGGCCCAGGTTAGCGCAAAGGCAAGGTCGAGCAGACCTTTCATATATATTGTGTTGGCCATGGAAACGAACCAGCTCCACGGGTTCTGACTCTGCACCCCTCCTGTCACTCTATTCCAAGTCACCCCTGCCAAAGTTCCCGCGGCCCCATTGACGGGGTACGACAGCCCGCGACAGGCCCTTGTGAGGTTGTGTAGCGCGCTGAGCGGATGTCCGAATCCCGCAGCATCTTATTTGAATGGCCCTCCAACAAGGGGCGAGAGGAATGTCTTGCTGTTATGTGAAGCATTGGGAACATCCGAGGCGTAGGGTGATAGCTGCGGTAGTGAGTGTATCCAGCTGCTCGGTAATAGATTTGGGAGGGAGTGTGGTAAGACGTGGATTGATTGAAGAGCCGCAGATCCGGAAATGGCGTGAGCGACACAGATGGTGAGAAGCATGTAGAGTGGGACATCTGTCACAGGATGAAAAGTTGGTATTGAGTCAGCATGACCATACTTTCCATCCCAACCGTCAAGCCCTGAATGAACCGCCCAAGCACCAACTCTCTCACGACCTGACTGGCCGCTTGTTCAAAACTCCCTAACAAGAAGCAGACGCCCGCGATGATCATGGTTGAACTCCGCCCGAGAGCATCGAAAGCTTCCCTGTGGACAGACTGCCGATGATTGCTACTACTGTTGTTCCGCTGACGATAAGCTCTTGCTCGCCGGATGAGAGGTCGTGCCCGAGGTCGGATTTAATCGCGACTAGCATTCCTGCGACGACGCCCGTCTGTCAAGAGGTAGGAAGAGGGAAGTCCAGGAGAGACTTCAGCCAAATAGTCTTGCAGAGATATCTTATCCGTACCAGCGTCCATCACACGCACATCCATTCCGAATTGTAAGCCGCTCATACAAGCTATTAAAGCTAAGCTGCCAAGGTAAGGCGTATACCAGCATTGTTTTCACCGAGTAAGTCGTCGGGCTCTATATCCTCGTCGATCTTGCTAGAGTGGCAATCTCGTGCATGACTGTTCGCACCATTATCGTCATCATCATCACGTGTTCCCACATTCCGAAAAGAGGCAGATGGGAGTTGCATGACGAGAGGATGATCGGCTTCGTCTTCCTCCTCCAGGTCGTTGTTGTCTTCAGCTTCACGCTGAGCTGCGATGTTCGACTTGCCGCCAAGACGAGTCAGTGGAATATCCTCAGCAGGAGCAGGAGCAAGGGCAGGTTTCGCAGAGAATTGTCGTGGTGATGCGCTTTGGACTGTTGCAGAGGGAACAAGACGCGCCGCGTTTTGCGGAAGAGCGAGAACAACAAGAGAAACGCAACTTGACTGGTATCCATCCATTCGCCAACCTTTGGCATCAGTGAGATTGAGACCCTTCGAGGGCTGCAATTATATCTGCAGGTCCTTCTGAGTGCACAGACAGAAAAATCTCTGCGCTTCAGAATGGACATCCGCGCGTGCCCTTATGCAGCCACGCTGGCCTTATCGATGTCGCGAGGGATGCTCCCAGCTTAAGCCCAACTATCCACCGACCATCTGTTCAATCCAGCGATGGGCCGGCAAGGATTCCCCGTCCAGGTCGCAGGGCATACGCTCTGGCGCTACGTCTCTGACAGCGAGGGAGATGATCAAGATGACAAGGACCTCGTGCAAGATCCGCCTGCAGCTGGTCCCTCCCGCCAAAGGCATCACTCCTTGCATGCCCCGCCGGACAAGCTCATCAACCTCTTCCACCCTGGGCATGTTGGTCGCCTGCTATTATATACCGACAAAGCGTGCAATGCGCTTGAAACAAGCGTGCACGACATTCGAAGCACACTGCGCAAGCTACCTGGGGCCAGCAGCGATGCAAGTCTCTTTTGGCTGTACAAGCGCCCCGCCAGCCGCTTCATCGTCGTCGGCGAGGTGCTCGCCATCACACAGGAAAAGACGATGCGCACAACATACCTGGTTGACGATGGAACGGGTACCATCTTTGTTCAGCACGCGCACCGCAGGGTGATCAAGAACTCTTGCGCACACAAGGCGCGGAAAGAGCGTGAAAGCAAGTTGACGAAGGCATGGCCTGGGCGCGCATCCTTAGAGAGTCTCAAGAAGCCAAGCGCCGCTTTGGGTCAAAGCTCTGCATCCGTCAAGCGAGTGTCAGAGGTTCACTTGTCGGAAAAGGCCAGGGGAAAACAGCGGGTAATCGACAACGGCAACACTCATCAGTTGGCTTCAGCCGATGCGGCCGTCTACACCCCCGTATCTTATACCTATTCCATGCTCGACAGCGAGGGAAAATTGTGCACAGTCGTGCAAGGTGACGGAACATACGACCTATTCCAATCTCCTGGAAAGCGAGTTCCTCCAGACGATGGGCGCGTGCCAGACGTGTACCGCTGGCCATCCTTCAACGATCTTATGGACCAGTTTCTCAACAAGGGTAAGGATCGGGGCGCCAAGAGTCTCAGGTTTGCTCCAACCGAGGCAGATGAGGACGGGAGTGCAATGGGAAAGAAGGTGAAAGAGTCCCTAGAGGCTCTTGAATACGAGTACGTCCCCGCTATCAGCGAGGACGAGGTCCAAGTGGGCGACCTCGTGCGCGTCGAAGGCAGTATTAGGACGTTTTGGAAAGAGAGGATCATCGCTGCAGCAAACGGAGAAGCAGGGATACGTGGGTGTTACCGCTTGGAGCGTTTTCTTTTCTTTTGTTTTTTTGATGCTAACATGACTTTTCATCGCTACGGTAGGAATCTTACAAGATCCGAACGCCCTCACGCGCCATATCAATCGCTGGTACTCAGCCAGTATGCCGGGCGGCGCCTATCACCAAGCCATCAAGCTCAGTGACCTGCCAACTGCAGCACCGATACCTGATCCATCGGCTGCGGGCCGCTGTGAGCCGGGGTTCGCACCTGATGACAATGCTCCATCCGCAGCCAATCGCACGGTGAATATGATGTTGGCTGGTGAACGCATGAGGCTGCAAAGAGAGCAGGGTAAAGGGCTTTTCCAGAAGATGACCGAGGCTTTCAAGGCGCTGGAGCGCGGAGAACCGCTCACAATTCCAACGGCGACCAAGGCGCGGGAGACCGAGGTACCTGTGGCAGCTCACGTAGCTGTGGGCACAGCGGGTCTTCCTTCCAAGGTGGGGGATGCACATTCGGAAGGAAAGGAGAGGCAGAGCCCGGGTGCAGTACGACAGCTAGAGCCCAAGCCAAAATCCAGCTTTTACAACAGATTACCCGAGAGTGCTCGTGCTAAGATGCAGAGCCGGTTGGAGACATTCAAGCAGCTAGAAGCGAGCTTGAACGCTGGTACGGCCCACTTGCCGACATTACTTGACTTTGGCGACCGCGAAAATGGAAAGGACCTGAACGCTACGCCATTTGCACATCGTCATAATAGTGTGGTCACTAACAATCCGACCGAAGGAGCAGCAACCAGCGAGCAGGCCTGGTCCTCACACTCCGTCGATACTCTGCAATCCTCGCGAAGGCGGTCGCTGAAGAAAAAAGACTCGGATGAGGAGAATCGCGCACCTGGCGCAGCACAACAAGCTGGATCGCAGCAGCCATCAGCTTCGGAGTCATCTTCTCCTCAGTTGGTCAGCATTGCTTGGAAGGGCAACAAAATGGCAGTCCCCGCTCCTCGTAAACAGCCAAAGCTAGAAGATCCGGTGAAGCTCTCCCGCAAGCACCTGAATAGCGACACGGTCGAGCTGTATACTCAAGAGTGGCTGCGACGGCACTGTGCCCTGCCCTCCTCCCTTCCTCCGAACATGCCTAGCACTAAAGACCAAGACATGTGGCAACTACCACCGGCGTTCACTGTGCGCTACCTCCGCCGCGTTCCTCGTCTGCGCACACTCGTTCGACGGTTTGTTAAACATGAGATGCAGAAGCGTGCGGCTAAGGTGGACGGTGCAAAGAGCACAAGTAGGGAGAGTGTAGGAACCAAGATGCGTCGCGTATTCGATTGGGTCATCAGGGTGCTTTGGCAGAAGGGTTTTATCGTTCTTGCAGGCGAAGCTGACGCTGCACGCATGACACCCCCTTGGGACGGCCAAAAGGTTGACAGAGGGCAGCAATGTAGCAGAAGAACAGCGTCTGCTTCACTGTCGCTTTCCAGCTGGGGAGGCACGACGGCTGAGATGTTTGCGCCCGAGTCTCCGTCAAGCAGGCGAAAGCATCGAGCAGTCGACCACGGAGACATCGTTAAGCCGCTCAGCACCGGCGCACCGGCTAGCTCTGCGAGTATCGGGCTCATGACAGTGGATGGGCCATCCTTACAACGCACGCTCTCTTCCTCTTCGATCGATGTCGTTGAGGTTTCCGACGAGTCTTCATCAAGCGATGGCGATGATGATGATGGCGGCAAACAACAGCAGAAGGTATTCCAGCTTGTCACTCCCGCTCTAATTTTTCAAAGCATAGAGCCACTAGCGGCCGCGCGTGGTGCCAGCGACGAGGTGCAGAATGCACGTATGCAGATGACAATGACAGATCCTGCAGAGCTTACGTATCGGCTGCGCAACAGTGACCTTCGGTGGAAGCACGTCAAAGCGGAGAGCGTGTATATGGCGCTCGATATTTTCAAGCGATATTAGCATAAGATGGATGACTGCTTGGAGGATGCTTAAAGTACAACATGCTTGTAATGCAAGAGATATTGAGAACGAATGCTGAAACGGTTCACGCCAGCTGGCTGCGCTTGCGTGCTGTGTTCATATACGGCCGCAGGACCCATTCTACATCCGCCTCTGTCTGCTCGAGCGTGCCCTGCCGGATCTCGTATGGCCGCATCTCGAAGCGCGGCCCGACTTCTGCTAGCTGCACTTCGCGATGTGAGATTTTGATGTAGACATGATGCCGGAAAGAAATAAAGTCGTTGGCGTTGTTGAATGTCATGACGCGCGTGCTGGTGTCCTTGGCGACGGGGAAGAGGTAGCGTAGCGCCGATTTGACGCGCTCGCCGAGCTTGGAACCAAAATTTTCAAAGATCAGATGTGGGTACTGCTCTGAAACGGTCGATGTCGCGTGTGCGGAGACTTCGTGTCGCAAGACGACATTGGAGAGTGTAAAGAGCAGCGTGGGCCCATGCGGGAAGTGTGAGACGACCATCGCGTCCGGCACGCCTCGGTGCTCGTGCAAGACGATCAGGTCGGTAATGCTGTTCGCACGGCACGCTGCGGCAAGGTCGGCGACAGTGTAGCCACCGCGATTGAGCCGAGTGGAGTTGGGGAAGACGAGGCGGATCTCTTTGGCGAATTGCGTCAGACGAGAGGACGGATCACGCGAGGTGGTGATCAGGATCTTGGGTTCGTACAGCCCTGCACGGGCGTACTCGTCGTCTATGGATGTCGCGGGTTCGCTCTGTCCTTCATCGAGGGTCAGCTTGCCTCCGAGTGCCTTGGCATCTTCTCGCAACTCGGGCGGGATGGGCTTGCCTTCTGCGAGAAGCTGGCGGATCTGCTGCTTCTTCGCCCAGATCTGCCGCTCTTTCTCCTCAAGCGATTTTTTGTATATGTACTCGCGGCGTTCGCGGATCTGTCTCCGCAGCTGTTGTTGGACAGGAAAATCAGTGCGTCGACATCAGTTAATGAAATCTTGGTGGCTTCTGTGGAAGGTCGAGGCTAGCACTCACCATTTTTGCTAGATGCTGTAATCTTTGCCGGAACGTAAGCGCGGTTCGTATCACTGCGAGGTTAATTCACTTTCCCAGCATATATCTGGTTGTATCCAGTTGTCGAAGCAGGCGTGGTCCTTTTGGAGCTTCCCGATGCAGCTTCTATCAGGTCTGCACCCAATGACAAGCTTGTAACAATGCAGCAAGGGGCAAACGGCAACCAATGAGCACATGTGCAATGGCGATCCGCGAGAATCTCGCTCAGAAAAAAAAGGCGCGCATGTTCCGAGTTCCGAAACCTCAAAGCAACTGACACTATGCTATAAGCGCCTCCCTCTCTCTAGTCGTCGAGCCGAGGTCTCGTTCCTTTCTTCTTGGCACCTTGCTGATGGGGGTATCGTGAAATATTTTCTTTGCACCAGCACAAACGCTCATCATCAAGGGCTCTGATTCGGCCAAAAAGCACCACAGTCACGCGCCATGCTGCCAACACTCGCATGCCTCTCGCGGACAACGTACCGTGGGGCGAGGGGCTCCGGCCCCGGCGCCTCGTCCAAAACAAGCGCTCGCTCGTCGCCAAAATCACGCAACACACTGCGGCAAGCCATCGCATCAGGCCAAGTGTTCAAGCGATCGCAGACAGGCCTCTACCATCTCACGCAGCTCCAGAGCGGTCACAATGTGCCTAAGAGCCGGCAAAAGACAGCACGGCGTTGGGAGCCGAATGTGCAGAGCAAGCATCTGGAGTCTCGGATCCTTGGGCGTGTGGTCGAGATGAAGGTGACGACTAAAGCGATGCGCTGTATCAAGAAGGCTGGAGGACTGGACGAGTATGTCCGTTCGACTGGGGACGACGAACTTGGCGTCTTTGGTAGGAAGCTCAGGAGCGAGATGGGCGCGGTAGCGAGTTTGCGCGCGCAGATGGAGAAGCTGGGCCTTGTCCAGTCGCTTAAAGAGGAGCGGCTAGCAGCGTTGCGCGCACAGAGGGCAGCTTCGCCACGAGGATCAGCATCATCATCGTCAAAAGGACAACATCCGGCTGCGGTATCATCAAGCGAAAACGCGGAGGCACAGGCCGCGGCGGCGGAGTCTGCATCCCCACCGCCGGCGACACCATTAGCGGCATCGCAGTCTGCTTGAATTCTACCACTCGAGCAAGAACGCCAGCGGTATGACGCTTTGAGGCCGCAGTTGCTTGCAATCGCTCGGTGGATCAAAGCAAAGCCAGCCGGAACAAGGTACAACTCTCAACGAACCCGACCCCCCTAAAGTGCCCGTCCAAGTCCGGCCTTTGTCTCGTCCACCATCATGTACTTTTATCGTATTGCACGCATGAAACATTTCTCTTTACATGCTATTTGGTTTCGCTCTTGAACTGCGCAGCGTGTACGTCTCGTATGTAGATTGAATACAGGAGAGAGCCACTTTGAGCCAATTGTTTGACTTTGGTTTACGTAACTCAAATTGCAAAGAGAAGGCAATGCTGCCACTGCACATGCGTACCCCGCGCATCCCTTGGGTGATTGGTTCCGAGCTTCTTATGTTCAATTGGCCAGCCATCTCTATCGGACCTGCTCGATTTACCCTTGCGCAGGCTAACTGTTCTAGGCATACGAAAATAGGGAGCAAGAATCAATCTCGCGCAGTGAAGACACGTTCGGCCGCTCGCCAAGTCCGCATTGATTCATCGCCATGGCCTCGATACTTGCCATCACATCAAGCGACGGCGGCCGACTGATCAACTCGCCCAGCAGGAGCGACGCCTACGTTGCACCGCAGGGCCGCTTGGTCAGCCGCTCTGACGCGCAGAAGGTTCTGCGATGCGCCTGTGCGCATTGGCGGCGGCATCCGCGTGTAGAGGAGCAGGGATTTTAAGCACGAGAGACGTCAGGAAGAGCGGCAGCGTCATCATGGACCTGTTGATCGAAAGTGCGGGCAGCAAGCTTGATGTTCGCAGCGTGCATTGTGAGGTGGCTGGCAGACATCGCTACATGCCGTTCCGCGGCCGCGTATAGGCACCGCTGGGGCCTGAGCTTTTCTGTACTCGTATGTACTCTTGAATGCTCGAAGGTCGTACAAACGTTTATATGTACGCTTGGTGATGGGGGAGCACGCTGGTGCGCTAGACCAAGGCAGGAGCAGCATCCAAGGTCGACATGATGCCGACTGGCAACTGTGGATCTCAAGCGACTCGAGTTCCATGGTTCTCTTTTGCTCTGCAGCACAGACGAGCTACAACAAGAGGGGATCTGGAACGCCAGAACGACATGAGCTAGCGAATGTATAGATCTAAGATCGAGACCTTTGATGCTCCCATCCATTGATCCGTCCGGGGGTGCTCGCGGTAAATCTCGGGCTCGGGCAGCAGCAGTGGCCTGCAGACCTGTCGGAGGTAACAAGCGTAGTTTGCAGACGAGGTGTTCGACGGCCCAGGATGCACAGCGGAGGGAATAGAGGGGGTCACTGTAAGCATCTTGATTCTCGTCCCGACAGCGCTGCTACATAAATGCAAAGCTGAAAAACGCCTGGACATCGCGCGTCTTGTTGGCCATGTACCAACCACTATTGTGCTCTTCGTGTACATACGCATACAGTAAGTAATAAAACAGCTTCTTTCTGATCAGCATGCAGAGCGAACAAAAGTTCCACCTCTCTCTTGAACTTGTCGTTATTGTTGTGACCGATGGAGCCGGTCGCATATCATTCATCCCCACAGTTCAGGCCAGCGAGACCGAGAGGTGTGTGAGGCTGCAGGATATGAAGCGGCTTTCTGTTTCTGCCAAGGGAAGCACGATTACGTAATACACTTCCTTGCCGACTCCTCTACCGTCCCCCAAAGACCAGACCGGCCCGCCCCATTCCCGTTAGCCGGAATGGGATATGAAGGATTCGGGCATTGGCGTATGCCAACCAAGTCCTCCAGTGAGCCAGCCAGGAAGACGGTGGACCGGATCATCCAGCTCGTCAGACCTAACATCTCACAGGCTGTCCAGTGCGTGGGTATCATACATATATGGGTTCTTCTTTCTTCCGTGCTGGTTTTGGTCATCATCATCTTCGTCGCCCCCTCATCTTTCTTGCCTCGAAGTCTATCACCCTTCTCACGCAGCACCCCTTTCCAGCCTCGCCCATATTGACGTCGTCAAAGAAACCCGCGCGGCCTCCATCAGCAGCGAGTCCATGGCCAGCAAAGCCCAACGCACCTGCATAGCTACCTATCAGCCATGGCTCCGCCCATCAACGTCGCCATCCCGGCCCACCTGACCCCCGCCGGCATCTCTGGTAATAAGCTCCTCGGATACGAGCGCGCAAAGGCCAGCTTCGACTCCCAGGATATGGCCGAGTACATCCATGGCAAGGCCTACCTCGGTATGTGGGCATAATCCTTCGTGCTTGTTGCATTTTTTCTGCACGTCAAAATCGTGCTGACCTGCCCACACATCGACTCTCACTGGGCATCGGCATTGAGTAGAAGAGCAGACCTATCTGCTCAACGTCCTCGCCAACGACCCCGCCTTCGACAAGAGCTCCATGCATTACCTCGGCCGTACGGAGCGCTTCCGTGCCGCCATGAAGAAGGACAAGCGCCTCGCCCAGCTCCAGAGGGAGCACAACTGGTCCGACAAGACGAGCCGCCATGCTGACTTCCTCTGCGACTCCCCGGCGCCTTTTGGCCTGGTGAGCTTGGACCGGACGAGCTGAGCAAGAGTGCTTCTCCTGACTGCTGCTCCTCATTTCCCTTTTCTCACTAGCACAAGAGCATGTTCATCACCACACTCCGCAACATGGGCACAGATGAGCAGCGAGAGGCGTTCCTCAAACCCGCCGAGGCGTACCAGATCATCGGATGCTATGCGCAGACCGAGCTCGGCCACGGCTCCAACGTGCAAGGACTGTGAGTCGCCATCTTTGTTGCTTCTGCGTTCGTCATAGCTCACTTCCGATCATTTTTCCTCATAGAGAAACGACCTGCACATACGAAGAGGAGACCAAAGAGTTCATCGTCCACAGCCCGACGCTGACATCGGCCAAATGGTGGATTGGCGGCCTGGGCCGCTCGGCCGACCATGCGATCGTCATGGCACAGCTCATCCTCAAGGGCAAGAGCTATGGCCCCCATCCGATCATCGTTCAGATTCGTGACATCAAGACTCGCGAACCCTTGCCCGGTGTGAGTCACTCGCGAGCGTCCTGCTTGCGCGAGCCTTGGAAGAAGGTTGACAAGCAGCCCTGCCTCCTACCGACCAAAGCGCATCATCGCAGACATTGGCCCCAAGGCAGGCTACAACACGACCGACAACGGAACGCTGCTCCTCGACCAAGTCCGTGTGCCGCACATGAATCTGCTCGCGCGCTTCGCCAAAGTTGACCCCGACACGGCAGCCTACGTTCCACCAAAGAATTCTGCGCTGACGTACGGCACGCTGACCTGGGTGCGCGCCAATATTGTGCAGGATGCGCGTACCGTACTCATGCGCGCCACGACGATCGCCATACGCTATTGCGCTATCCGTAGGCAGTTTGGAGACCGTGACGCCCCCAAGTTCGACGAACACGGCAGGCCGGTCGAGACACAGGTGCTAGACTACACCATGGTCCAGTACAGGCTCTTGCCAATCCTCGCACAGGCCTTTGCGTTCCACTACACTGGTGAGGCACGCACGTGCACCGGGGGATGGGCCTAGCCCACTGGAAGAGAACAATAGATCGTTGCTCGCTTTTGTGCTGCGCTGCTACTGATACGCTTCACTTGCCTCGGCCTGCAGCAAAATTTATGTACAACCTCTACCATGCCAACGAGGACAATGTCCAGTCCGGCGACCTCTCGCTCCTGGCGGACACGCACGCTTCGTCCTCGGGACTCAAGTCACTCGTTACGCTCACTGCCGCGAGCGCGATCGAGGAGTGTCGGCGCGCCTGCGGGGGACACGGCTACTCGATGAGTTCCGGCCTGCCGAGCTTCTACGCGGACTACCTGCCGAACGTGACGTGGGAGGGCGACAGTTACATGCTGACACAGCAATGTACACGCTACCTATTCAAGATGATGCGCCAGCTTAAGACAAATCCTGCCACGGCCGAGAAGAACGTCACGACAGAGTACATGGCCCGCTACCTCGCCAAGAAGGACGATAGGGCCGACATCAAGTACATAGGAGACCTCTACTCGCCCGTCTTTTTCATTAAGAGGTGAGCACAGCCGGGCTTGCATCGTTTCCGGCCGACACACGCGCGAGAGGTCCGTGCATTCGTGCATACAGATGCTGACCGCTGACATGCCCGCGCCGGCCCCATCCTTTCATAGCTTTGCGCATCGTGCCGCGTACCTCGTCGAGCAGACACTGCAGCTGCGCGACAACGCGCGGCGCAGCTGGAATAGCCTGCTGGTCGAAATGTACCGTTGCAGCAAGGCGCATTCGCAATTCGTATGTCCCCCCTAACTCTTAGGGCCAGATCGCCACATACGTTCCAGGTGCTAACAAGCGTTATTACCCTCTTTGCCCCTTGGGCGCACAGCTCGTCGTCCGCAACTTCTCCCTCGCGATTCTCAACGACGACGAGCTGAACCGTAAGCCAGCACTGCGCCAGATCATGCAGCGCCTCTACCTGCTCTTCTGCTGCTACACCATGGAGCAGGAAGCCGCCGACTTCCTTACCTCGGGCTTCATCGACGGGCGCCAGGCGCATATTGTCTCCAACAAGGTGCAGGAGCTCCTCGCCGAGGTGCGCCCGCAGGCAGTTCCGCTCGTCGACGCGTTCGCCCTGCCGGACTTTTTGCTCAACTCGTCCCTCGGCAGGGCCGATGGCATGGCCTACGAGGCTCTGTTCGACTTTGCCGTCCGCGAGCCGATCAACTGTACGTGCCGTCCCTCCTCCCTGCCGACAGAAGTGACCGTTTTGTGGCCGCGTGCATTGAAATTGTGTTTCTAACCCCTCTGTGCGCAGCAACGCGATGGGACGTCAACATCGATGACCTCGACGCCGCCGACATGGATGAGATTCCGAGAGCGAGCAAGCTATGAGCGCTGCAGCCTTCCCTTTCCATCTCTTCTTGATTTGTAACCCCTTCGTGAGCATCCGCAAAATTTCTAATTGTCTTTGTACATCCATTCGATCGTGAGGATGAAGACTTATCCCGCTACAGGCAAGCAAGCACGCGGCAAGGGTACTATAGCTTTTCTATTTCTCTCTGGCGTAAAAACGGGAGCTCTCCTGCCGAAGTATAATCTCTGGCTCACTTCACACCCTGGCCGGGATGCATCGCCTAATGCTTCGCAATGAGACAATCAACTGGACCAGCTGGGAGCCAATTGGCTGAAAACTCCTGCACCGGAAGAAGTCGAAATTTATGATTGTACAAGATATCTATCGCTCAAGCGTCGGGGTAGTTCATTGGGTCATCTACTTGTTCCCAACCTTGCTACCGGGGTATTTGGCAGACTGTTTCTCAAGATTGGCCTGGTAAGACTTGCAGGGGTTGCCGTTGGCGGTCGCTGCCTTGTGCCACACGGGGTTGTAGTTCTTGTTCAAGAGCGAGAGGGCGTCGTCCACGACCTTGTAAAGGTTGCCGAGCACACTAGGCAGAGCCGACTCGAACCCCTAACAGCAGGACAGACGACGATCAGTTAGATGGGGTACCTGAGAAGAGTGCATGTCGGTGCGACTTACCTGGTAGAGGTAGCAAGACAGGGCGGCCGGGTCCGCGAGGAGCGTCTGCGTGTTGTAGAGACCACCAGTGAGATCACCGACATCGACGCCTGTGAACGTGTTGACCTTGCCAGCGTTGCCACCGATACTCAGCAGGTGCGGGTTGGTCTTTGCGGCGTTCAAGAGAGTCAGAACAATATCACCCAGGCCGAATTGCGCAGCCAGCGGCCTGCGGTGCCACGAAGGAAGGAGCCGCTCCTGGCCCGGCTTGTACTCGAGCGTGCCATCCGCGTGCTTGGTGACACCAAAAAAGGCGAGCAGATTCGGTTCATCGAGGTAGATGAAATTCTTGCCATCAGGTCCTGCGCAGTGAGTACAATCAAGTCAGCAAGATTGCGGTGCAAAGAGTAGTGTAGGTATTAAACTGAAAGCACTGCTCACCAGCCGTGTTGTTTGCGGCAAACTCGGCGACGAAACGCTCTGCGGCAGTGGTGACGATCAAGCCGCCGAAAGGCGAATTGTAGAACAGAGGGTTGCGCTGGACGGACTGCTCCCAGCGAATGCTCTTATGTTTGAGCATCAGGTCGGACGTGTATACATCCTTGCCAACGGTGGTGTCGTTGCCTCCGAGCTCCAGCAGCTCTTTAAAGAGCTGTATGTTGAGGTGGACATTGTCGTTGTTGGCACCTGGCTGGTAGTAGTCCTCGCGAACCTGTACATGTCGGGGCTTGATCAGCGTTCTAGACCTTGCGTGCAGGTCATACTGATCACTCACAATGCTGGCATCACCCTCGTATACATTGTGAGCTATGGTTTCTCACCAAACGCCGTTCAGCGAGTTGCAACAAGCACATGTAGGTTCCCCTTCGAAACACTCACCGCTGATGCCCTGAGGCTCCGCACCTCCAGCCAGGTCCAGGACTCCTCCTGCGATACCAGTTGGTGTGTAGGGGCCGCCGATGGACCAGGTCGTGTCCAAGACATTGCCGTTGAAGACGGCAGCGTATACGCTCTGAAAAGTCAGAGAGCGAATATCATTGGAAAATTGCCGTATTCGGAACTTGAGGGAAAGATCAGAGGCTTACAAGAGCGGTGCTGAGTTCGACTTCCACACCAAAGACACGGTTGATCGCGTCGATGGCCTGCGCGACAGTGGTGACACCGTTGCGCGGGAGGTAGTTGTGGTTGGCGAGAAGGTTCAGCCCGGGGCAAGGTCCACGGATGTCGCGGGGGCCCGGAGCGATGAACTTGTGCTGGTCGGATGTAAGGTCGATGTACTGGTCGCGCTCGTTGTAATCGAACGCCTCCGGGTTGAGTAGGGAGAAGATCGTGCGCGGGTACTCCTCGTTTTCATTGCGCCGCGTGGTGTTGGCGCGCCTCTCAAACACGTCGCCGCCGGCCTTGACCTCGGCCACCTTCTTGCGGAACGCAGCCTGCAGTGGCGTGTCCGTCGCGGCGGATGACGGGTAGATGTTGAAGCCACGAGCGAGATACTCAGGGAACGCGACGGCTGAGCTGGTAAAGGCCAGGAAGGCCGTGGCGAGGAAGGCGGGCGAGAGTTTCATGCTGAATGACTAGAAGTTAGGAAGAGATCAATGAATGAGGGCGGAGAGAGGCAGGAGTCGTTGGTTGAGTCAAAGCTCTGACCTGAAACAAGATTAAGAGAAGATGGTGAAGACGGAAAAGGACGCAGGAGGAGCCAAGGGGAGGAGTGGCACCTGATGATTGCGGAAAAGAGGCGTAGAGGGGAAGAACGAACATCCTTAAGTACTCTTTGACGGTTGCACATCCACGCTGCCGCCTATCTGACTTTGGAGAGCAGCGAAGGATGCACCTAGACACACTTGCTCGCCATCGTGCCGCCCAACGTTTTCATGTGGAGGCGACGTGGGGCAGTCGCATGGCTGACATCATACGAATTAGCTTAGCTTCCAAAGGACGGTTTTGCGCAAGGACAGGGCCGCTCTTTCGGAGATAAAACAAGAATAAGCTTTGTTGATAATTAATACTAGGTCATTGGAGGACTGGAGATCGATAAGCAGTAACGGGCGCGTTGCATGGTCTGAGGCTGCTGAAGAAAGTCAGCGGAGTGCCCTCGGAACACGTTGTATAGCTCATGGGCGGATGACGAGCTAGTCGCGACCACAGTGGTAGGAGCAGACTTTTTGCGCAGCCTTCAGCCGCAGCGGTCAAGGCGAATCTTTCGCTTCTTTCCTTCACCTCGAGGTAGACTTGGTTATGTCGCCATTCTTGAGTTTGTCGTGATGGATGTTAGAAATATGCTGATCGTCATTGGAAGCTACCGCAGCTTTCTCAGTGGTGAGAAGTTGGCCGCTTGCAAGGAAAGCGGATGTCGCCATTACACATGTAACATTTGCGACCTCTCTCATGGAATTCATGCAGATGCGTTGATTGTCTAGCGCGGAGCGATCTGTTGGCTGCGAGAAGGCCTTTGCTGAATTGCGTTTTCAGTCACAGGTGTGGAGCTGACAAAAAGGTGTGTGTTGTGTGACCTTCGCCCCGTTTATCTCGGGAACAGTAAGTTTTTGCAGGCAAAGTTCATTTGCACGTCCAGTTGGCGCCAGCGTTGCATCCAACGGACGCCCTAAAGAGCGCGCCTGTCGGTCAATGGCCAACAAATGCAATGGCTGGAGGCAAGCAGTCGAAAGTGTGTCCGCAAAGGACTCGGGAAGGGGCTTATTGGGAAATTCGTGCGCCTATTGAAAAATTGAGCTCTGTTGTGGCCCATAAAGTGCACACCGTAACCCGGGCAAGGTTTGGCTGGTTACTGCAACGAGAAGAATCGCATTGGGGGTTCTAGTGGGGTCCAACGCTCGTCCGAGTGCCACCGGAGACAAAAAGGCGGGGATAATGCCAGAAGTGTAGCTGGGTTGATGCTTGGATGTATTGTATGTAGTGCATGGCCAGCTTTCTCTGGCCCTGGCGAAGGATGCTAGACGATGCAAAGCTTATTCACTTGCGATACTTCAATTGAAACGTGTCCCCGTGCCTCGTACCTATGTCCAGACACTTTGTCGGCACTTCACATTGGATTTCTTCCCCCCATGTAAGGCTCCAGATGGTGCACCGTTCGCGAAGGTGAGCTCTCGCTCGGGCACAGTCTCCGTATCTCCATATTTCCAGCAGATCTCACAGATCTTGGATCTTGAACATTCGGAAATGATCTGCATCTTGGCGGGCGCCGGCCTTTGCTTAGGATGGTGTGATGACGAATGGCGCCGCAGCGCGAGTCTGCCGGAGTGCGATTGAAAGCATTTATGGGTATGACGTGCGTCCTTCTCTCGAATGACTCGAACTATGGTTGCAAGAAGCAGCATGAACTTGTCGAAGCGATAGATGGCGAAGGCGAGCACCAAATCGCGTGCTCGCTATTCTCTACTGGCGCAATCTCTCCGCGGGGCCCCCGACACAGTGTCCTTGGTGGGGCTTTGGGAGGAGGTCTACATTTCTGGCGCGAAGGGCAATAATAACCTTCAACGCTTGATTGAAATACGTCATGGAGAAGGCCACATCTATGCATGGGCAATCTGGCCATCGGGTAGCATTTTGGGCATGTACTGTGGAGCCAAGGGTACTGGGAGGGCAACAGTAACTGCGCCGGTCCCCCAACTCTGTCCCAGCGACACCACTCGTCCTCATTGTAGACGAAGCCGTGCTTCGTAGTCGAGGAGATCCTTTCTTTTGCTTTGTCTTGTAGGGGCTTGGTAGAACTCGAGGTGAAGAGCTTTGGGACCCACTGGAACTTCCTGTCATTCCAACGAGCCCCAATTCTTGGCTTACAAGTCTTCTACGAACCCTTCAATGAACCCCGAAGCCGAAGGAAGGGCCGCACAGGAAACAAAGAGGCAACGAACAGGCCCACATCGCCTTTCGACCACCACGAGGCCTGCGCAAATTCGAATCAAGCGAGTTCATTGAATCGGCTACTCTTCCCACATTAGCGATTTTGAGTGAGGCATCAGCGGGAGACAAGAAGCCGAGTCTTGATGTGAGCACACCCATGAGTCGCGTCTGTTCAATTGACTTTAATTCGCCCGTGCTTCAAGTCAGAGCGGCTTCTGCTGGAGGTACCTGAGGGTATGACATACACGAGAATTTCCACCTGCTCATACAGGCTCGGAAAGGGCCCGATCTCCTCAACGTTCAACACAAAGCGCCAAATGTTTTGTCGCGGGGAGGACTATCAAAGCATGAGAGGCAAGAAGCAGAATGCAATCATCATTCACTGCTAGATGAGAGCGAAGCCCGAGCTGCGTAGCCTGTACTAGTTTTAACGGGGGGTTGGCAGCACGTAGAGTCTCCTTGCAGGACATTGCGCAATGCCAAAGCCAATAATATGCTGGATTCCGATGAGCGTGCTAGATTGAAGTATGTAAAGTAGAAGACAGAAGGACTACAATTGGCGGGCCCGAGAGGCGAGAGCAGAGCAGTGCGTGCTGCATGGAACTGAGTACGACTCTTGGGCCCCAGCGGGCATCCGAAAAACAAGACATTGAGCCATAGCAGGGAGGGACGAACAGAAAAAAAGCGAAATTTGACGCCAGCTCACATCCAGGTGGCATGTGAAAGCAGCGACGTCGCCAACGCAAGCCAAGTGACGATGCCCAAGCAGGTTTCTTGCATGAATCATGGTAAGCGCTGCACGACGCACTCAGCGAAGAGTGGTTACTTGCAGCCGTTCTTGCATGCATTGCAAATCGCCAAAATGCAAACGCTGATCGTTGCGCCGCTAGCGTTGACAAGCGAGTTCTCAGAGGTGTTCGAGGTGTTGTTCCCACCACCACTGCTGCTGCTGCCCTTGCTGCTAGTTGACGTAGAGCTGTTCACTTCGTTCACGCGGATCCCCTTGGGTCCACGTACGTTTTCGAACTTGTAGCAGCACATCTCACCCTGGCAGGTGATACCCGAAGAAGAGTGTTTGTGGCTTCTGTTGTTATGGTTGCTGTTTCTGCTGCTGGCGCGCGGAGCCAGGATTGACATGCGCAGCTCGACCTCGCTCATGTCACCCCTGTGGTCGATCGCTTCGCCGTAAGCCACCTTTGTCCAACCGCGTGGACAGCTGAGGTGAGCGAGGTCCGGCAGCTTCTGCAAGTGCAGGTCGCCTGCCACTGAGGACACGATCGAAGATTTCAAGCCTTGGTGGTGGGAGGTTGGAGTACGTTTGAGGAGGTCCGCACCACCGAGCACTTGGACGGGCCGCTGATGCTTGCTGCTGCGGCCACCGAGGGGGACTTCGCGTTCGTGCTGTCACAGCATGCAAGGGCCGCTCAGCTCTTGTGCAACTCCCGTACATGCGCGTTCAAGACTCACATAGTTTTCAGGGTTGGGCCCGCTGTGCACAAATGTCAGAGCACCGAGAATGAGTAGGAGTATAATGGTGGGCTGCATGATGGAAGTGAATGAGTAACTTAAATGAGCGTGTGGATCAGATGGGTGGAAGAGAGTGTGGATGCACGAGAGGGAAGTGAGGAAGGTCGCACGGAGAGGGGTGAACGGCGGACAGAGAGCAGAGCTTGAGATGACGCCGGCATTTTGTAGTGATGATTCATTCCAGAAGCCTGGCATGTCTTCGAATTTTGGTTAACTGAGGGAGCGAGGTACAAACGAAGGGCGTTTCATGGCTTGGCGGCATCTTAGTTAGTTGCGGTAAGATTGTGGAAGTGATTAGGCAAGAACTGCGGAGGATTGCAGAAGGTGAGCAGCAAGTGGGTCATTCGCCGCTTGGGGCACGTATGATGAATGCAGGGTATGAGCTGGTGAGAGCTGAGACGGTGAGCGATATCACGAGAAGACCTTCAAGAAAGCAGTGCTTTGTATTGTAAACAAAAGGGAAGAACATGCATCCCCATGCCACATGACCGAAGGCCGAAGACTGCTCAAGTTCTGGATCAGCGAGCACCGAGCACCAATAAAGCCGACGGCGAGATTGCAGCTTGTGCCTTGCAGGGCCTTGCACATTGCAAGGCAGGATCTGATGACTGGAAAGGCTTCGAGACTAGAGTACTCGAGTGAAGGTCTCAAGGCCCGGGCGCCGTGAACGATGGGAGACGATGGCAATGGTATGTACCATATCGGCTCCGAAGGTTGCAAGGTCAACGAACCTGTGTGGAGTCAATGGGGCCATGCGTTGATCAATGGCCAGCGCCAGTATATAGCCCTTGCTGACAGATACTACATATGTAGTCACTGGCGCGAGATCAGGGCCAGAGGCTGTCAAAGTTGGGAAGGTTCCATCAAGCGTGCAGACTTTGTGGTTGCTTCAGCTGCAATGTCTCTGGCGTGACCCACCAGGCGCCAAGTTTTCATGACTCTGCTGCTCATAATTCGTGTGGTTCCTTCTCTGAGTCATCTCGATGTCATTAAGCTTCACAGTCTTCTTATTCGCCCACTGCCCTGGTTATGGTGATGTTGTGAGGATGCTGGTGACCTCCTTGGTGATTGGAATGAAGGGAATGAGGCTGGAGTCGATTCCATCAGTCAACGCAAGGAGACCAATTTCCATCAAAAGGGGGTTGGAAGGATCGCTCGCCCAGTCATCGGGTCATTCTTCTCGAGTTTCCCGCGGAGGACCGAGGAGGGTTGCGAATCATAACCCTAAGTCTGAAGCACATTGCGCACGTGTTACTATGCACAAGTACATCAAATTGTTTCGATCGTCCGCCGGGGAGCCAGCTCATTGCTTGAAGTAGTACTGTATAAACCCTTTAAGAGTGTGGATTGGCCGGTTTCTCGCACCTTTTAACACCCACTAAAGCAGGTGACATTTACAAGTAGTTAGCGGCTAGACTCTAGACAAAACGCTGGTTTCAACAGCCGAGTCGTGCTACTGCAAAGTTCCATCGCTCGCAAGGGCATGGACACGAAATAGTGCCACTTCTGCAGCTTACGTTCTTGCTGCTGATCAAGCTC